GATGAGAGGCTCGGGTGATGAGAGGCTCGGGTGATGAGAGGCTCGGGTGATGAGAGGCTCAACGGATGAGAGGCTCAGGAAATCGTAGTAGAGGTTGAAAAGACGATGATGTCTGAATACCTTACCTTATGAAAGCGTGCGTGCCAAGAGCTCGCCGCCGACTCATCACATGCAATCTCCCTAGCATTGCACGAGGAAGGTGCGATAATCGAGTTCCATGTGGGAAGGTACGACCCAACCCAGCTCACACCACCCCCTGCTCACCAGCCATAACAACCACCGGCCCCAGCGCCTCAATCTTCTCCACGACCTCCACACTCCTCTTCAAATTCTGCGCGCCGACCAGCGCCTTCACCACCACCGTCTCATTCCTCTCCCGCACCAGCGCGCGCAGCGCACTGCCCAAAAACCCCGAAACCAACTCCACGCTCCACCCATCGGGTATCAACTCCAGCACCTTTGCAACATCAAACCACCCGCCAAAACGCTCGAGTAGTTCCGCCGTGCGCTCCAGGCGATCGCTGACGTCCTCGAGTTGAAGGAAGTGCAGGAGCAGCACTTCGAAGAGATGCGCTTGTTCTTCTTTTTCCGGGAGGATGGGTTGATCTGCTGCCGCGAGCCCGGACGAGGGGTGGAAGATGCTCGAGCCGCCGAGCAGACAGTATCGGATCGCCGTGTCGTAGTCTCCCAATCCGTGCGTCAGGAGGCGTAAGGCTTCTTCGTGTTTGCCTTCGCGTCCGTTCAGGATGATCATTTCGGGTACCAGTTCGCTGCTGTAGGGTGCCAGGCGCTCGCGCAGACTGTGCACGTCGTACTTCGATGCTGCGCCGTGGCTGCCTCCGATTAGTTGCAGCAGACGTAGTCTATTCCGCCACCATTCGGCGTCGAGGGCGTTATCGGTGATGAATTGTCTGTAGGTTGGTTTGGGGGGTTTGAGGGCGCGATACGTTTCGTAGGATTGAAGGAGGGTAGACTTTGCTTCGCCTTCTGGCTTTTCCAGCTCGGCGAGCACGGTGTCGAGGTAGAAGGTGATGAGGTCGTTCACGTACTGCACGTGGTGTTTGTCGAAGACGAGATGTTCGAGGTAGTCTTTTACCGCGCCGGGCGCTTTCTCTTTCAGAATCGAGACTGCTTCGGCCGGCTCGAATTTCACTCGGCTGTCTTCCTCTGCAAAGACTTGCACGCCAAGTTTTGGATTTCGCTGCGCCAGCCAGGCACCATACTCCTGCACGAGACTGCGATCTCGAATCCGACTCAAGTAGCGGCGGACATCGTGTTCGCCGTCAACGAGCTCGCCACCGGCATCTTCCTCTCCTTCGAGGATTCGTTTCCAGGTTGCGAGGACTTGGGCGGAGAGCTTCTTTTTCTGATATAAACGGCTGAGCATGTACAACCGATGGAATTGTTCGAAGAGCTGCACCGCGCGGTCGAAGCAGTCTACGCCGCGATCTACGAGGTCGTTAAGCTCGGCGCGAATGGATGGCTCTCCTGGCGTTGCGACCCCTCGTGGACTATCCTGATCGAGCAGCAGTAGGATGTGAAGGAGCGTGGCGTCAACTGTTTGGAAGACGTGGGCTTCGTCACTCACGCTGCCAAAGCCCTTTTTCTGTCGCAAAGTGAAGAAATACTGTCTGATGATCGCGAGGATGTTTTCTCCATATGGTCCGTTGTGGTCTGTGACAATGCTGTCGGGCTCGCAGTGTCGCTGTAGCATAGTGACGGTGTCGCGCAGGCCTTGAGCAATCCAGATGCCTTCTTTGCCGTGCTTGATTTCGTCCTTCAGAATCGGCACCAGTGATAGTATCACCCGCGGATCGATATCGCCCACGACGAGCGCCTCCTCTGCAAACCGCTTGTCGCGCTCGTAAGCATTGACACCTTTCACAGTCTGCAAGACCAAGTTGCCAAAGAGCAATAAGGATGCTTTCTGCCGGATGTAGGTCAGAGTGACGAACTCGAGTTCGGTCCGTGCTTCCTGGCCGCGAATGCTGTTGATCACCGTCTGCACTCCGGGCACGTCGATGCCAAGCTCGCCATTCGCGCTGTTTTGCACCGCAGAGGCGAGTTGGCGTTCCATGTGGAGGATCAAGGGATTCTTCGTCACCCAGCTGACTCGATCATTTGTGTACAGAAGTACACTCGCCGAGACTTGACTGAAGCGTGCAGCGAACTTGTCTTCCTCTTGGTTTCGCTTGTCGTCTTCGTCTTCAGAGGACTCGTTGGTCAGTGTCAGTCTGCGTAGGCGTAAGCTGGTACTAATCTCGGGCACGACGAGCTCGGCAGATGTGGTAGCTGTGCGCATGCCAACATGAGTCTTCTCCACATCATCATCGGAAGACCCAACAGTGATCCATTCTTTCCACGGGTGTGAATCCTCGCTGTTCCAGCGTTGAACCTCTATCGCTTTGACCACACCGTCACCGACTTTCTGGCGAACGACCGCGAGTACGTATCCCTCGGGCGTAGAATCTCCCGGAGTGTCAGGCTCGGCGCTTTGGCCGACTCCATCCAGAACGAGAGACTCCGGGTAGCTGCTGAACTCAATTGTCCCACCAGACGGATCGCCATCGCGATTGACGACCAGACCCACACCAGGATCACTGAGATTTGTTCCAGTGGTGAGGAGAAATTCGTTGGAATTCGGCGAAACAATGTTTGGTGGCAAGGGCTGACTGATCGACCGTGATGGTTGTCTAGAGGGTGTTTGTTCTTCGGTTGAGGCAGCAGGATTTTCGATGGCTTTCGCAGGGCTGTCATCACGTTTCGGCGTGGACGCGACGGACGGTCTGCGCCGAGACGAACTTCGATCCGGCCAGGGCGAGCCCTCTCTCGACTTCGACTCTCCCCCTACACTGACATTGCGTTCGTGAGAAATCGTTTGGCGTGCAGGAGTGGCGGCTGAGACGCTTCTCGAAGCACCGTGCGAGGTCTTTTGAGGGGTTCCCGCGGGCTTCGGCTCGTCAACTACTTCCTGCACGCTCAGTGACGATATGGGAAACAAGTCGTTCTTCCGATGATTGATGACGTCCAGGAGCGAGTAGATGTTGCCATCAGCGACACAGGCCAAATCCCCTCGTCGCTGAATAGCGGAAACCCCGCCGAGCTCAATGTCGCGTATCTTGCGCGCCGCCTCTGTCCCAAGCTTGATCATACGAAGGCGTGACTTGAGGCAGAGCACGATGACCGGATCCGCGGCTGTAACTTCAGACGCTTGATCATCGTTGAACAGGTCCAGATCCAACCCGCCGACCCAACTGCAGTTGGCCTGTTGGATCTTCCCTCCATACGCTGGACTCAGCTCCGGCAGACCGTAGAATGACACCGTTCCATTACACAGTATGCTCACTTTTTCTGCCTGCGGAAGCAGCAGGATCTGCTTGACACCCTCATCTCTGCCCTCTTGCGCGGTAGTGAAGGGCGGCTGGAGCTGCGAGGCGAAGATGTAGCTCGCTTCGCTGGTGGGATCCGAGGGGTCGGGGGGAAGGGAGACGTAGTGCAGGACTTCGCCCTTTGAAGTGCCGATGTAGAGATGCCCGTTCCATGCGTCGGCGGTGGTGATGTGGGCGGGGACGTCGTCGGAGGAAGAGAGCGGGAGGTCTTTGATCAATTCGCGGAGGATGTAGGTGCCGGAGGAGATGTCTTGGTCGGGGGAGTTGGCTGCATTGGCGTCCATTGCAGCCGTGAGCGGTATGTCATCGCATTGTTCCGTCAGCCCTCGACCTATTCCGTTGTAGATTGCCTCCGGGTGGAACGAATGCGGTGCCTTGGAGTTCTAGGCTGCTCTCCATCTGGAGGGAATGTGGTGAAGCTGCGCACGCCGCGTATATTCAATCCTGTCACCCGAATAAGCAGTACTGGCATCGCCGACCCTACGCGAGTTCACCCCGAATGACCCTGAACTTATCACTCAAGGTAGGCATATGCGATCGTCCATCATCCGCCATATGGCAGCCTACGTGCACGCCTCTCGAATGGACGACCACTGAGACCGAGTCTGGACTGGGCTTCATTGCCGATTGCCCCTCGATTTACGCCTTCAAGGGCCTCTCCTGACCACGCACTCTATGCGTGTATGAGCAGCATCATGGCAGAGGCAGCCGAAGAGCACGCAACAGCCGGCGCACGTCAAGTCGACGACGTGCCCAGCATAGACAATCTACCTACCAATGGCGATGCTCAAGCAGACGGCACGGCGGAAGCAGGCAACAAGTTCCAACAAGCCATCGCCGCATGGCGCACCCTCGACCTCACCTCCCTCGTCTCCACCCTCGACACCGCCGCCTCCGAGCTCGTCACGCAGCAGCAAGACTCCATGGTGCAGCGGAAGGATCTCGCACAAAAGACAAAAGACTTCCGCAAACTTGACGATGCGTCGAAACTCACGCAGATCAAGGACCTCCTGAAGGCGTACCAAGGTTACATTGATGTGCTCACCAACCACAACAAGACCATCAACTCTGCTTTCATGCACGCCTATTCCCCTCTCTCCGAAGCCCCCGATCCATATCCGCTGCTTGAAGCATCCATCGATTCGCTTGTGACCGCCGAGGAGATTGTGCCAAAGTTGGAGACGGAGAATGATGGGTTGCAGAAGCAAGTATCGAAGCTGAGCGAGCAGCTGGAAGACACGGAGCGACAGTTGGAGGAGGAGAGGACAAAGCGGCAATCGTTCGAGGGCTCGCAGGATAGTAAGCTGAAGGAGGTGGAGGAGTCGTGGTCGGCAGTGGTGAAGGAGAAGGAGGAGAATTGGGCTGCAAAGGAAATGAGTCTGGAGGAGAAGGTGGAGAACCAAGACCGATTGTTGAAGGAGCTGAAAGCGAGCTACGAGGTATCTCAGCGGTTGGATAAGTCGGGCGAGGACGCTCACGAAGCGGCGAGGAGTAGCGCAACTGCGGCGGAGCTGGAGCTGGTCAGTTCGGAGCTGGAAAAGTCCAACACCCGCCTTGCGGACCTCGAAGCACGCAACGAACAACTTCGTGTGGAATTGGCGCAGACTGCTGGTCAAGCACACAGCTCTGGACGAAGCACGAACGTTGAAGACGATCCGGCATACCTTCGTCTGCGGTCGGAGAATTCGTCTCTGCTGCGACGCCTGGAGTCCGCGCGGCACGAGAAGGACAGCGAAAAGTCTGGCTTCCAGTCAAGCTTGAGAAGGGTGGAACGTGAGGTGGAAGCCTTGACGACCGATAGAGACGCGTTGCAAAGCAAAGTAAGGAAATGGAGCGACTATGAAGAGGTCAAGCGTGAGCTGGACATGCTACGAGCCATTGAGTTTGCAAGCGTTACCGACGCCGACATGGACGCCAACGATGATGATTACGCCCACACTAATGGGTCGCTCGACAAAGCAAAAGGAGAAAGTCTCGAACGGCTGCTGCTGGCACGAAACAAGAAACTCACCAGCGAGCTGACCGAGCTCCGCGTATCCCATCAGGAAATGCAGCAGCGACTGGATCAGCTGCAAGAAGACCTCTCTACAACCAACATGGACCTCGAGAAGACTCGCAATCTGAACGCCACGCTGGAGAATGACCTCCTCAAGACTCAGCAAGAAGCGTCGAATGCCTTTGAGACCATGTCCGTCGCGGGCACATATACATCCCGCTACCCTAAATCGACCTTCGGAAGTCGCAGAGGAGGCGGCGGCACCTCACCCACCTCGTCCATCATAGGAGGTTTCGACCCACAAGGATCACCGCGCACCCTAGAATCGCTTCGTGCCAGTGAAGCACCCGGCAGTGGCGGTGGCTCCGGCATCCTACCCATGGTGACAGCCCAACGCGACCGCTTCAAAAAGAAAATCGGCGAGCTAGAACACGAGCTTCAAAAGCAGTACTCCAGCATCACCGCGCTGCGCTCCGAAGTCTCCTCCCTGCAAAAAGACAACCTCACCCTCTACGAAAAAACGCGCTACGTCTCCTCCTACAGCCGCACCGCTGCCTCAGGCGCAAGCTACGCAGGTAAGCCCAACCCCTCCACCATCTCCGTCGGAGCCGGCGACACAACCCCCACAGACCGTTATCGCACCGCGTACGAATCCCACTTGTCGCCGTTCGCCGCCTTCCGGGGCCGGGAAAGTGCCCGCGCCTTCAAACGCATGAGTCTCCCCGAACGCGCCATTTTCCAAATCACGCGCATGGTGCTCGCTACTCGCGCCAGTCGGAATCTCTTCGCGATTTACTGCTTAGCGCTGCATTTGCTTATTTTGGGCATGTTGTGGTCGTGGGCTGGCGGGGACTTGAGTGCGAGGACGGCGAGCGGGGTGGGCGACGTGGTTGTTGGGAGTGGTGTTGCGGGTTTGGGCGAGGAGGGCGGGGAGTGGAGGCAGGAGGGCTTTGATGCGAATACTTGATGGCAGGCGTGTGTGACTTTCGTGGTGTTTCTCATTGTGTTAACGCACGTGATGCGATGCTATTCGAACTGCGCCGAAGAAGGCAATTGCCATACCCTTTCCAACCCACGAAGTCATTCCGCTCTGTGCCGAATTTAGCGCCTGCAGCAAACAACACAACCCAGAATGGCCAGCACAGCCCAAACCCACGCAACCAATGCCAACCCACAATCCAAACAGAGATACATTAAGCAGAGCAAACGGACGCACGGCTTGCGTAACCAAGCCGCCCGCGCTGCCCGGCCGAACGCCATCAGCCAGCCAATCCAGCCTTGCTAAGCGCCGAGGGTCGTTCATTGGTCGCTGGGCGGGCGGCAGTTGGAACGAGCTGCGAGGCAGGGCGGGGGAAGTTGTGCGAATAGGTGATTTTGGCTGTTCTATTTTCATCTATTCTTCTTTGCTGTCTTGCTGGTCGGCTGTCTGTGTGCTCTTGTTTCAACGTTGGGGTTGGACGGGCTGGGTGGGTGATACTCCGCTGCTGCTTGCCGGAGGTTGGAGCATGAAGTGGGTTTAACAACCTCGCAACCTGCAGTGCCAGCCTGCGGTGTATTCACAAACTCCACCATCACGAGCACTCAGCAGTACGAGCTGCCACAACGTTGGAAGTATGCCCTGCTTGCTCCTCACCAACGAACGGCACACAACGACCCAGAGTGGAGATGAGGTTTGGCCCGGCCTCAAGGCTGGCCAATCACAACCCCCGCCCTCCCAGCCTAACCTTAACCTCGCCCCCAGCCTTGGCGGGTGCTGTTCTAACTTGAGCGCCGAAGCGCCCGGCCGGGTCACGACACTGACGATCACTGTCGTGGGACAGCGTCAGGCGTTTGTGAGGTTGTGTATATAGAATGGCCAGTCGCCGGTGTAGTTGGGAGGTTGGTGGTTGTCGGTTTCCTTCTTTACTTCTTGGTCTGCTTCCTTGACTTCCTTCTCTACTGTCTTGTGCTTGTTCTGATTACAGGCTTCTTGCACACCTACAAAGGATCAGTGCAACAACAACTTGACAACTGACATCCATCAAGACTCAAGAGTCATGCGTTTCTGTTTTGGCCTGCTGGTCGCAGCACTGGCACCATCTATCTTTGCCGCTCCTCACGACATGCAATCAGCTCGCGAGATCCTACGGCGAAACGACAATGTCGCCGAGTGTGGAGGACCGACCTCTACTACCACACATCGGAAGAAGTCCTACCTCGACCTGGAAAAGAGGGCCGCGACAACAGGAACCTGCGACATCCAGCAGGCAATTCAGCACATGGATCTCACAGCCGGTGAGTCCCTCTCCAATCCCATGTCTCCAACACCCACTAACACCCACCAGTCACCCCCGCCCTGCCCTCACCAGCAGCAGACCTCACCCTCTTCCAAGTAACCATAGGCCGCGGCACGCAAAACTACACCTGCGACCTCTCCAACGCAACCGCCGTGCCCGTCCCCCTCGGCGCCCTAGCAACGCTCTACAACTTCTCCTGCCTCGCAGCCCAACACCCCGCCCTGCTGTCCAAACTCCCCACCATAGCTCTCGACCTCCCCATCCCAACAGCGAACAATACCGATCCCGCAGTCATCGCCGCTCTGGAATCCGGGCACCACTACTTCATCGACGACTTCACGACCCCGTTCTTCAACCTCGATACCGCCGCGCATCAGTACGGGATGGGCGCGATGGCGAAAGCGAATGCGTCGGATGCGCCTTCTGATGCGGTGATTGGACCGCAGGGCCAGACGGGGTATGGAGCTGTGCAGTGGTTGCGTTTGGTGCCTGCGCCGGATCAGGGGATGTGGAAGGCGGTGTATCGGTTGAATACGGCGGGGGGCGACGCGCCGAAGAATTGCACGGGGCAGCCGGCTGCTTTTGAGATTCCTTATGCTGCGGAGTACTGGCTTTTCGTTTGATGATTGGGGGAGGTATGTGCACTGTGATTGATGGGACTTCTGGCGCGGTGTTAGTGGTGATCGTGTATTTCATCAATCTGGGGAAAGACGAGGCATGGAGCATGGCGTAGACGAGTTTTATCGAATCAAAGCAATCCCGTCCATTCATTCGTCTAGTCCTTTGGCAAAATCAGCATGCTCTCCTCATCCAGCCGCGGCCGGCTTGCCTTCTCGATATCCAGATTTCCCCGAAGCGCCGCCGCCCTGCTTAATTAAACGCAATATGCACACCCAAGCCAGCCATTCGATGCCGTCCATCTCTTCGCTCCCTACACAGACCACGCCAGCATGAACCGTCTATCCAAACGTCTGTACAGATTACCGCCGAATCTCGTCCATCGAGCGCAGCGCATCCCGCTCCCAATCATCGCTCTCCTCCCCCCGATTCGCCACTCGCAACCCGCCGCCCTGCTGCCACATGGGATTGTCTTCCATGTACGGCACGCTGATCTGCGACTCCCGGCGTCCATCGGCATACTGTCCGTAATCCGAGTCGGCGGGCGACTCGGGCTCCCTCATCTGCTCGTTTTGGTACTGGTACTCCATGTACCGCGGGTGCTGCGGGAATTCGATTTCATCGGGGCCGTCGAACATGTGCTGTCGGATAGGCGAATAGTCGAGCGTGGTATTCAAGGGCGGGGTGCGCGCTCCCTCGTTCGTAGGCGTCAGGTCGTTTCGCGAGAAGTCGACGGCGGAGCCTCCAGCGGGGAATTGTGCCTGATGATCCAAGCCGCCCGCTTCGCCTTCCAGATCCTCATAAACCGGCATCGACGTCAGACTCTCCATGTGCCGCAGCGAACTCCCACCACCTTGTCGCAGACTCCCGCCTCCGCCGCCTGCCCTAGCGCTGTTGCCGCTCCCTCTGCGTCCCAAACCGCTTTCGTCGGGCACCACGGTCCCCACGCTGCCTTCGGAGTCCGCGTCGCGGATGCTGAACTGCGCCATTGCGAATCCCTTGCGCCCACTCACCCAGTTTCCGAGAATCTTTCCTCGCTGCTTCTCTCCTAATCGCGACCGGGGGAACTCGCCGAGTCCCACGAAGGCCACAATGTCGAGCACGAGCTGGTGCTCGTTGAGAACTGTGTTGACGATGATGGGCACGAGGGAGGCGAGGTAGGCGCGCGTGCGGACTTCCGCTACTAGGACAAGAAGAGATCCCGCTTGGAAGATGGCGCTGCAAGCAAGCATTAGCAAAAACACACAACATCGCTGAAGCATGAGCATCAACATACCAGCCTCCGCGGACAAGAGCGCGATGGCTCTTCTCCACGCTCGACTCGATATCCATCGGGAAGTGCTGCAACCCATTCACCTCAAACGTCTCCCCAATACTCCCCAGCACAAACAGAACCTGCATCTCCACCATATTCCCGCCCGGCCCAATAGGCCGATTGACAGTATGCAAGAAGCCCAGATCGCCCGTGCGGACGTACCGCACCTGCGGATCGCCGTCGATCGTGTGCCCATTGAACCGCTCGTTATCAATCGGATCCGTCTTACCGTAGAAGCCGTGTGCGTTCGCTTCCGACTGCACCCAGATTTCGCCGTATTCGCCGACGAGACATAGGCGGTTGGTCTCCGGGTTGACAATGGAGATTTGCGTGCTGACGGGCACCATGCCGGAGTCCTGGACGAGCAGGGCAAAGGGCTCTTGATCTGGATCCACAGGAACGACGAGGCCTCTTCGCAGGGCTTGCGGGTCGAGGTAGAGCTCAATAGGTTCGATGCACATGTAGCTTCGACTGGCGACCATGGGGTTCAGCACGTGGCTGAAGATGGTGTTGATCGCCGTTCGCTCGAGGTTAGATTGCGCAAAGGCCGTCTTGACTCGTTGGTACACATCAATGCGCGGCCGTTGGTCCGTGGAGATCATCAAATTCTTCAATTCGTGCAGGCTCGGCGCCCTTCCCCCGCTGTTGCCAATGGCATGGTCGAGCATTTGAGCAGTTGCGTAGGTGTCTTTGATCTTGTACCGCGACAGCGTCTGGAACAAGATATTGGGATTGCCGGCGAAATCTACGGGCGAGACGAGGTACGTCGGACAGGCGAGGAAGATGCCCATCAAGCAGGTATGCAAGAAACCAAGGCTAATAGTGCTTCGTACGCAACCCAGCAGTGGACGTGTCGATGTCATCTGACACGTCTCCTTCTGGATCTTGCACAGTGCCATGATGGTATTGTGCCCGAGCTGCACGGCGATTCGTCTTTGATCGGGAGTCCAGTAAATCCATACCAGCACTGGATGTCCAGGCTGGATCCAAGCTGGGCGAATGGTCAGGCCCAGTTCCCTGCAACCATGAGACTGCTTTGAAGGCTTGGTCGTGTTGTACACCGGTGGTAGTTGGATCTTCAAGATCAACGCCGACTGCTTCAGATGCTGGCTGACCGGCTTCAGCCTCAGCAAAGAGTCGACATCCCCGTTGACGATCAAGGCTCGGACGCGATAATCGTTAATGACGTGCAGTAAAGCAGGCACATCCTCGTTCAATCGGTTCTGATCAATGGGAGCCATGGGGATAGCCACCGCGCCAAGGCAAATGCAAGCGTGGACCGCAAAGACAAAGTCTTCGGAGTGGGTGTACATGAGCAGCACATGATCGCCAGGCTGTATTCTGGCCTTGTTCTTGAGGTAGGTGGCCACGGCGGCGACGCGGAGATCCAGCTTCTTCCAGTTCACGCCCTTGCCTTCCCTGCCTCTGCTGTCGATGCTGCAGTAGCTGAGCTCTTCCGGCTGCCGGGATACGCGCCATTGCATGAGATCGTGGATATTGCTGAACTGGTTCAGCGGCGTGCTCGTTCGATCGTCAATCACGACTTCCCGATGGTCCACGCCAGAGTACTGCTTGTCGGCATGCAGGGCGAGCATGTTCATTCGCACTTGACTCGCTTGCGGAGACCACACGCCGCCCACAGGGTCGTCTCCCAGCGGGAGATTCTGTACCGCCCGCTCCACGCCAAACTTGACGTGCACGCAGGGCAGGTTGCCATTCTCAAACTCTTTCCTGCAAAGCATATTGCCAATCTCCGGTCGGCCATTCTTGACAATACGAGGCAGGGTGTTTGGCGCAGTCATCATGACGCAGTAGATGCGGAGGTGGTGCACTTGATACAGCACCTCCATCACTCGCTCACTAAGCGCATCGAGGAAATCGGGTTTCAACTGATTGGGAGCTCCGCCGGTGGTCGTGGGGGCGGTGCTTGCCGCTTGAGTTTCGATGAGGAAGATGGGGAGGTATTCGCCGTTCACGTGGACGTCGAAAGCGGAACAGTCGTAGATTCGCGGCACCGTCTTCATGACCGTCACAACCAAATGTTGGACGAAGAAGTAGCGGTGCTCGATCTCGTGCTGGCCGTGTTCCACCCATTCAACTCGTTGCCGAATACGGTCCTCGTACAGCCCAAGGACGTAGATCTTGCCTTCGATGATGCATCCCAGCAGGCCGGTCCGGAGGAATTCCGGCTCGACGAGCACAGGAGTAGGAGAGTCTTTGACGAAGCGATACGGTCGAGCATGGAAGATGTTCTCGGTGTGCTTGGGGAGTGCCCAGAAGCCGCCCGACAAACTCGGGGAGTCGACCCAGATTTCGCCAATGGTATACGGAGGGCACAGCAGGTTGGTTTCCGGATCGACCAACGCAACGGTAGCATCTGGAATCGGGTACCCAAAAGCGCCGACTCGTACGGTGCCAGGCTCACTGGATCGTTTGATGGCATCATCTCCAGTCGCCAGCACGACCACTTCGTTCGTCTTCAAGCTCTCTTTGTCGAGGAGCAACTCGCTGAGTTCGTTCTTCGACCGCTTCCCCTTGAAGTGCTTTTGATCTCGACGACTGCCATCTAGTAGACTTGTGAAGCCGTTCGCACCCGTCGTGGTCGGCGTAACTACCTCGTCGTCGCTATCGTGATCCTTGTCGTCGTCGATGGACAGCGGGAAGCCCATGTTTTCCTCGCCGCCGAGCCAATCTCGAACACTGACAATCATGCCGCCGTGCTCGGGCAGGCACAACATGGGCGCAACTAACTGTCTCGCTCGAGGATTGCGCATAGGCTTCAGCCATCGATCGGCCAGGATTTCGTGGAATTCAGTATCGACCGTCAGAGTATCGATAAGACAAAGCTTGACGGCGGAAAAATTCGGCTCCATTCCTTTCTTGAAGTTGCGGGTGGCCATGGGGTCTTGTTGGTAGTTGTACGCAGCGCGTTTCAGTCCAGGGTAATCAGCAACCATGATTGTCGCCCGATATCTCGTGATGAGATTCGCGTAGATGCCCGGAGTATCGACGGTCCTGCTCTCCATCCAGACGGTCGTGTGGCCACCATATACACCCAAGAGAACACCCAGAATCAAGCCCACGCCTTCTCGGGGATCCAAGTAGGAGATAATAGTTTCGGCTCTGCCAGGTCTAGGCGCGATGAAACTACCATCGGAATTCCTCAGAGTGCTCGAGAACGTGTCCATGGACTCCGAGCCGGGGATGGTAGCGATGATGGCGCTCACGCACGCCATTTGATGCATAATGGTGCGGTGGCTGAGTACGACGCCGCGCAGGTCGCCGGTCGGGGCTCGCGAGAATTCAATATAGGCCAAGTCTGGCACATGCAATGCCGCGCCCTCGTCCTTTTTCTTGTAACTGTACGAGCCGAATTCGTTGGTCTTCCACCACTCGACGCCAGCCGGCCACTTGAGTTTCTGGTTGGCGATGTCCCGTTGGAAGGTCCGGAGATTGTTGTCGGTCGTTAAGGCCAGGTGCGTCTGCGTAGTAGCCAAAAGGAGGGAGAGTTTCGCATAGTCGTCGACATTGTTGATCGGCACGGCGACCACGCCAGCAATGAAGCATCCCATCAGCGCAATGGCAAAGTCGATAACCTCTGAATCCTTGTACACGAGCGCCACGCGGTCTGCACGGTTCAGATTGCTCTTGTCGCGGATGAGTTGCGCCACCTTCTCCGCGCGAGAAGCGAACTTGTCCCATGTGATGGAGCTGACCTCTTTCCCTCGCGGATCCACCACCCAGTACGCCACGTGTTTGGCCTGCATCTTCCCCCGATGTCGCATCACGGCCGCGATGTTGTCGAAGGAGGACATGGGTAGATTGACGTTGTTGGGGTCGTAAACGGCAAAGGGTACATCGCGAGGCTCGAGGGGTAATTGATGCTGGGGTGGAATGGGAAGGTCGTTTCGAGAGACGAATGGCGGCGGTACGATGGCGGAGGGGGAGAGGGCTTCGGACTGGCTGTATCGCTGCGGACCGCCATAGCTCTCGCGCGGTCGATCATCGTCGACCTGTTGTTGGCCAGTGAAGTCGGAAAAGTAGCCTTGTTGCGCGGAATCGAGCATCGTGCTCTGCCTGCTCTCATCCGGCGAAGGCCAGCCGGGCTGCTGCATGTCCGGACGAAAGGCATAGCTCCCGCTGCCCACCATTGTGCTCTCCGGCGAACTATAGCTGCTCCCTCCTTTCTCCGTGCTGCTGAGGGAAGCCAGGCGCTGGCCGGCGGGCGGCATCTTCATTCCCAACTGCTGCTCTTGAAACCGCTGCACCTGGCTCGGAGGCGGCACCTGGTAGGATGGAGAGGGCGGGCGGACCGAGAGCCCCGCGGCAGCGTTTCCATTTCCCTGTGGACTATACGCCGTATACGGTGCGTCGGTGATGCTGCCATAGCTCGTCGTCTTCGCGTGTCCACTGCCAATGCTCGCCGAGGGGGAATGAAATGTCGAGCTGCCGGGGCTGCCCGTCTCGCGCAACTGCCGGAGTTGTTGGGAAGTCAGGAAGCCGGAGAGGATGGCGGTGCGTCTCTTCTCGTAGCCCTTTTGCGTGATCTCGCCCTCTTCGTACTCGAGATCCAGCTGCTGGAGCGCATTCTGCAGCTCGGGATCATCTATCGACGCCATCGCTACTCCCCCGGGCGCATGCCCCGACAACCAAGACGGGGAGGGTGTGGATTATGATGCTTCGCCAGCTCCGCAGGCTATCGAGAGGGCGGTGGGGTAAATCGCATGCGCTCATGCGCTCGCAGGGGTTCGTTGGGATGGTCGTGGCCTCGTCCAAATGGGCATTCAATGCAGGAAGGCGGGAGGTGGGAGATCCGAGCAGATCATCACCCTGGACGATCTTCGGTGCGGTGACAATTACCTAAGCGTGGGCGGCGGGCACATCCATGCGAGGAGGAGATTCTGACGCGCGCGAACTCTTTTTCTGGCACTTGCCTCCTCGGTTAGCGAGCCGAAGCACGTGAGCCTTCCATCACCCATCACGCTTCCAGAAGGAACAAAATGCAAAGGACGTTGGGTATGAAAAGGGTCTCGAAGAAGACTATATACACATAGTCAAAGTCTACATAGAAACTCGCCGGGAGAAGAAAATCAGAGCCCACGTGGTATGAACACCACTCCATTCTATAAAGCGCCCCCTTGGTATCCTGGTATCCCATTCATATCTCATACCCACATAACCAGACATGCATCCAGAGTACGGCAATCACCCACCTAGTAAGTGAAAGCCTCCTCGATGAAATCCACACACCCTTCCGTCGTCACGTCGCGCACCGCCGCCCGCACCGAATCCGCAAACGCCCCCGGTCCGCAAACCGTGACGCCCATCGCGCCAATGCGATCCTGCATTTCCTTCTGCAGGATCGTCTGCGGATTGCAGCGGCCCGGGAACATCTGCACGGAGCCCGTGTTCGACACCACCTCGCCGCGATGCCGCGGTTTGGTGACGAAGAGCTGGATGCGCAGCACGTCGCGCCGCCCTTCCATCCGCAGGATCTTGTCCATCCACGTCCGCACCCATTCGAGGGCTTCGGTGTTCGGGACGGACCAGACGAGCAGGATTTTGCGGCACACGGTCGTGCCTGCTTGGTATTGTGAGAGGAGGTGGTGGACGTAGCCGACGCAGTGCGTGATGCCTACGCCCCCGGCGAAGAGAATAACTGTGCCGTACGAGGTGAAGGACTCGTGTCCGCCGTACGGGCCCTCAATGGCGCCCCAGGTGGTGATGATACCCGTTGGGGATGCCGCTGCTTTCTCGTAGAGCTTGCGTGTCATGCCCGTGCGCGCACGGATGATCAGGGAGACGGTCGACACGTCTGCGCCTCGTGTAAACGCCATGCTGGTGTCGTCTGCTCTCTGCCCCTTACCGGCAAGCGTGACGGCTGCGCTGGAGAAGCGCGGCATCATCTTTGGTCGCTTCTCCGAGGCAGAGCTGAGGGCCATTGGCTTCTCGGACTCGTAAGCCGGCGGCGCGAGCGACGCATCTCTCGACCGGTTCTCCGCCCATGCAACGGAGAAGGGGTGACTTGACCAGAGCGCGATCATCGGAAGGTACGCGTGAACATGGCATCCCGGCTTCCAATGCCACGGTCGCGAGATTTCAAAAGTGACTCGGCAGGCTTCGGCGGGCAGGGCTTCGGCGGTGACTTTGGTGATGCCTTTTTGTCTGCTAAAGTTGTACATGAGGATGCGGCCGGTGCGGAAGACGTATTCGGCAAACCAAAGGGCGAGGACGAGCTGGCAGTATGGGACTTGAGGCAGGCCAGCAGCATCGAGGTGGATGTAGACCCCTACAATCCCGATGGCGACGAGGATGCGGTGGCCGTTGAGGAACGTCTCGTAGAAGGCGTGTCTGATCGGGCTGCACGCGGTGAGGAAGATGAAGAAGAAGGCGCCCATGCCCACCATGCCCCAGGTGTAGCTCACGCTGTCGGTGAGGGAGGAGTTGAGGTATGTCAGGCCACCTGCCGCCATTGAGTTGACGGCCCATGCGATGGTGTGAATGGTGGCTTCGATGACCATCACGCGTGCGCACCATCGGTGGAGGAGATTGAAGGTGTCGTAGGAGACGCCCAGCAGGGACATGAGGGGGTTATTGCGGAGAGCGAAGACGACGGTAGGTATGAGGTTCAGCACGGCGAGGATACCGCTTCGTCCACGGATGGCTGCCCATAACGCAGCCTTTGACGATTCCGTGTACGGTAGAGCGAGGATGTATGCAATGTTGCTGAAGAGGTAGAGCATGATCACGATGGTATGGTATCGCGACGGGAGGGTGCCGACGTTGATGGCCTTTGACAATTGAATCTCCCGGTTGTGTCGCTTGTGGAAGAGCGGGGCGTAGATGAGGCGCTGTTTCATGGCCGGCCAGAAGGTGCCTCTGTTGAACATCCAATACCGCTGATCCTCCCACCTGCCCATTGCGCAGAGGTGGCGGATGTGTGAGTTGCCCATTTGCAGCCATCGGTACAGGAGCGTGATTGCCAGGAGGCCGCAGAAGGAGATGACGAGAACGTTGACGTAGAGGTAATTGAGGGGTTGATTGACGCCATTAAGGCCTTGGGTAAAGGCGGCGGCCGGGCCGAGAGAAGAAGAGGTCGCGTTCACCGCACGGGCGGCGAGGTGTGTTATCGGACCATCCGGGGCGACGAGGTTTGCAGCATCTCGCGATTCCATGATGCTTCGTCCAGCAGTGAGGGCATCGCCGACGGGCGAGTCTCGGCTCGCGAGGTGATTGAGGTGCTCGAGGAGGTGGAGTTGGTGGCGATGCATCGCGACCGGCACGTTGCGAGAGGGCCCAATGTAAGGGGACAAAGGAATGGCGGGTCCCGAAGCGGAAGTGGTTGTCGGCGCAACAAAGGAATGGACGTCGTGGTGATCTGCAAGCAGAAGACCGATGATGTAACACGCTGCACCACCGAACGAGTGAGGTTGGTCGCGTTGCTACGCAGCAACCACCAGGCGAGGAGGTGGTGTCGCGAAGGGTGAAGGGCGAGGACGTGAATGGGTGAGTGCTGCACCGGGTGGTGAAGCGATCTGCCGCGTCAATGGCGTAATTACCTCAGGGGCGGTCGGGAATCCTTTGGGCAATCTACCGGTCCCAAGCAAACGAGGCGCAGCCGTTCGGCGTAGCGCAGATCTCCCGGGCACCGTTGAGTGGTAGAGATTGCAGTGTGCGGCAACCAGTTGCTATGGCGTCTGACAAAGGAATGTGTCTCGAGGTGAGAGGTTTGGTAGCGACAGCGCAAACGCTCAGTGTGCCAGACACTGTGGGAAAGAAACGAAGCAAGACTCTGCACAGGCAATCTGAGAGGGGGCCGCTGATCGAGAGGAAGATCGAAGGGAGGTTGGAAGTGGAGGAAGTGGCCGTTGCGCCTCCTTTTACATTGGTGCCGGGAGGTGACGGTGGGTGCAGGGAGGGCGGAAGCTTCGCGCGGGCGAGGCCATCGCATCGGGCGCAGCAAGGTGATGACAGGTCGGGCTCCATCCGCTTGAGACAAGCGATGAAACCGCCCACCGAGTGGCCCCGGCGGGAACGGTTGAAAGTGAAGAAGGGGGAGACGTTTTGTCGGCGGCGGTGGTGGAGTGCGGCTCGCAGCCTTTCGGCTGTATCCTCGCCTTCTGATTGGCCGCGCGCGCGTGTTTCATGCATTAGCGTCGAGCCTCCCCTGGCGATCCAACGTCGCTGCGTCGCTCGCTCGTTTGGCGCGGTTTCACGCCATTCTCCTTCCGCCTGTCGCGTCATCCTAGTCGTTTTACCACCCTCGTATTTCTCAATGTGATACGTGCGCGTTGGGGACGCGCCGACGGCCTCGGTCGCAGAAGAGTCGCCCTGCACGGCGATGCGCCGGAATCGACCTGGCCAAGACGTGATGGGGGCATAAGGAGAGGGAGTGACCACTTGCGGCGACATTGTCACGGCGTCATCTCCTCCTATTTGCTCGCAGATTGACAAATGACGCGGTTCGAGGGATGCCAGCGGGTTCATCAGTGCTCCTGCCAAGAACGGGCGGAGCAAATGGAACAGCCCGAGTCATGCCTCTGCTGTTGAGCTGGCGCCTCGTTTCAACCTGCTATCCCGGGCGAGAATGTGCAAAAACCTGGTTGACATATGGGCAAGATACTGGTAAGACAGATGGCGAAAACGGAGATCGCCGGATAGGGCCCAGCAGCTGCAAGCTGTGGTGATCCCGGCAGTAGTAGGGCCTGGATCGGCACTGGAACGAGATATGTGACACGTAGCACCGCAGCGCATGGCATCTTGCATGCAGAAGGAAGCGAGGATTGCAAATCGCTCCCAGACCCAAAACGCCAAGGCCCCCCATCTTCCCTGCTGCTTGCCTCAGATGCCCGACTCCCGTTGATTGCTACGTTGCTACTCGTCACATTCATCGCTATACCCTGCTAGATATGTCGCAAAAGGACAACGATCTTGAAGTACGCAGCGCGGTTGCGGGAGATGCCAAGTTCATCGTCGACACCTTCGATTCCACTCTGCCGTATCTCGCCTCGGTCGGTGCAGGGGAGATGTGGGGCAGCGAGCCCTTCTCCCAGCGAGATGGGTTCATGGAAGATATTGTCGAGGCCATTCAAAAGGTAGAGGACAAGGAAGCTGACGACACTCGCCGCATCCTCGTTGTCGAACGGCGTGATCCGAACGGTGCGGAAAACAGAGTCGCGGCTGCAATGATTCGCGATGCATTGCCTGATCATCTGCACCAACGGCCAGAGCTGGCCGAGGAGATTTCCAAAGCATTGCCTCTACTATACCTCGAGGTCCTGATCGCTGACCATCGGGCTGGACCCGATCGCAAGGGTGCGGGAGCGGCGGTGATACAGTTCATGAAGCGACGCGCACAAGCGAGTGGGAAACGTGTGCTGTACACCGACGCGTGGGCAGGGAATGCGAGAAGGTTGAACCGGTGGGTCTTTGTCTATACTAATCGCGAAGGCATCGGTAAAGCTGAGGCGAGCCGCAGGTACTATGCGGACCTGGGATTCGCAGAGGTGGGTGACTTTTCGCTGACTCGCAAGAATGGGTCGACGTGGACGGGAACACTGCTACGGTTGGATCTATCCAGGTCTGCCAATTAGACTCCGAAAGGTCTCAGGTCGAACCGGTCATGTTGGACTGTCGTTGTTGCGCATTGCATCTTCACATCCGAGACATGGGCAGGGATGAATTTTGCCGTCCATTTTTATTATGGAGCCGGTCGAGGCTGCGGCATCTGCTACCGAACATCGTGTAACACGTTGAGCGAATCCTTCAGAGTCGTGAGACAGGAAAGCGAGAAAACGACGGGGAAGGTTGTACCGGCCGGGGCCAGCAGCGCGTGGATATGTGGGCGGTGTGTGGAAGAGTTTTCTTTTCGCTGCAAGCTTCGCCGCGGAGCCATGTGCCTGCAGATGTCGTGTCAACCACTGTTTCCAAGCCCTGCGACTGGGTTTTTTAAAGGGGAAAAGCTCCGATGCGTTCTGACCGTCGGCATCGCATTTGTTACGGGTCTCCGTTTCACGCAGTATCTGCAATGCTGCTCCGCCGCAAATGCAGCAGTCTCCTGTCTTGGCTCCGCTCGTTTCCGCAAGCAAAAGGCCGTGCGATTCGAAGGAGTAAAAGGAGCATGAAGGTACGAGCCGTCGGAGCATTCAAGGGGCCCGCTTTTGCACGTGATGGTGGCTGTCGTGCCGAGACACAAGCGAATGGCGGCAGTTCGTATCCAAACGCCTCAACTCACACCGCGTAAATATACACGGCAGCGTGCAGCCTTGCACAACTTCGTCTTGTGTTGCGTTCCCCTGCGAACTGCCGCCTCCCAGCTTCCCGGGCAAGGTTTCCTGGGAAAATCAGGATTGACCGCACAAATGGACGGAAGAAGCTAAAGCGGACGACCGCCCTGCTCCGGCGGGGCGCTTGCCGTTGGTGACGCGTGTGCGGCGATGAACCTCACTAATCGCTCAGTAAGTCAAGCCATTCGTTCGTTCGTATGCTGGCTGTGCTTTATCCTGTCGTTGCCTTATTCAGCGTCTTTAATTACATGCGCCTCTCCTATTCACTCTCCTTGACAACATGAGTGCGCTGCGATCAACCTCCTCCCGCGGTGCTTTTCCTCTCCGGCCCTTCTCGGCATAGGTCGTGCAGGCATGCCCGACAATGCGATTGCTGTATCATGACGGCGGCTGGAGCAAGCGTACGCACACCGATAGACAATCGCATCTGCTCGAGTTGTCTGCTTCGTTTGCTGACCCCTATGCTGCAGTGCGGCTGCCGACCCAAGCCCTGTCAAGACGTTCCTGCCTAACCACACGCCGTCGGCTCCTTCCTCGACACATCGCTTACAGCTTGGCGATCGTTGCCTGCGTCTTCTTCCTCTTCCACTCCTTCACCTCGCCCTCCCCTCCTCACAAGGCACGCATCACCAAAGTCACCGAGCGCATTTCCCCCATCAGCGACGTCTACGAGGCATCGTTGAGAAGCCATGATGAACATAACCGCATCCACGATTACGACCTCGTCGTCTTCGGCGACCAGGCCGAAGGCGAATACTACAGCAGGGCAAAATATCTGCTCAGGCTGATCACAAATGAGCTGGCATTGCCCGCGGGCAAAAGAAGAGAATGGCTGATGTGGGTGGACAGAGATGTCATCCTCCTCAACGAACAAATCCCCCTCGACATCTTCCTCCCGCCCCCGGACTTCCCACACATCCACTTCCTTGGCACCCACGATAAGATCCACGGCTTCAACGCCGGCGTCTTCTTCATTCGCGTCCACGAGTGGAGCATCAACCTACTCAAAGACGTCATCGCACACTCCGAAGCCGACACGCCCGAAGCAGTCCACGGCTCTGTCAAAGTGGGCCGCTTCGAACTGACGGAAGAGCTGCGGGACCAGCGCGCCTTTCACACCATCTTGCGAGGCGACCCTTATCGGGACAACGTCCTCTACCAGCCGCGCAATTGGTACAACACTCTTCCGGACTCCACCGACCACCACGGCAAAGAAGGCTATCTCCTCACCCACTTCAACGAACTGGAAGGGCCACGAGAAGTCGGCATGACCATTACAATACTCAGTCACGCCCGCTCGCCGGAATCGTATAGTGCCCCCGTGAGTCACACGCTGTACCCTCGCCGCATCAGAGAATTCTGGGAGCGCGTCCGCGAGGCGAAGCAGCTGTTGCCGCACGCGCAGGCGAGAATCAACGAGGAAGCGGTCTGGGAGGGTTTCCGGCGCTTGTCGTATGCGAGTACGTACGAGACGGATGTGGAGAAGGTGTTGACGGCTGCTATTCACATGCTGAGTCGAGCACTCGGGCGGATGGACAATGTAGATCTCGGGCACCCGGAGGATGCTTGAGGATCAGCGAGCAGTGCACAAAGCATATCCTTTTGATTTGGAGCGTTACAGCGTTGCATTGCGATGGGAAGTCCTGGAACTGGAGCCGGTGGTCTCTACAAGGCCTCTCGGCCACATACTTTACTGCAGAGTGGCAATACGTTTCGTACATTCGATTGGCCGACTTCTGTCTGTGCACGAATGACATGACAGTCCAATACTATCTATCTCGACAGTCACATCCCCTTCACTACCTGCCCCCTCCGCGTCTCCTCGCCAGGCCTCACCCGCATCCAAGCCCTCATCTGTTCCACATGATCGCCCCCAAAGATCTGGTCAACCTCCGGCTTAGGATCGGCAGGCAACGACTGAATCTCCTCCTGCGGCGCCCACACCACACCTGATTCACGAACATACTCATTCCACAAGCGCAACAGCTCCCGCTTTTTCTCCGGCTCGGCCTCGGACTGGTCTTCAATCTCCCCTGGATCTCGCCGAATGTTGTAGAGTTGCCAATCGCCTCCGCCCATCGCCGCTTCGATGCGCACGATCTTCCACTCGCCTTTTCGCAGCGCGCCGCGGCCGTGCAATTCCCAGCCCATGTAGCTGTCTTCTCGCCCGTGGATGCCATCGTACGCTTCTGGACGGGATTTGTGGTCGGTCAGGAAGGGAAGCCAGGACTTGCCGCGCATGGGTGCTACTTTGCGGCCGCGGAATGCGCCGTCTTTGGTTGCGGGGTGCTTGATGCCGGCTAGGTCGAGGAAGAGAGGACAGATGTCCATGACTGTTGCGAAGGATCTGATGAGTGCGCCGTTTTGGAGATGGGGTGCGAAGCCGGGATAGTGGATGACTTGATGCCGTCAGTCTGATTCCTCAGAGGCAGGCATCGGTCGATGGAGGATACTCACTAAATGGCACCCTGATGCCGCCTTCGGTGGTGAAGATCTTGTACAGACGACTCGGTGCCGTACTCGCTTGTGCCCATCTCGTCCCATACCAGACATAGCTATCGGCGTGCCCGATATTGTCGAAAGAGTTGTTGTAGTACTTCCGCAATACTCGCATCAGATCCGGACCCATGGTTGGCAGAGACTCGATGTCCGCCCCTTCTGCTCCATTGTCGCTCTGGAAGATGATGACCGTGTTCTCGAACTGCCCGCTCTCCTTCAGATACTGCACTATCCTCCCCACGTTCTGGTCGATGTTGTCCACCATGCCGGCGAAGCACTGCATTGCTCGCGCGCTGCACTTTCGCTCGTAAGGTGTCATCTCCTCCCATTCCAGGCTGGCCGGACCAGCGACGACATCGTGCGGTTGCACGTCCTCGTCGATGATCCCGAGCTTCTTCATCCTCTCCAATCGCTTGAGGCGTAATGCGGCAGGACCATCGTCGTATACGCCCTCATATCGATCACGATCCAGATCGCTGCACTGCAAAGGCCAATGCGGCGCCAAAAACGGCAAATACGCAAAGAAAGGCTTCTCCCTCTCCTCACCAGACCTCTTCTTCAACCACCGAATCATATTCTGCGTGTAATAATCCGACGAATAAAACCCCCTCGGATCATTCCTCACATTCGGCTCGACGTCAAACTTCCGCCCATTCATCGTGTACAACCGCGGACTGACGCGCAGATGAAACGGCGTCCAATCCTCGTCCTCAAGCTGCGGCTCCCAACCGTAGTGATTACTCTGCCCGTCCAGCAGCGTGAACGCCTGCGCGAACCCCCGCGCCGCCGCATTCGTCTCGGGCGTGTACCCCAAATGCCACTTCCCGGAGATGAGCGTGTGATACCCACCGTCTTGCAAGATTTCGGAGAGCGCGGCGACGTCGTGGTTCAGGTGGCCTTCGTACCCGCGCACGTTGAAGAGGTCGAGGTATTTGCCGCGTGCTTCGCTCATGGCGCCCACACCGGCTATGTGGTTATCCGTCCCGCTGAGGAGCATGGCGCGGGTGGGACTACAGGCTGCTGCTGCGTAGTCTGCTCTTTGGTTAGTGGGAGTTGGGGGTTCGTGGAGTGATGCCTTTACAGTCGGTAAAGCGAGCGCCATCGCGGGCGAGAGCGTCGAGATGAGGCGTGCGAATCTCGCTGCCGAAGCAGCCGATGTCACTGTATCCAAGATCTGGGAGACGCTTAGTTTGGGTACGAAGCGGCGAGGGGATGCAAGGTCTACCGTCTGCTAAGATGATCAGGAAGTTCGGAGGCTTGTCTGTCTTCTTGTTGCCTCGCATCGTTGCTTCGTGCAGCCTTGTCGGCGATGGTCGTCGCAAAACCAATCGGATGTGAAATGCAGAGTCAACCTTCCACGTGTCGCTTGAAAGGCGGCGGGGGAGGTTGTTAAAGGTGTAAGTCTACAGCTCGCGGTGGAAGTGAGGTTGGGTGTGGGGTCAGACATGCCTCACGACGATCGATCCTCAAGGAAGAATACATCTCCCTTAGTCAGTCGGTTTCGCACTCGCATGCAGTGCAGTGGTCGTATCAGGTGCAACGCATTAGTTCTCAGAATGTACAATGCTACGAAGATTCATCAGATTGGCCCAGAAGTCTAACCTCACGACAACAGTCTAGAGGTGCGCCTCAGCCTTGTGCTCATGTGTCTCCGCCCTCTTTTCGAGCACTTCGTCCACCACCGGATTCACGAATTGCTCCTCGTCATAAGCGTCAACACTCTCATCCTTAAACTTCCTCGCCGGCACCTGCCTCCAAAACAAGATGTTGAGCTCTTCATACGTCCTGCCCTTCGTTTCTGGCAAGCGAAAATAGGTCCACGCCACCGCAATCAAACACGTCCCGGCAAAGACAAAAGCCGTCTTACCCTTGAGGCCCGCGGCCGTTGGATTGAGTAAGTAAGGCACACACACGCCCCACACGATACTGGAGAGGTAGAAGGAGTTCCGAGCTATAGCGATTGTGGGTCTTCGAAGCCGTGTTGCAGAGACCTCGCTGGCGATCGTCCATGCCACCGGGCCGACGGAGATGTCGTAGAGGAACACCCATACGACTAGTAAGATGGATTGAGCCCAGTCGGCGGCTCTGTTGGTGGATGGAGCTATTGCGACGAATCCGATGGTGAAGAGCACCACGCACATGCAGCTTAGTCCAACGAGGAAAATGGAGCGGCGGCCGAAAGACGTAAGCAGGAACCAGGAGAGGACAGTGCCGAGAAAGCCGATGGCGTAGTAGCCGATGCTCAAACCGAAAGCGTTGGAGTCGTCCAAGCCGGCCTGTTCGAAGAAATACGTATTGTAGCCTTGCAAAGGAAGGCCGGAAAAGGTCTGAATGCCCCAAGCGCAGAAGGCAATTTCAAGGCGACGCCGATCGGTGCCTTTGAACACGTCGAAGAAGTTCCCGCCGACTGTCAGCTTTTCCTCTTGCGTGGTTCGAGTCATCAGTGCGATTGCCTGGCGGGTGTCGGCGCCGGTGGAGAGGCGTTGCAGTGCATGCTCTGCATCTTCCACACGCCCTTTCCGAATGAGCCACCACGGCGACTCGGGGCAAAAGAGCATCCCGATGAAAAGAGGCACGGGCCAAATCCACTGGATGGCAAAGGGAATGTCGTACGCCCATCGGCCTGCCATTCCTTCCACGCCGCGCAGTACCCCGGCCGCAAGGAGCTGACCGAAACTGTAGGACAGGTATTAGCCACGATATGGGCCTCTGCTATTATAGGAGACCGCTCACATTGCTGATAAGTTGACAAAGGATGTCAAATACGCCCTCAAGATCACCGGACACACTTCTGATGCGTACGCCGGGGCGGTCGTGTGGAAGATACCCCTGTTGACATCAGCACAACCGGCATAAACGTAAACGAGGTGAAGCTGGAGGTTCATACCATGGTATCCCGCACAGAAACTCGCCGACAAGTAGAACAGCCTTCGATTCTGCAAAGAAGAGGATGAAGATGAAGCCAGTAATGGCTACGTACGCGCCCAGCATCGTCTTCTTCATCCCAATGCGCTCGGAGATCCATCCGTTGAACAGAATGCCGATGATGACTCCAACAGAGCTGGCATTTGATATGCCGCTTTGCCATGGAGCGGGAACCTGATAGCCCTTCTTAAATGGCTTGCCAAAGTGCTTTTGGAATGCCTTTTCGGCGTACAGCGAGCCCAAGAAAGATTGATCGTAGCCATCCATCACCACTGCCAACGACACGAAGACGGACCAGAAAACGGCTTTGGGATATTTTCGCAGGCCTTTGACTGGCTTGAGCTTATGCTCCGCTTCGGTGGCCTCCTTTGCATCGTGGAAGATGCTTTTGGCGAGCGGCGCATTGTTCTCGATGATGGCTGGGTCGTGGCGAGCATTTGGCTGCGCAAGCTCCGCTTGGATTTCCTGGGAGAGGTACGAGATGTCGGTCGCCATTGCATTGGAGGTGAGACTGGAGTTCCGAATGCCCACGGCTACGGCTGTCCATTAATAACACCATCGTGCGGGGAAATGCGAATGCGGGATGCACAGCGTTCCTGTCGATCATTGCGGAAGTGAGGCATCGGTGTGCAGGGTAGCAAGGTAGGGTTGGATGTTGCGATCTCCACGTGCGGTGATTGGACTGTGCTGCGGATGGTCGGCCGGCAGGATGCTGGGCTGCCATGAACATGAAAAGCACCCGCAGCTTCGTAATACTTAGCCGATAGCATTGTAGCAAGGGATGGACGTGCCGTTGTGGTCCTCGTGGCCAGGCCGTTGATGCCTGGAGCTGTCCTGCCGAGCTTGCGCGTTACATTCGTCAAGGCACTTCTGCCTGCCTGATGTTCGTGGGTGTCTTCTTGGCGGAACACATGACTTGGGCGTTTAGGGAAGGTGCGAATGGCAGGCGGCGTCATCCCAATGGCAGCCTTCGCTAGCGCGTCGTCTTCAACGCGCACAGACACATCCATACACGACTACATATCAGCCAGCTGTGCCTAGGCATTGCAAGTTCAATCGACATCCCGCACCATTGCCACTCATGATTGACGTCCTCACCTTGACAGCGTCCCAAGCGCGCGACTTGCTCGATCAAAAGGCCCTTACATCCGTTCAACTGGTAGAAGCATATCTCGCCCAAATCGAGAAACACAACCACCAAGGACTTCACCTCAATGCCATCATCTCCGTCGCGCCTCGTGACAAGACTCTCGAACTTGCTCGCCGCTTAGACCATGAACGCTCGTCCGGCCATGTAAGAGGGCCACTCCATGGAATCCCCTTCGTTTGCAAGGATGTCTTCGCCCTCCATCCCGATCTTGGAATGCCTTGTACCGGCGGCGCGCCATGTCTCGCAACGGCCAAAGCTCGACGAACCGCGCCATTGATCCAACACCTTCTAGATTCGGGGATGATCCTGCTGGGCACAGGGAATTTGACTGAACTTTGTGGAATGAAATACGAAACTATCAAACCCGGCTGGTCACCAATGGGCGGTCAGACGCACTCTCCCTACATCTACGGCGGCACGCAGATGGATGACGGCTTTGTGGGCCACTCCTCCGGCGGTGGGAGTTCGTCAGGCTCTGGGGCGTCTGTTGCCGCTGGTTTCGCACCGTTGGCCATTGGATCCGAATGCTGTGGCAGTTTGACACTCCCAGCCACTCGAGCCGCAGCCTATTCGTTGAAGTGTGGCCTGAACCAAATCAATGTAGATGGCGCCCTTCACTACTCCGACAATACCGATTACTTGGGAGGGATGGCGAAGAGTGCCGACGATTTGGCCACCTTCATCGCCGCGCTGATGCAGAGATCTGAACCTTTTGATTTGAGTGGCGGGTTACAAGGGATCAAAATGGGATTCGTCAATTCCCGAGAATGGCAGATGTCCGAAGCAATGTGCAAGGCATCGGAGGCAGATCGCGAGGCGATGGTATGCAGATCCTTGAGGAAACTTGGGTAGGATCTGGCTAACGACAAGTCAACAGGACAAGGCGTTTCAGGCCGCAAAGGACAAGTTCACTGCCGCTGGTGCCGTGGTTTCGGAGGATGTGAATCTACCACATCCCAGTCAAAACAACCGATTCGAGTGGAAGGGCAAGAGCATGTTCTACGAGGTTACTGGTGAGATGTTCTGATATTCTCTGACTGCCAATGACTGACATTGCCCTGGTAGTCTATCAGATGAGAAATACAACGTTCCCTGCATTCTTCAAGGAATTCGAGGAATCGGAGGTTCACTCGATCCCAGAAATGATCAAGTGGAACGTTGATCATGCAGACCAATGCTTACCATTGGGTGATTTCATGCCCGTCCCTTAGGCTCAAAGACCGCAGACTAAACTTCAACAGAACACCCTTACCAGAGCCAGTTTTACGATCTGCTGCATGACCGAGTTACGCCGGAGGAGCACCAAGAGATCAGAGCGGCTTTCTACCATGAAGGCAACGACCTCTTGAAACTCTTGGAGACGCTGGACGTGGTCGTCGCGTTCGGCGAAAGCTCACTCGTCATGTACACCTCCGCCGCGCGTATGTCTTGTTGCCAACAGCTACCCCGCGGAGTTTGGTATGCTAACGATGCTCGACCCTAGAATGTCCGATCGCCGCCGCTCCATTGGGCACGATTCAGTACAGTGAAGAGAACGAGCGGCCGTTTGGTTTGTCCTTTGCCGCCAAACCAGGCAACGAAGGATTATTGCTACGGGTCCTCGCGGGGTTTGAGAAGCTGTACCCGCATCGTCCATTGCCGCGGCCTTTGACAGATGGTCCCAAAGTCTGAACGTCGACGTCACTTTCAATATTGTCCGACCCAAGCATTTCAACCCACGTGCTTGACATCTTCGGAAACTTCGGAGCTGTTACACGTGCGTTGCCAGACAAGACACGTGCAACGATAGCTGATTCGCAGTGACCCTCGCTACGCCCGAATCAACAGAGTTTTCATGCACTTCCCAAGCATATTGTTCGACCTGCCACATGCGATCGTAATCCACACACCTGCATCTATGTCTTCCACACGGTCCGGCGGCAGCAGCCGCGATATCGCGCTTGCATACAAATCGACAAGACGGTGTGCTTGTTCCCCGGCCTATCGTTCGTCACAATGCCTGCTCAGCACTTAGCCGCCGGAACTCCGGCATGGTAGTGCAGGAACTTTGCATACTTCGCCGCCCGCAAAAGCGGAAGGTTGAAGATAAGCTTTCCCTCCACTGGGGCGTCCTTGGCAAATCACCGGCCGCATGAGGCCACACGTGCTCGCCGCAGCTCTGGCGCTTGTGCCAATGGCCTCCAGTCCGTTCTTGCTGACGCTGATCGTCGGCCTGATGCTCCCAAAAACTTTTTCTCGGAGAGCTTGCGTAGCTCCAAAGTAGGCAGCTCTTGCGGTATATACGTAGGCACGGCGCCCAACATGGCCGAGGAAGAGTTGTCTTGCGCTCGTTTCCATTCGCTATCAACGACCAACGATATCCCCTCAAGATGGTTGTCCTCTCTGTCGCTGCTGCTGCAGTCCTCGGCGCCGCTGGCGTCGCTGGTCTTGCCAACTACCCTCCCATTCCCAAGGACTTGACCACGCCCGTCCAGCAGCGTCTGGCTTTCCATGCCAACAATGGTTTGTGTTGTTGTCTAGAAGCCTTGATGTAATCTGTACTAATCGGCGGACAGCTGTTGCGGTCGGCTGGAGCACGTATGAGAAGCAGAACATGTCCTGCGTGGAATATGGCTTTTCCGCCACCGCTTTGAACAAGAAGGCTTGCGCCAACACCTCCGTCACCTATCCCACTTCGCGCACTTGGTCCAACTTCGTGGTCCTGACCGACTTGGCGGCGGGAACCGACTACTACTGTAAGTGTCATTGGCCGTGCCATGAGAGCGAGATCTGATTTGGTCGTAGACAAGATTGTGTCCGGCAACTCGTCCGTTGGCACGTTCAAGAGTGCCCTCGTCGCCGGTGACATGGAGCCCTTCAACGCCACCGTCATGGCGGATCTCGGTGTGTACGGTGAGAACGGATACACGGTCAGCAGCAAGGCGAAGCGTGATCTCAGCCCTGCCGTGTCCCCCGAGCTCAACCACACCACCATTGCCGCCCTGGCCGCCACCATTGACGAATACGACTTTGTCATCCACCCCGGTGACTTTGCATATGCCGATGATTGGTACTACAACACCGACAACGTTCTTGACGAGAAGAATGTCTACGAAGCCATCCTTGAGGTGAGAACTCTGCTCGTTGGACATTGCGTTTCGTTGTTGCTGAGCGTCGATCGATAGAACTTCTACGACCAGCTGGCTTCCATTGCCGCCAACAAGCCGTACATGACCGGTCCCGGCAACCACGAGGCCGTGTGTGTCGAGGACGGCACCATTGACCACATGTGCCCCAACGGCCAGAAGAACTTCACCGACTACATGCAGCGTTTCGGCCGTGCGGTCCCGACCACCTTCGTTTCCCAATCGAAGAACAAGACTGCCGTCCAGCTCGCCCAGAAGGCTGCCGGCCTTGCTCTGCCGCCCATGTGGTACTCTTTCGAGTACGGCATGGCTCATATTGGTATGTGTCGAACTTGGTCTGGTCCATCCATCGTCCATTCTAACCATTGACCAGTCATGTTCAACACGGAGACCGACTTCTTCAACGCCCCCGACACCCACGGAAGCTACGACCTCGACGTCGGTCCTTTCGGCTCCAAGAAGCAGCAAATCAACTTCCTCGAAGCCGACTTGGCCTCCGTCGACCGCAGCGTGACTCCGTGGTTGATCGTCGCTGGTCACCGTCCGTGGTACTCCACTGGTGGCTACGGCAACCAGTGCTTCGCTTGCCAGAACGCGTTCGAAGAGATCTTCTACAAGTACGGCGTCGACGCCGCCATGTTCGGGCATGTGCACAACGCGCAGCGTTTCATGCCCATGTACAACAACAAGACCGACTCCGCCGGCCTGAACAACCCCAAGGCCGCTCTGCCGCTAGGTAAGATATCAGAGACAATTGCTGCTTTCGACTCATCTGGCTAACCACAACCGTAGTCATGGGTGGCCCGGGCAACATCGAGGGCCTCTCGGCCATCGGCTCCAACCTGACGGGCAACGTCTTCGCCTACAACGCCTCGCAGACCTACGCCCGTCTGCAGTTCATGAGCAAGCAGAAGCTCGGCGTGCAGTTCTTCCGCTCGAACGACAGCAGCCTCCTAGACAGCTCGGTGCTGTACAAGGAGCACGATGTCGCTTTCGTGGTGCAGTAATTGGCTGGTTTGGGAAAAGAAATAGTGAAGGAATATCACGTGTCACGCTCATTTAGACGAGTAATTATTTGAGACGGTCGAGTCTGATTCGCGGACGACTTGTTGGAGTCGCATCTTACAAAAATTAGAAGATCTTTCGTTGCTGATGTTTCCGCCTCGTGTTCGCTAGAGTAGTCATCAGGCTGGCTCCAGTCGCCTCGAGTATTTGTTCACAGTAAGCAGGCAGCTCGACCAATCAGGCCCGGCGAGGCCAGCAAGCCATCGTGGCTGTGAGGCACGGCAAATGCATCTCCCGAACCACCACAGCCTCCTCCCACTCGGCAGATGATGCTTCCGCGTCAGCCTCACCTCAGAACTCCGCGACCATCCTTTCAACCCACATCACGCCACGGAATCGGCTTCAATGCATGCCGGCCACATGGCTACAACGTGGTGTTTTTATTCTCGGGCTGCATGGAACATTCTGATCCTGTATCGTGGAATCAGCATGCGGGCCGCAGCGTAGTAGGCCTTCATGCCAACCGTGGCCAACATTAGAAACGCATGCATGCATACGGATTCCTCGGATACGTTGCAGCCTTGCGTCTGTGCGCAATACTGCAGTTCACGATGTTTGGGATTCGCCGATGAACAACATGCTTGCAGTAGGAGCTGGGGTGAGCAGCCGATGCTGGCGAGCCCTCGCCTTCGCCCATATATAACAAGCCCCCTCGACCGGTAGCATTGATAGCGGCCGTGGACCTTCACCAATGTCTTTCGAATTCGTTCACGTTACCAGCGAGCGGCCATTGCTAGATCGAGCCGCATCGACCCGCGTCAAAACACAAGTGATGAGAAACTTCCATCAGGCTCAAGGACGCGAGCGACGAGATGGGACGTTTGGCACGACACTTCGAACCGCGGGCTCTAGTCTTATCACAGAAGACCAGTCTGCGCCGGCCGCTGTTTGCCCCGTTGCATCCCACGGTGCCTGGGTGTCGAACACCGAGCTCGCACGCATGGCGCAGACGGTTCAGGCCCACCGGAGATGGCTAGAGTCTTACCGCAACTCCCAGGATGCCGGTCCCACAGTCGCCAATGCAGCATGGCGATCTTCAAACTCGCTACTCGTGCTGTATGCACAGTGCTTGGAGGCCATTGGCTTGTCAGAATCCCTCGGCCAGTCGCGGATATTCTGGACTGAGGAGCAGAAGACTCGGATCAAAGTCGGACTTCTACAACTGCTTATTGACAGGCTAGGAGATCCCGACACGGCGTTTGAAGACGAAACGGTCGCCGCGATTGTATGTCTGGCGAGTTATGAGGTGAGCCGCATCCTTCTGACAGTGTCGTCTTGTCGTGTTGCTAAACAATCACAGCAGCTGTACACAGCATCGAGCGAGGTGATCATGCACCTGCGTGGCGTCAGTGAGAGTCTTCGACTTCAAACACCTCCACACCGCTTCCAATGCCCGTCTGTACCAGTTTTGATGGAAATGTGAGTAGCTCTTCACGAGACCAGGCCAGAGAGTACGGAAAACTCACACACTCGTCCAGCGTGGATCTATTGCATGCTTTGGCGATCGGAAACTCGACACTCTATACTGACGGTTTGGCCATGCGAGGTGTCGCATCGCCCGCGAGTCTCTCAACAGATCCACGTGCGGCCGAGGACGCCGTTGTTCATGTTCGGATGTAAGTACCTGGCTCAAACGTAACCACAGTTGGTACTGCCAAAGCTGACTTGATCGAAGATTGCTCGCCGCTTTGGAAGGTGACAAGGAGCGAAGGCCATGGTATCTGGCCCAGCTAAGTCGTGCGTTGTTCAGCGTTGCTGTTGCAGAATGGCCGTGGATGCGAGCTGTGTTGTTCAACCACGTCTCGAAAGGAGCCCCGGCTGACGTGGCTGAGCGCTGAAAAGCATGGCTTCACTAAAGCCCGTGTCTCCTTTTAAACAGGTAGAAGTATTTGCTGCGTCTCTGTTTGCGTTTCTTGTTGCACCTCCCCTGGCATCTCCGCCCTCTGCTGTCTCCACCTCTCTCTGTCAGCCTTAAGTTTCGTCGCAAACGGATGCTCCTGCGTCGAAATTGTATCAAGCGCGTGCAGCGCCTCATCCGCCGTTCGTTCACATTCGTCATGTTTCCCCAATGCGTTGTACACGGCTGCAAGTTCGACCAAAGCAGCGATACGATCGGGATGATTCGACCCTCGACCTTGCAATTTTCTCTTTTGCCAGTCCGTCACCTGCACCAGTTGCCTCTCTGCCTCCGCCAACCGTCCCTGCGCAGCCCATATCTGGGCTAGGCGATATCTTCCAAACAGACAGCCATAGTGAGCGGCTCCAAAATTGCGCTCTGCGATCGCAATAGCCTCACCAATCAATGTCTCGGCCTCGGACAACTGGCCCAACCCTTTCTTCACAAGCGCTAGTCCCGCCATTGCCATCAGCGTGTAGCCGTGTTCCTTTCCGAGCTTGGTCCGGCGGATGTCCAGTACTCTTTCCATTGTCACATTTGCTTCTTCAAGCTCGGTCCGCTCGCCAGACCATGCAGCAAGCGCGCCGAGGTTCTCGTATGCGGTCAGTGTCTTGTTGTTGTCATCGCCGTATATCTTCCGGAAACCAGCAATAGCAGCTAGATGGAGCTGTCGCGCTTGCCGGCGGTCCTCATCGCGAAAGAAGAACTTGACTGTGCGCCCCAGGTAGTCCATGGCGTTGAGCGTCTCTTCATGTTCGGCCCCTAGGATCCTTTGAAAGCCGTCCACTACCTCTTGCTGCAAGTTCCGGGCGTCGCTGAACTGTCCCTGGTTGAAGCGCGTTTCGCTTAGACTCAGCTTTGCGGCCAATGTATCCCGATGCTCCAGCCCAAGAGCTCCGATGCAGGACTGGATGACGCTCTCCTGCAACTTGCTTGCTTCGTCCCCTTCTCCCAGCTGCAAGAGGGTTCCAGCTAATGCGAGGTGCACCCGTCGGGTCACTGGACTCTGGAGGCCTGCCACCTTCAGCAAGAAGTCTTTGAGGGGAATCTGCAGCTTCTTGGCATCCTCAAATCGGGTGTTGTAGGCGTAGACCACGCTGAATTTGGCGTACATCAGCGCTCGGTCTCGATTGAAGCCGCTCTCGAAGATGGGCAAGGGCTTCATGCGGGCCATGCGTTTGTCTCTGATCCATTGTTCAATCTGTGCTTGCCGGCTTCGGACGTGATCCACATGGGGTAAGAGCTGCGTAAGAATTCTCTCGTCCTCGGTCGTTGTACCCAGCGGCGGGAGAAGAACGCAGCACGAGAGCAACATTGCTGCAGCCTCGCACCAAACCACCTGCTCACCGAAAGTGGTGTCTGGCGCTTCGCGTGCCCACTCGTGAACCAGTGGATGCATGGAGTAGGTGTCCTTTTGATCGTTGTGGATGAGTAAAGAGCATTGGGTCAGCTGTCGTAGCGCAGCACGGACGCGGCTCTTGGAAAAGCGACCTTCTCGTCTCCCATCGCGTAGCACCGTGGGCAGGACGGGAGGCGAGCGGTTGCGATTCAAGTAGGTCAGCACCAAGAGGAGGCGTGCGTTACACCATTGCGACCAGTTCTGCCGTCTTGCGAATCTCTTCAATTCGTTCATCTTCTTGATATCATTCTTTTGCTGCTCCGCCTCTGCGGCTGCATTGACCACGGCTCTTTCCAGAAAGGCGAAACGAATGTTTTCGCAGTGTAGAAAAGCGAACGTCTTCAACAGCTGCAGAGCATCAGCTGATTCTTGTGTACCTCTGTCCGCAATTGCTTTGTAGCTAATGTCGAACGTTGCTTCGACACTGCCGGGTCTAGAAAGACAGAGTTAGTGTCACTCGTCAGATGGATCTCGAGAATCTGCGTACTGTGGATCATCAATGTTCCCGTCACGGCCTGGAGTTGGACTGCTCGCACGGCCAGGTCTCTGGCGTCGCTGCTCTTCATGCCAATCCAGATAGTCGTGAAATTGACAGAAGCCCTCGCGTATCGCTGAACCAGCAACAGCTATTGCAAGGGCAAGGTAGCCCAGTGCACTCGAGATTTGGTTGGCCCAGTTGGTGATTTTGGTATCCCAGGGTGGAGAGCGGCCGGCGGCTTTCAATAACAAAGAGCTTGCCGCACCATCTTGCAGACCTTGGAACTCATAGTACCCAGGACCGACGTTTCCGTAGGATTTATTCGCCGGATTTCGTGTGGTGATCAAGACATGACCTCGGCTGCCCTTGGGAAGGTATTCGTCGAGTTTGACTTCCGGGTCATCTGCATTGTCGATGATCAAAAGCCAAGCCTCCTCCAGATTAGATAGCCAGTGTAGAGCTGCATTTGCGTTCGCTCCGACTCCGCCGTATTGAGCCACGTTCTGTGAGAAGGTCTGCTTCAGCAATTCATGGCTGCGCGCATCAACCCAAAAGACTCCCCAGAACCTTGACACTGGTCAGCTAAGGAGACTAGAATATAAGCAGAGAGTCTGCGAACTATTGTGACGTACCGCGCTCTGTTGTCGTCCGCAAACTTGCAGCAGAATTGAGTCTTTCCCGAGCCGCCCACACCAAGAACCACGAAACGTCTTTGTTTCGTATTGGAACTCTTGGAGTTGGACTGAAGCAGCCAACTTTCCAATTGTTTGGCCTCTTGCTCTCTGCCGGTGTAGAATCGGTCGACGAGCTGGGGAGTGTCAAAGTGGCGATTGACATTTTCGCGAGAGAGCGACTGCTCAACGAATGTTGCGGAGGCTACGATACTCGAAAGAGCTGCGACTGAGGCCTTGCTCAAGTCTCGATGGCTTGGAAGCTGCTGCAAAGAACTGTTTTGCGAAGCGAGAAGCTCGCCGGAGTCGATCAACTCGGCGATCTCCATAACGGTCGAGTTGATCTCCTTCAGCCGTTCAGTGGTATCTTCCTGTCGAGCACTGCCCACGACACTATGAGCGAATCAGTTTTGCTCACCAGTGCGCTAGTAGTTGTTCTGACCTCGAAATGATGGAAAACCACAGTTGAAGACAGTTCTGATTTGTGTGAATCTGGTTCCGTATGTCCACGAGTCGGGAGTCTCTAGATCGTTTTCGATTTGCCTTCCGCAGACCGTCAATTGGACCTTTGGTGTGGGGGTTCTCGCCATAGATCTCTCTGACACAGATCTCGAGCTTGACGGCGAGTTGTCGGGTCTCTTGTAAGGTCTTGCCGGTGTGAAACCAAAGAATGTTCTCTTTCGAGTCGAGAGCGGCATCTTGGACGTGCCGCTCGTACTCTTCTTGGATTTGGGTGTGGACTACTTGTAAACTCTCGACCTCGCGGATCAAGGAGTCAATTTCTTCGTCGACATCTTCTGCTGCCTGCTTCACGTCTCGGAGATACTTGATCAGACGAATGGTGATGTCGGCAAGTGAAGCTGCGGTGACCACGGCTGAGAACACGTCCATCTCCGGCGAGAGTCCAGAGGATGGCTCGGTAATCGGAACGGACCACCCATGAACATCAAGATTCACGAAGAAGCACAAGCTTGACGCATTGAAATGACAATAGAACGAGGGTTAGACTTACACTGATCACAGCAGGACACCTTGCGGACTGCACACAGAAGGACCGAGGCGAGACCGAGATGACTGGCAGAGCAGTCCTCGATCGCCATGCCCCTCTTGAAACTACAGGTCGGCGCCAATGCGATTGGGGGCCGAAACCGCAGCATGTCCGCGCCAATGGGTAGACGGCGAACTATTTTGGCGCCTCGGCAAACGGATGGGGAAGCAGAGCTCGCCGGCAGGTTTCATTTGGGGGTGATAAGGCCAAGGTAAAGTGCATGATGCATGCAGGCATGGCCAGTGCAGAGCGGACGCTGTTGGTTTTGGAATTGCGAGCCGCCCCGCTTCTCCGCCCCAACCCCATCTGCCACCTGCAGCCTTGAACCCCTGCTCCACCGTCGTGCTACCTCTCCGCAAATCGATAGCTCGATGTCGAGAGACTCACGGACTTCTGGTTTCGCCTCCAGCTGACGGAGCGCTAAGCCTTCGGAATGCTGCCTTATCTAGCTCTACCGCTCGCTCCATCTGCGTCGGCCTCTTTCCAGCAGCCAAGGCTGGCGCTGGACTTCTGGCAACATGCGAGGCTACCTCTTCGTTGCGGCTTCGATTGCCGTGTTTTGCTACCTGGTCCTACGGAATCAAGCTGATCAGAGGGTAAGTTTCTAGTCAGGCAGAAGGTCTCGCCATGACTGACCTGTCACAGCGAGACGAAGCGTTCGCCGCTCAGAGACACTGCGCTCCACCTCCAAGATGGGCAGCGCGATGGCCATTTGGCCTGGACCTGCTTGTCAAAGCATTTGTCCACGCCCGAAGACAGACGATTCTGCAATTCTTCCTTGAGGTCACCGACTCATCCGGGACAACACACGAACAAAGTCTTCGTAGCTCTCCCATCTGCGTCAAACGGTGATTAGTAAAGCTGACCACCGATTCAGTCGGCGCTCGTGGAATTAACACGATGGAACCGAAGAATCTGGAAGCTGTCCTTTCGAAGCAGTTCGAAGGTAACGTCGCCATACCTCGTCCATCCCTGTACACATGACTGAGCATCACTCTAGATTTTGACCTTGGCCTTCGACCCCTTCATTTCGCGCCGTTGATGGGCAAAGGGATCTTCACTCAGGACGGCGCAGACTGGAAGCACTCACGAGAGTTACTCCGACCTCAATTCGCTTCAAATCGATATCAAAACTTCGAGGAGGTCAAGGACTGTGTCGAAAGTCTCCTAGCTCAGATCAAACCGGATACGCCGATCGACCTGCAGCCTTTGTTCTTTCGCTTGACCTTCGATACTACTACTTTTCTGTTGTTCGGTGAGACGATGTCGTCCCTGCAATCTAGCACCATCGCCAGCCAAGAATCGGAATTCGCGCGCGCGTTCAATCTGAGCCAGGAGTATCTCTCCCACCGAGGCCGCTTGGGGCTTTTCTACTGGCTTATGAATCCGCCTGAATTCCGCAGGGCGTGCAGAGTGACACACAGATTCGTTGATGCCGCCGTACAGCAAGCGTTGGATAAATCGTCCGCGACCCCTCATCAGGCACACGATGAGAAAGAGCGGAGCTCGTATGTCTTCATCGATGCTCTCGTACAGCAGACGAGAGACAAGCGATTTCTCCGAGACCAGTGTATCAATGTGCTGCTGGCTGGGAGAGATACGACCGCATGCTGTCTTACATGGACAATGTATGTCATTAGCATCATGGTCAAACGCTTTCTGTCTGCTAATGTGACCCTAGACGACTTCTCGTTCGACATCCTCACGTTTTAGCGAAATTACGTGCCGAAATCGAGTCTGTGATCGAGGTTGGAAGCAACGCTCCGCACCCGAAGCGCGACGACCTGAGGAAGATGCCTTACCTCGCCATTGTCCTCAAAGAAGTGCTCCGACTCTACCCTTCGGTGCCTGTGAACTCTCGGGCCGCCATCCGCACGACAACACTACCAGTCGGCGGTGGCCCAACAGGCGAGTCACCGATCTTGGTCCGTAAAGGTGAAGCCGTAGGGTATTGCGTCTACGCCATGCATCGGCGCAAAGATCTGTATGGCGAGGATGCGCTTGTTTTTCGCCCAGAGCGGTGGGAAGATGACAAGCTCAAGAACATCGGCTACGGATATCTGCCATTCAACGGAGGCCCGAGAATCTGCCTCGGTCAGGAATTCGCAATGCTCGAGGCTGGATATACCATTGTGAGGATGTTGCAACGCTTCCCGGTCATGCACTGGCCAGAGGGTGAGCGTGTTGAGGAGGTTGGAAAGGAAAAACAGACTTTAACGCTCGTCGTTGCCAGTGGGGATGGATGTCGAGTAGTGTTTTCCGAGCATGGAAAATGATCAACGATGACGCCAATGGAAATGTCGCGTTGCAGAGAACATGATCGAGGTGAAGTCGGGAGAGGGAATGTATTTGCAACCATGCCTGAGGCAGGGTTGGAAATGCAACCACCTCGGGCGAGACTCGGACATTCACATCCGGCAATATAAAACCAGCGATGATGTAAAGTTACGCATTGCCTTGGCCATCAATATTGGCCACCCTTTTCATCCGCCTCATCAACATCGATTGTACATTTCTTTGAAGCATAACGAATACCATTGACCATCAAGCACCACCCAAAATGGCATCCTCACTCCCCTCTACGATGAAAGCCATCATCATCAATGGCAACAAGGCCAAGATCTCCACCATTCCACTCCCTAAACTCCGGCCAACCTATCTCCTCGCAAAAGTCAACTCCATCGCACTCAATCCTACCGATTGGAAGCACATCAACGGCAAGCGTGCGTCCCCCAATGGACTCTCGGGCTGCGACTTTGCCGGCACGGTAGTGGAAGTCGGATCGGACGTGAGCAAGTCTTTCAAGCCGGGCGATCGTGTTGCGGGAACCACACATGGTGGAAATGCAAGCCAGATCGAAGACGGATGTTTTGCGGAGTATTGCGTGGCCAAGGCCGACTTGCTAGTGAAGCTTCCCGACAGTCTGTCGTTTGATGCTGCTGCAACGTTCCCGCTGGGTGTTTCCACCGTTGGGCAAGGACTGTATCAGAAGGCTTTGAAGTTGAATCTGCCCACCAACCCTACGAAGGGTGGCGAGACGGTGCTTATCTATGTGAGTGGGGATATCTTGTGTTCCCTCGGCTCTTATTCTAATGCATCAATGTAGGGCGGCTCATCTGCCACTGGATCGCTGGCCATTCAATATGCCAAGTTGTCCGGCTACAAAGTCCTGACAACCTGCTCACCGAAGAACAACGACTTCGTCAAGTCGCTCGGTGCAGACGGAGTCTACGACTACAAGGACCCCGAGTGCGGCAAGAAGATCAACAAAGACACCAACAACTCCCTCAAACTCGCATGGGACACCATCTCCCTCGAGGCGTCTGCAAAGATCTGCGACGAAGCTCTGTCCACCGACTCCACGGGCGCAAAATACGGCGTGATTCTCCCCGTCAAACTCCCCAGCAGGCCGAAAGACGTCGAGACGACGTGGACCTTCATGTACACCATTTTCGGCGAGGCCTTTACCAAAGCCGGCCGCGAGACGCCTGCCATGCCCGAGGACTTTGAGTTTGCGAAGAAGTTCTTCGCCATTACGGAGCAGCTGCTGGCGGAGGGCAAGCTGAAGTCGCACCCGGAGAAGGTGGGCGAGAACGGACTGGCGGGGGCGTTGAAGGGGATGGAGGATATGAAGAATGAGAAGGTCAGCGCGAATAAGCTGGTGTATCGCGTGGCTGACACGCCGTCTGGAGAGGAGGCCGAGGTGGAGTTGTAGGGACAGTGGATGTCACGGGCACGACTTTGCAAGGCTAGGTGTGAGTAGTCGCAAAGGTGTGATGTACATGCAATTCAATCAATCGCATCAAGTATAGTAAGCACGGATGAACTTCAACACATGTGTACCTGTACCCGCCCATCAAACCCAACGTCGACATTCATACGTAGTCGTTGACTGCGTAGGTTCGTGCTAAGTTTGTGCTAAGTTGTCTGCAGACATGCATTGGGACGCCTGAGCTACGGCGCCGATCCCCACCATCCAGCTCCTCATCGAGTAGATATGAAATGCGGTCTCTCAAATACAAAAACGAAGCCAGGCTTGACTCCAACAGAGTTCTGGCAGCATGGCGTCAATGATTGTCCTTCTCGTAGGCACAAGCCTTGCAGCCTTTCTCGTCACTCGACTATTGCAGGGGATCTACAATCTCACCGCCCACCCCTTGGCTCAATTCCCTGGACCTCGCATCGCAGCTGCTTCCGAGTGGTACAAGACATGGCAAGAAGTGTTTCTGAGTCGCTCGTGGATCGATGTTTTATACGAGCTACATGACAAGTACGGCGAGGTGGTGAGAGTTGGGCCGAACGAGGTCCGTTCGACCCTACATTCAACATGGGAAACAGGGATGCAACTAACGACAAGAACAACAGCTGCACTTCTCGAATCCCTCGGCGTTCACGGACATCTACAACAACAGCAACCGCTGGGACAAGGAAGGCAAGCTGTACCGCTGCTTCGGCGAGGACCGGTCGTCTTTCGGGTACCTGACGTACCGCGAGGCGAAGCAGCGCAAGGATGTCATGGCGCCGTTGTTCTCCAAACGAGCCACCATTGATTTGCAAGACCTGGTGCACAAGAATCTTGACAGGCTTTGCAAGGCACTGGCTGCCAGAGACGCCGCAGGGAAGTCCTCGGATATGATCTTTGGGCTCCGCTGCTTCACCCTCGACACCATCACGCAGTTCTGCTTTGCCAAAGACGTGGAAGCTACTTCTGCGCCGGACTTCCAGGCTCCGATTGTGGTTGCTATGGACGCCTCTCTCGCGCCCTTTGTCGTGTTTCGCAACTTCGAACTCGTACGGAAAATCGTCTTCTCCCTGCCTGGCTGGTTTACCAAGATGACTACGCCGCCAATGGCGGGACTGGTGGATTTGCAGGAGATGCTAGGGGCACAGGTGAAGGAAGTTGTGCGGAACCCATCTTCACTAGACAATGCTCCGCACGCGATTGTATACCATCGACTTTTGGACCCGGAGCTGAACCAGGCTACTGGGGTGCCGGTACCTGGAAGTTTGTACGAAGAGGCACAGGGATGTGAGTAGCCAACCCCCTTGTCATGCTAACAGCGTATAATGATCGTGTTGGCAGTACTATTTGGCGGCGCGGACTCTGCAGCCAACACGCTGGCCGCCGGAACGCTTCAACTACTCAGCAATCCCAGCCAATATAAGCGCTTAAAGGACGAGATCATCGCCGCTTGGCCCTCGCTCCACACCTTCCCCAAGTGGGAGGAGTTGGAGAAGCTGCCATATCTCACGGCTGTCATTCAAGAATCCTTGCGAACGGCGCCAGGAGTTCCCGGACCACTGCTTCGAGTCGTCCCTCCCAGCGGTGCAAGAATCGGCAACGCCACCGTTCCAGGCGGCACTACTGTATGTGATTCTACACGAATACAACCAGACATATCGCTGACATTCGACACTCACAGGTGGGAATGACGACGCTCTTTGTCCACCGATCCAGCGAAATCTTCACCAAACCCAACGACTTTGACCCGGAGCGCTGGCTGGGCGCCGATTCCTACAAGCTGGAAAAGTGGATCGTCGCCTTCTCCAAAGGACCGAGAAGTTGTCTCGGGCAGAATCTAGCGATGTGCGAGTTGTACCTGGGCTTTGCGCATCTGTTTCGCCGCTTTGATTTGCGGCTTGAAGGCACGCGGGGCCCGGAGATGCCGTGGAAGGAGGCATTTCTGCCGTTCTTTGCTCCGGATAAGCATTTGAGGTTGTATTGCAAGCCTGTGGAACAGTAGATCGGGCTGCAAGATGTTTGCAATGGTATAGAAAGAATACGTGATGTTCACTCTCCGCGCTCGTTGCCAGCCGCTGGCCTGGCGGTCCGTGCCTTCCCCACACATTCTGCTGCAGCGACGTCAACGTGTCCCGAGCCCTGAAAGACATCCCTTTCCATTGATTATCGAGATTCTCCAATCCACAGAGAAGCTCCCGACACAACAGTACAAGCTATGTCAGGAGACTTGAGAGAGCGTAAACCCGGCGCGACCGCGAACGGCGCAGCAAATGGAGCCGCCGACGCGAAACCCTCGACTCCGCGCAAGGCGCCGAAAGCAGCTGGCTTTGGTGTCGTGGATATCATCCGTCTGCTTTGCGGCATAGCACTGCTCAATGGCTGCTTGAGCTTCTTCGTCACGGGCGATACGTTCTTCTGGGGCCACCGGCCGTGGGTAGAGAGTCGCACGAGAACGCTGACGAACTGGTGGGTGAGTAGTCGAGCCATGCAACCCCCCCTTCCGCCGAATTCTCATACTAACATCGCACCAGAACGGCGGCGTGCACCTCACAGACACCCAGCTAGCCCTATACAACGGCTCCGACCCCAAGCTCCCCATCTACCTCGCGCTCAACGGCACAATCTACGACGTCACCAAGGGCTCCAAGTTCTACGGGCCCGGAGGCATGTACCACGTGTTCGCCGGCCGGGACGCAGCGCGCGGCTACGTGACGGGGTGTTTTGCCGAAGACGCGACGCCGGATCTGCGCGGCGTGGAGTACATGTACGTGCCGAAGGATATTCCGCGGCCGGAGGAGGGGAAGGTGGATGCGGAGATGAAGAAGGTGCGGGAGCAGGAGTTGCGGGCGGCGAGGAAGCTGGTGAAGGAGGTGATTGATCATTGGTCGGGGATTTTCAGTGGGGAGAAGGGAGGGAAGCCGTATTTTGAGGTGGGCAAGGTGGTTAGGGAGGAGGGGTGGTTGGAGAAGCTGCCGATGAGAGGGCTGTGTGCGAATGCGGAGAGGAAGAGGCCGAAACCGAGGAGTGAGGGTGGTGAGGTGACCAAACCTTTTGGGTTGTAGGATACTGTACGATGTAATGACGATGCATGTGTTCAGTGATAGCACTGACACGAGGAAACCGGATACAGCCCGCACATGCCAGAGCTGCGATATGGAAAGAAAAGCACTGGATTGACTCTCGCTTCCTGATATTGTCGGTATCAAAAGAGCTCACGGCCGAGCGAGATCGTATGTACCCGTCCCTGCGCCTGAGATGCCAGCACCGATTCCCCACCTCCTCACTTCATCGCCACGTCTAATCAGCACCGCCACCGACCGCGCGAGCTGCAAGTAAAGTCAGTATGCCACTCTCGCACAAGACATCCCGCCACCACGATACTCACTGTAGATGTTGCCCGCACTGTGGCTCACCACCCTCTTGATCACGCCCTTCTCCTCCAAATCGTTGAGCGCCGCTCGCGCAAGACTGCCGTTGATTTTGAGTCGGTCGACGAGGACGGCGGTCGTGATGAGGCGGTAGGATTGCACGTCTTTCTGGAGCTTCTCGGAGGTGCCCTTGTCGAGGACGACGGCGTGGTTGGACTTGTCCTTGACTGTGGGGAGGGTGAAAGATTAGTATGATGGTCATGCAAGGCGAATTTCGACGGCGTGGCGGGTGGAGGGAGATCGTGAAGATGATGGTGAGGAGTTTGCCGCTGGAACGTACCCTTGCCCTTCGACCACTTCTTCTTTTGCTTCTTGCCTCCTGCTGCTGGTGCCTGTGGAAGGGTTAGTCTGGTCGCAGTGATAGTACCAGGACATTGCAGGCGGTGCATACCATTTTTGCGATTGTCTGGTTGATCGGAAGTGGTGATGGCAAAGGCGATGTTGAGCACGCCTCATTTCCGCGAAAAGTGCGGGCTTGGCGCGGGGGTCGGAGTCACGTGCGCAGTGTTGATGCCTTGATGCCTGAACGTCGATCCCGACTTGACAATCGGCTGTCTCGAACGTGTCCATGCAGGAGATTTCTTGTTCCCTTCGCAACATCCCCAAGATGAACAGCGCCGACTTTAGATAACAGCGCTGCAATCCACTCCTCGATCTGAGGCGAGTCAAAATGTACCACCTAATCAAATCCCTCTACCTCCACGCGACCAGCAAGGAAGAGTACTCCCTGCTGCTCCTCGGCCTCGACAACGCAGGCAAGACCACACTCCTCGAGCAGATCAAAGGGCTCTATACCTCACACCATGAACCCCAGCTCAACACCGTCCCAACCGTGGGGCAGAACGTGTCAGTCATCGACCTTCCGGAGATGTACTTGAGGATCTGGGACGTGGGCGGACAACATAGCCTGCGCGGCCTGTGGCAGAGCTACTTTGAAAGCTGCCACGCAATTGTGTTTGTGGTGGACAGCACGGACATTGGGGATGGGGACATTTCGCGGTTGGCCAGCGATAACAACGCTTCGACTCCGCTAAAGGCGAGCGCGAATACAGATGCAGAGGGGAGGCTGGGGGAGTGCAAGCTCGTACTTGAGTCAATTCTGCAGCACCAGTCGACTACTGGGATCCCCATTCTGGTGCTGGCGAACAAGCAGGACTGCGAGGATTGCGTGGAGGTGGTGAGGATCAAAGAGGGCTTTGTGCGGAAGGTGTTTGAGGGGGAGAAGGGGCAGAATGTGAGGGATAGCCGAGTGTTGCCGCTGAGTGCGTTGAAGGGGGTGGGCGTGAAGGAAGCGGTGGAGTGGGTTTGCAGTCGAGTCAAGTGGAACAAAGAGGGACGACCACCGGTGATGAGATGAGGGAGGCATTCGACTGGAGTTTCAGCAGATTTATCATTGGACCACGACGTAACGATGCCACGACTGCACCACGAGGTCGGAAAGCTATCTATGACGGACTTGTTCTATGGTTGAGACACAACGCTCCTCTATCACCCAATCCAGGTATGCGACGACGGCTATTGGCCATCACACTCGTCGCTATTTTGTGCTGGATGGCGAGTCATCTTCTCCGGCGACCCAAGGCCACCTCAGAGTGCGTCTGACCCATGGATGAGTGTTCATTGGATCATGCTTGAACGCTTGGTCGCGTTTGCAACCTCCAAGGCGTTGCGTCGAGGCTGCTAGACGGTTGGAAACATTGGTTCCATGCTAGGCCATGCGTTGATAAGTGATGCGTTGTCTCGAATGCCAGGCATCGAGAACAAAGACCCGTCACTACGCTATGCTTGCATAGATGGTCGCTCTGATGGGCTTGGGGGTGTTTTGAAGGCAGGACAAAGCACCATTCTTGGTCTTGCAGGACATCAGGTCCGATGAAACGTTGCCATGGCCGAAGTTGGTGATCCAGTTCATGGGTGGCGGGCCAACGCTGTTGTCAAAGTTAGTCATGCGATGAAGGTAGTAAAGGATGGGAATCACATACGCATCGTCAACATAGGCGTGCTCGAGACCGAGCTGGAAGGAGCGGACGCTCTTGAAAGATTGCATGTTCCACGCAAAGGCGGAGCCGCATGCCGACTATAATAGATGTCAGTCTGGCACCTTGATCAATGATGGTGGAAGGAATCAACATACATAAGTGTCTTTGGGATAGTCGTTCGACCCAGCACTCCACGAGCCTTTGCAGACTTCGGTGGCGTTGGTCAAAGGGTTGGGGTCGTGGACGGAGAAGGAGATGGTGATGGTGCCTTGGACCTTTTGGATGGACAGGTTGGAGACTTCAAAGGCTGATGTGTCGACGGTGGCGGGGGCGGGGGCTGGGACGGGAGCTGGTACGGCGGCGACAATGGTGGAGATGGCCAGCAAGGCTGCGATGAAGAATTGCATGATGATGTTGTTGTTGCGGCGGGTGATGGAAGAGAGTATTGGTGGGGACGTAAGATGAATGAGAGCTTAGGTGCGTAGGTGGTTGTGTGAGTAGATCAGGTCGAGGAGGTAGTGATTGAGAGGGATGGTCTTTGAACAAAGCAGGCAAGAGCAATGCTACTTGTAGTTTTACAGCGAATGTATGGGAAAGTCTAGACGCGGGCAAGAACCGGGTGGACGATGCGCCACCCTCGTGGCTGTCGCCAGTTCTTGCCCGCCTGCCAGCCCGACGATCGAGATTCTCTGCGCCGGAGCCTGATCCACGTGCGGGCGATTAGGCGCCAAGCAGCATGGAAATTGGGTCGAGCTGGCTGGACTTTGCGCCCACCGTCTCTCCTACATGATGGGCGTCTTCTGGAATGCGCCCATTCCAGATGCACTGACGATGGGAGAAGGACTGCGAAAGCGAGTGCGCCTCACCGCGCTCCAGACTCTGCCACCAGCATGTTGCGATGGCGGGGGGCATGGCGCGACATTGGAATAAGGCGGTGTCTGTCGATCACTCGCAATTAATTTACTTAGAGCGAACGGGTACGGGGGTACTTGGGTACATTGCGTGGGTACTTTGCCTTATACACGAGCCCGAGGAATGTGGTTGGCCAGAACGGACTCACGCGTGCCGGTACTCCAACAAAGCAGCAGAGGGTCAGAAGAAGCGACGCAGACCGGGATGGCATTCCCTCTCCCCCTCGTTTCCACGCGCATCTGTCTGTCTTGCACACAGTTTCGATAAAGCAGGCCGCGCGCAATGCACGCCTTCCACGGTGCCTTGATCATAATCGCTCGTCGTGGATTGGCTGTACCAAACCCGCCGGGCTCGAAGCTTGCGTGCTTGGTGTGACAGGGTCACGTTTTTGGTGGCCGGTGGAAACCTCCTGCTTTGCGCAAGACATGTTTTGCGACCATTTCCCGGCGCCGCATCCCACTCCTCTTCGTCCGCTCGCCATCTCCTTCCCAATCCACTTCTCCATGCGCTCGAGAGCGCCCGCGCCCTCCCACCCGCTTCGCCTCAGCGCGCTCCTCCATCGACAGGGATTGGCGTAGCACAAGGCGCAAGCGCTTCGAAGCCCTCCGCCCAAGCTCCCATGCGTTTCTCTCTCAAGTCCGGCCGTACCACCAAGCACACCCTCTTCCCCAACAACGGTGTTCAGCACCCCGGTCAGTCGAACTGAACGCCCCTCCGACTGCCTCGCTTCCGCACTCTCTCTAACCACTGCCCATCCAACAGACCTCCCCCTCAGTCCCAAGCCGCAGTCCAGCAGCCCCAGACCCGATCAGCCGAGTCGCGGAGAGACGAATGACCGGTTCAGCTCGGGATACGCAGGAGGTGGGTGCAGGAGGATGATGGGGAGGAAGAGACACGGCAGAAGGAGAGCGATACTGACCAACCAACCCAGATCGGAGATCCATCGCCATCGAGCCCGGCTACGAACCCAACCTTGCCTTCCATTCCGACGGGCACGGTCACGAGGCTGGCCAGGCGTCTGGTGGCCTGTCGCGAGCGCAAACCGTTTGGGGACGAGAAGGCGCGCGAAGAGGGGAAAAATACACGACCGATCCTGCGCCGCCGTGGTCGTCTGACACCGCGCGACGTCCCACACCCACCCACACGCCTCGCTCGGCGACACCACACGATTCTACAAGCGAGGAGGGCGCATCGATGAACCAGTCCTCATTGGGCGGCGCGAGGAAGACGTCGGGAGACTCGGGGCAGTCGGCAGGCGGGGCGGATCGATGGACACAACGCAGGCTGCAGCGATTAAACACCGAGCAGGGCTTCCGCGAGCAACGGCAGGGCGGGCAGGGCGTACATTCCGCCCCGACAACCACGGCCGGAGAGGCATTGGGATCGCCGACGACCTATTCCTCCTCCTCGCACGCTCAGCCGCGTTCGGCGCAAGCTCCCGCCTATCACAGCGACCGCTCGGCCCCCACCAACGCTAATGCCACTTCCGCCAGCCAACCTGTCACCCTCACTTCCGCTACCCGCTCCCCCAATGCCTCCCACTCCCCATACACCCTGTCCAGTCAGCAGTACTCCCCCTCCGACTCGACCTTCTCCAACACCACCTCCGACACTACCCGACCCGCTTTGGCCGCCGCCGCCGCCGCCCGGAGCTATACCCACTCTCAGCCCCTGCAGCAAGGCCCCGGCGAAGACCTCCCCATGGCTGCCCCGAGCAACAATGGCAGCCTGGCGCCCAAAATCGCGCGACCGGTAGCTGTCAATCGACAGAGTGTACAAAACGGCGCCAGTCTCGCGCCAGGACAACAGCAGTCAGGTGGACTACCGCAGGGTACCGTGTCCGCTTTCACTGCTTCAGTAGCACCTCCTAACTCTTCAACCCCAGCCTATCAAACCAATCAGCCCCCTGCGGATACCACGAGGGCGAAGACGCCACAGCCTGTGCAGACCGTAGACGACATGACGGACGAGGATGTAAATCAATTGATCAAAGATCACAAAGAGCTTCGTACGGCGCCCCCTTCCTTATCGCCGCATTGATACACCTCCGGCTAACATTTCAGATAGGTGAGAAATATACCAAGGTGAAGAAGTATTACTTCGAAAAGGAGGACCAGGTCAAACAGCTCCAAAACAGCCTCGCACACCAACGCCTCTCCCAATCCCGCACCTCACTCGACGACAGCGAGTACACCACGCGTTTCAACCGCCTCGATGGCCTCATCGCACAGCTGGCGTTTGCCATCCGAAAGAGTTGGAGGACAGTGCCGGCCTGGCTGCGGGCATCGGTGAACAAAGACGCCATGCACATCGGCAAGCAAGAGATGACGGCGGCGGGCAGGGCCTTCATCTCCTGCTGGCTCGTCCAAGAGGTCTTTGAAAAGTACTTCCACCCCGATCTCGACCCGACTTTCTCCGCACATCTCAAGAGCATACAACGCCACATCCGCCTCTTTGCCCCTCCTTCCCAAACGGCCGAGGAGGAGGAATATCTCACATCCAAAGTTGTCAACTGGCGGCTCGCAACGCTAGAAGGCTTGCAGGAAGTCTTGCGCTCCCCGCAATGCGCCGCAAATCGCGCGCAGCTCACCGAATCGCTCAAGCAGCACCTTGTCGGTGCCCTCTCCATGCACCTCCAAGACCCCACCCCCCCGGATTTGGAAGGGGGCGTGCATATGATAATCGAGTTGGTAGTGAGCATTGCCAGCCATTTGCCGCTGGAGAGCCGCGACGTGGTGATTGACTACTTCACCCCGGGCTACGCGATCTTGCAGGATCAGATGAAGTTGGAGACGGGCATTCCGCCGCTGACGGCGTCTATTGCAGAGGATGACACGGGCGCGGAGGACGAGAATGTTGATGACGATGACGACGAACACGACGAGAATACGAGGAAGAAGGGCGGCGCGGGGGGCATGTTGGGCGCGTTGACGAGCTCCGGGAGTAAAGCGAAGGGCTCTGGTGGTACGGGCGATCAGCGCAAGGGTAATGGAGCAAGCGCTCTCGGGGCCCAGGACGGCGTGTCGCGTGTGCGCATGGCGGCGGGCATTGGCGTGCAGATTCGCGGGCGGAGTGTACTCGTCAAAGCGGCCGTCTTCGCTACTCCATGAAACGCGCCAAGACTCATGCGTCGATGTTAGAGGGATTGCCAATGGAAAGCGTCTATCTCTCGTGTAAAATGTCCACGTTCGTGTATTATTTCCAACGCTCGGGTGGAGTCGCCAGCCTCGCGGAATCTCTCGCTCGTGTAATATGTCCACGGTCGTGGGATAAATCTCCGCACGTGGCCTCGCTTACAGCCTTCCCAGCAGTCACTGTCCGTCCTCCTTGGCTTTGGCCAGCCCGGCCGGCTCAGCCTGCTTCTTGAAGTCCTCCCAGTCCGGGCGGGGGATCTCGATGCCCTCCAGCAAGCGCCCATAAGTGATTCCCCCGAGTCTGCTCATCGGCCGAAGAATCTAGAACACGCCATCGTCAGCAACCTCGCCTCCACGCCCCGCGGTTACACAGCCCTTCCTTCTAGAACTCACCGACGGATCGATCAGGTTCCTCTCCTCGTTGATCGCGTCCTCGCGCACCCAGAAGCGCACGCCCTCGATGATGGCCAGCACGCCCGTCTTCTTGCTCGGATCGGCGCGGCTGCTGAACTCCTTCGTATCCATCAGCTTGCCCTCGACCGCGAAAATCGCCTCCTTCACCCGGCTCGCTTTCACATCCTTGCACTCCGCCGGCGTCAGGCCTGTCAACGCCCATTCCGACACTCCGTACGGCGCGTTGACGCTCGTCGCGTTCGCGGCTTCGAGGAAGTGCTCGCTGATGATGTTGATTGTGCACTCGCCTGTCTCCGTCAGGTTGCGCAGGCTGTCTTTCGGCCGGTCCATGCCGCCTGCGTAGCCGACGATGAATACCGGCGGATCGTGGTTGATGACCTGCGTGTAGGAGAACGGGGCGAGGTTCGTGCTACTCCCGTCTTTAGACCGCGTCGATACGAATCCAATGGGCCGCGGGATGATGGCGGAAATGAGCAGTTTGTAGTTGAATGTGGCCGGGCGGCCTTCGGCGTAGGGATCGATGTCGATGTGCGCGTGTTTCTTCCACTCGCCGTTGTCGTTCGCGCCGTCACCCGGTTGCCACTTAGGGTTCTTGGTTTGCGTAAAGGCCCATTTTGCGTCGGAGCGCCATTCCGGCCGGCTGGCTTCGACTTCTTTGAAGTTGCCGTGCGGGTTGCGCTGGATGACCTTCTCGCTGGTGGGAGAGGAGCGTTAGTGAGGTTTTGATTGAAGATGGGGGTTCTTGCTGGCGGGGGATGATGTACGCATCGATCTTCTCGTTGTGGCTTTGAGACATCTTGGATGGACTGCGGGGGAGTTGCGGTTCGGGTGTATTCTGAGGACAACGACAGGGTGAAGATATCAGATGAAACAATTGAGAAAGAGAGCAGAGATGGGTTTCAATGGGTAGAGTATTGCGCGATTGGTAAGTTTACTGATATTTCACCTCTTGAGGTCGGTGCCTTCCAATTCCGTCATGCGCGGAGCCGGACTGCGGGATTAAGCCGCACGGCTTTCGTGCCTGGTTGCATCCATTAGATACGACGTGAGTGGGAGAGCCGCATGCGCCGAGAAAGCGTTGGTCATTGAAACAGCCCGGACCCCACCATTGGCAACACTCTGGGCCCTGTCGAAGAGGGGAACCCAGGAGAGGGTAGCCTGCGTATAAGAGGCGATAAGAGCTTCGTTCTGACCTGGAAGTCATCATCAACGTTGATCCTACCTGCTTATCGCCCTCTCACATCAACCATGTCGAAAGATTACGAGACTTATTCCCTCGGAAACTGGGAATTGAAGAATGGCGGCAGCATCCCCAACGCACACATCGCCTACAAGACATTTGGAGATGCCAGTTCGCCCGCCATCATCTACCCTAGTTGGTACAGCGGGCTGATCTCCGACAACGAATGGCTTATCGGAGAGGACAAGACGCTCAATCCCGCCAAGTACTACATCATCATCACCGCGCTGTTTGGCAACAGTCAGTCCTCTTCGCCGAGCAACACTCCGGATCTTCGTCCGTGGCCGGAAGTCACCTTCTACGACAATGTCAGAGCGCAGCACGAGCTCGTTACCAAGAAGCTCGGCGTCAAGCATGCTCGCGCTGTACTAGGCTGGAGTATGGGCGCCGGCCAGACGTATCAGTGGGCAACGCAGTACCCCGATTTCATGGACTTGGTTGTCCCATTCTGCGGCAGCGCAAAGACTTCGCTGCACAATCAGGTGTTCTTGGAGGGGGTGAAGAGTGCGGTGTTGAGTGGCAAGGGCGCCGTTTCCGGCGGAATTTGCAAAGGTGAGGCGATTAAGGGCAAGTACAGAGGGTGGACGGATGAGGAGAAGACGGTGGGATTGAAAGCTCTCGGTCGAGTGTACGCTGGATGGGGCTTCAGCCAACCCTTCTATCGCGAGAAGCTGTATGAGACCAAGTTGGGGTTCAAGGGGCTTGAGAACTTCATGGTCAACTTCTGGGAGGCCTGGGCTCAGTCGAAGGGTGAGCGCTCTCTGTGGAATGACAAGCCGATCGATTGACTGATTTGATTAGATCCCGAGAACATGATTGCCATGTTGTACACTTGGCAGTCTGGAGACTGCTCGGCCCAAGACCCATACAATGGCGACTTCGCAGCGGCCATGAAGGGCATCAAAGCAAAGGCCCTCGTCTTGCCTGGAAGGACCGATTTGTACTTTCGTATGTTGTCCACATGCTGCTATTATGAGACGTGCTAACGAGTAGCAGCTCCGGAAGACTCGGAGTATGAAGTGGCCAATATGCGAGAAGGGGTGGGCGAATGCTATGCCTTTGAGTCAATCTGGGGGCATTGGGCGGGCGGGCCTGGTGACAGCGCGGAAGATGTCAAGTGGTTGGATGAGAAGCTGCGTGAGTTCTTCTCTAGGAATTGAATCGGGCATGAGTAGGAGAGGATGCCTGTATCGGAGAAATCTTGAAACTACCTCACAGTGACAGTTCAGATTCATGTTGAGGGCATGCGCATTACCTAAGCGTGTCTTGGACGATTAAGGTTTTGACAGCAGTGCAGCGTGCAGGATCACGCTAGAAAGTCGCAATCGCGACTTCTTGCTTCTCCACGAAGCGTTCATGCGCGCCCACTTCCTCGTCCTTGAGCGCTGCGTGTTCTTCGCACAACAGCAGTAGTCCATCATCTTTTGGCCCCCCCACCCCTCGGTCGTTACCCGCTCTGACCTGCCTCCTCGACCACCGTCTGCCTTGAACGATGAGCCACTAGAAACGAACATCCGACCGTCGCACGTGCTTTCGCAACAGCTCAAGATGGCGAACGACCCGAAGCTGGGCGTGTCTGGGACGATGTCCATGGAGCCGCCCAGCCCCAAGGATATCAAGCTGGATGATGCGCTTCTGCAAGAGTTGAAATCACGGAATGAGTTTGAGGCTCCTGAGGAAACGCAGAGAAGGTGTGTGGTGGCCGCAGCCGGGATGAGGATGACCATGTATGAACACGCCGTTAACCTGATCGCATTAGACATTCCGTCCTGGACCGACTGGAAAGCGTCTTGAAACGACTAGTCGCAATGGTCGGGAAGCAGCAAGGCCTCCCTCCAGGCATACTCAATGAAGCCGGAGGCAAGATATTCACCTTTGGTAGCTTCGAGCTCGGCGTCTATGGGCCCAAATCCGACATGGATACACTCATGGCCGCGCCGAAACATGTCAGCCGCGAAGACTTCTTCCAATACATGCCAGACCTGCTTCGTAAAGAGTTCAAGCCGGAGGAGATCGCCGAGCTCACGCCGGTGCCCGGGATCAGTGTGCCAATCATCAAACTCGAGCTGTGCGGTGTCTCCGTGGATCTCATCTTCTGCAGGCTCCACCTTCAATCGGTGCCAAAATCCCAAGAGCTGTCCAATCTTGATCTGCTGCGGGGTTTGGATGACACCGATCTGAAGTGTGTGAACGGCACCAGAGTGACCCGGCGCATTCTCGAGCTCGTCCCACAGACAAAGGTGTTCCGGATGGCATTGCGCGCGGTGAAGCTCTGGGCTAAACAGCGCGCGCTTTACGGCAATATCGTTGGCTACCCCGGAGGAGTTGCATATGCAATGATGGTCGCACGCATCTGCCAACTCTATCCCCGAGCCGCGGCACCACTCGTCATTTGGAAGTTCTTCTATCTCATGAGGAAATGGAACTGGCCGAGCCCGGTGCTGCTTCAAAACCATGAAGAGGGCTCCATAAATCTTCGGGAATGGGATCCCAGCATCTACCCTGGCGACAAGCGACATCTCATGCCCATCATCACTCCTGCGTTCCCTCGCGCCAATGCGTGCCATACGATCGGGCCTTCCACCAAGAAGGTGCTTCTGCAGGAGATGGAGCGGGCGGAGGGCATTGTCCGAAGCATCTACGAAAGTGGTCGACCATGGAGGGATCTCTTCCAGCGCCACAGCTTCTTCACCGACGCGTATAGACATTACATCTGTGTAATCACCGCTGGGCGAACGAAAGAGGCGCAGCAAGCGTGGTCTGGGCTGGTAGAGTCGAAAGTCAAATGGTTGATTGTGGGAATTGAGCACTCTGACGCGAAGAGCGTGGAGCTTGTTCAACCGTACAACAAGGGCTTCAACCGAGTCCACGAATGCAAGGGGGATGCAGACATCGACAAGACGCTGGACGGGAACCTCGATTGTCAAGTCAAGGAGATCAAGACCGTCACCACCGAGCAGGCGGGAGATGTGCAATTCCAAGCTGCCGCGCAGACAGACACGGATGGTCAGGAAGTTCCTGCGCCGAACGGTGAAGCGGAGGTGCCGCCGCAAACAGACGGGCCGCAGACAATCTGGACTACCACATTCTATCTCGGCATCGGCTTGACTAAAGGTGTGTTCCACGTTGTCAATCCCCTGTTCTTGCTGACGATGTCGATGTAGGGGCGAATTCGCTCGACATTTCTTCTCCAATCCGCGACTTTACGCAGCAGTGCAAAGAGTGGCAGAATTACGATGAGAACCTGCACTCCATCCGTGTCAAGCACATGCGAAAGTGAATGTCCCATGTTTCTGCGGCTGGCATCCCTTACTGACCTTAATAGTTACGATCTCCCGGCGGACGTATTTGCAGAAGGCGAGACACGGCCGACGCGGACGAAGAAGAAGTCGGCTCCCAAGACGACCGACCCGACGGCAATGGACGCGGCGAATAAAAAGCGTAGCTTCAACAACTCGGGCTTGGACGTAGGTCATGAAGGGCCGAGAGAAGGATGCTTGGCGCGGTGCTTGACCCCCTCTGTCTGTATGCGAGCTGACCATTGTGTTTAGACACTTGACGACCCCGCTAAGCGTCGTGCTTCAGCGAATGGCACAGCAACGCCAAACGGTGTCCCTCCCCGTTGATGGACAGACATCAACTCGAGCGAAATGATATCTCGACTTCAGCGTCTTACTACCATCATTCCCGGCCTCTATTGGCTGCACCGTGAATTCGTGATTTTCCAGATCCGATTCACACTCTGCAGATGATGGCTAACCGACCTCAAATGCAGTGAGGATGTCCCGCAGAGCAGGCCATAGGAGGGCCGAGCAAGACGCATGCAGATGGATGGGATTGGTAGGTAAGTGGCAGGCTTGCATCCATCCGCTGCCGAATCACGTGTTCCCATGCCCCCGCGGAAACGTTGAAGGAACAGCACCGGGGCGTCGAATACGAATAGCTGGCATGGAGCACCGCATGGATCGGTGTTCTGGAAGGGAGGGAATTTGGGTGTGGAAGCACTCGAGTTTGGCCATGCATTGCTAATCGATAGTAGTATATCACTAGTTGCCTTGAATGGAACTCCGTTTTGCTGAAGCCCACGGGCTTCGAGTTTGCACAGCCGGCTGCGGGTGAACGAGTGCCGCGTCTCCTTTCGCTGATCGGTGAGGAGCCCCCCCGTTGCCCTCGTATTCCCGCACATCGCAATTGGAGGTTTAAGGTTCCCTGCAGCGTAGACGTGAAAGCTTGTGCGTCGTCTGGAGTGTGATTGGTGGATTCGCTCACCGGCTGAGGCACGATCCGATATTGTTTCGGCTCCTTTGCTGTCGTCTTGCTTTGCGGAAGGGCAAAACGTGGAGAAATGATCAGGAGTGCACGCGGGAAAGGAGAGCAGGTGGGAGGGCTTCAACACGACGACATACGTTATACCTACGGGCCTTGGGTCGATCAATAAATCGAAAACAGGGAAGGCGCTGCGGCCGAGCTTGCCCCGTTCGGGAAATGCGATTTCCAAATCGTGTCGTAGGGCATAGAGCAAGTGGGATTTATAGTGGTGACAAGATGGCGATTCATTGCGGCCAGACAGGCAGGCATTGCTGCCCTTCCCAACGGCGGAATCGACTTGAGCGCAGATCAGAAGTCGTCGTTGCTTGCAACATGCATCCTTGGCCTGCGGTGTGACGACGAGCCGTGTCGTGTCGCCAGGCCAGGATCAGCTGAACGAGGCCACGCCAAGACCAAGCAGGCGCGCGGGCGAGCGTTTCACCTCGTCCAATCTCAGCTTCTTCTGTTCCTGCTCCATCAAGCCAAACACCCTCAGCCTCCTCCGTCTGTCTCTCCGCGGCCGTCCATTCCCCTCGCCCATCCCCTTGCGCCCGTGCGATCTCGTCCTGCCCGCCGCCCCTCTCCACGCTTCCACTGCGCTCGCTTGCCTCTGTCCACACCCCCCCAACGCCCGCCCTGGTCATTACTGCCAGAACATGTGCGTCCGATGAATAACCGCTTCCGCAAACTGGTCGGCTCGACTCGTAGATCCAGCAGCAACCAATCCATCACCACCTCCACCGCCACCCCCACCAACAACTCCAACTCCTCCTCCTCCAACCTCTCGCGACCCACCGCCGCTCCCACCCTCTCCTCCGCCTCTTCGACCACGGGCCCCGCTGCCCCCGCCGTAACGAACGGCACTGCCTCTCCCTCTGCCAGCAGCACAACCACCCACTCCCAGAGCCCAGCGGCCAACGTCAACACCCCCGCTGCAAGCAGCGACGTCACCCCCGCCGCCTCGTCGACCTCGGTAGGAGCCATGAGTGGACCCGCACCGCTTGGTCGTCCACCATCCTACCAGTACGCAAGCGCGGGCAATCCCAATCCCAACCACGCCGCGCCTGCAGGAAGGACAAACTCGCCAATGGTCCCGCCCATCAACACCGGCGCGGGCGCTGGCCACACCTACCCCGCCGGCCAAGCGTACAACCCCAATGCCCCTCCTGTGTATCCCTCGCAAGGCGGGTATGGATACAGTGGCGGTGCAGCGCCGCAGGGTATGCAGATGTACGGGCGACAGCCTACCGATGATGGCAATCAGCGGAATAAGGCCCAACTCATTGTGGGCATTGATTTTGTATGAGCGTGCGCAGCGGTATATCAGTGATGAGTGTTGGCTAACTTCACATCAGGGCACTACCTTCTCCGGCGTCGCGTTCGCTTTTGCGACAAATACCGAGGCGAAGGAGGACATCATTGTCGAATGGCCGGGAGCTGGCACTCAGACCAAGCAAAAGGTAGAAATTGGACGTGCTGTGCGTACACGACATGACTCGGCTGACAATACTTTCAGATCCCGACCGTCCTCTATTACGACCAACACCAGCAAGTCGTTGGTTGGGGCCCTGATATCGCAGACGCTCTGGCACCTACCGGCTACCCCAAGCCTGGCGTGCAGAAAGTCGAGTGGTTCAAACTTCAATTGATGCTTAGCGGAAACACCTACATTGACCCCATCAACCTTCCTCCTCTTCCGCCGGGCAAGTCTGAGATCGATGTCGCCGCCGACTACCTGTTCAAGCTGCGCCAGGCCATGCGCAATCAACTTCAAAAGACGCTGGGAGAGGTGTTCAATCGGGAAGAACGCAACATCCGATATTTCTTGACGGTGCCGGCCATCTGGAATGAAGCAGGCAAGGCCGCCACGCGAGCAGCAGCCATTCAAGCTGGTTTCCTGCGTGATGAAAACGACAACCGACTCACCCTCATCACCGAGCCCGAAGCAGCAGCCATGTTTTGCTCCAAGACCGGTTTGCTCAACCTCAAGATCCACGACGCTGTTCTCATTGTCGATTGCGGTGGTGGTACCGTCGATTTGATCGCATACGAGGTCGAAGAGGAGTCACCGTTCACCGTTGCCGAGTGTACTGCTGGTTCTGGCGATTCTTGCGGCTCCACTGCACTCAACCGAAACTTCTCCAACATCTTGCGCGCCAAGATCCGCAAGATGAAACTTCCCGACGGCTCGCGAACGGCTGGCAAGGTGTACGCCAAGTGTATCATGGACTTTGAGAACCGAATCAAGGCCGACTTCCGCAACAATGGGCAGAAGTGGGCCGTCGATGTGGGAATCGAGGCGGAGTTTCCCGAGGCCGGAATTGAGGAAGGCTACATGACTTTCACCAATGAGGAGATCTTGCAGTGCTTTGAGCCTGTGGTGAACCGCATTCTCGAGCTGGTTCGAAATCAGATTATTGCTATCCAGGCTCAGAACAGAGTGCTACAGGTGAGTGCCAATGGTGATTACATGATCGGATGGCAAAGCTGACATACAGCAGAATGTGCTTGTGGTCGGAGGGTTCGGTGCATCCGAGTACCTCTTCCAGCAGATCAAATTGCACGTGCCACCTCAGTTCCAGAACAAGGTGGTGCGGCCCATGGACTCGGTCGCCGCCATCGTCAAGGGTGCAGTCACCGCTGGCATTACCGAACGTGTCATCACCTCCCGTGTCGCCAGAAGACATTACCTGATGGCGACTTTGCAACCATTCAAGGAAGGACATCATCCGGAGCAGTACCGTGTGCCTTCGCTCGACGGTAAGGATCGCTGCAAATACACACGACAGATTTTCGTGCAAAAGGGACAACGAGTCAAGATTGGGGAGCCTGTCAAGGTGTCCTTCTTCCGACAAGTCGCCCCGGGCGCTACGCTCATGTACGAGGACGTGCTATATGCGTGTGATGAGGACGTCTGCCCCGAATACACCAAAGACCCACGTAAGCTTACTGTCCCTCTAATACTCCCCCCTTGCATGCCTAACGAAGCTTCATCATAGGTATAAAGGAAATCGTCACCCTCACCTCCGACCTCAGCCGCAAGAACCTCGAGAAGGATTTCGAGCGCATGGACACGCCGCAGGGCACCTTCTACCGCGTCTACTTCGACATCTACCTCACCCTCGACGGCTCCGAGTTCAACGCGGAGCTGGTCTGCCAAGGAGAGGTCATGGGCCGCTGCTCTGCGCGCTTCAGGTAGATGCGTCTGCCTAGCGAGCCCTCGAACTTTGGATAGGGCCCGCGCTGGTGTCATAGCGCGCGAATAATGATTGTGCTTGTTGTTCGAAGAGCGCTGGGCGTTTGTCTAATGCAGGAAAGGGAGGAATGGCGTGGGAATCTGGGTGCGAAGCCGGTGTTGGTAATGATGAGGAGCGTTGGTTGGGAGCTACCGCGTGCTCTCGGTCATCTATCATGCTGGAGTAATGAGTGCGGACCAGAATTTGCAGGGATTAGGTAGCTACATAGTTGCGAGTAGATATCGTGAATATAACTTACCCTATTCAAAGACAACTGCCGAGTGCACGTGATGTTGAAAGTACGCCACAGCTTGGTTCCGCCACAGCAATCGCAGCCACACCTTCCATCCAACCACACCCACTTCCTTGGACACAATCGCACAGCAATATCATCACCATCATCCAATCGCAGCGTTTGACGACTTCTCCCCGACGCTGACGTGACTACCCGTCTTGACCGATTTTCACAAACCAGAAAGAGCCGCATCCTTCCAATCCCAGATGCCGACGTGGTCGCACGCACACAGGCGGTGAAGGGGGGAAGCACGAGCCGCGTTCCACGCGAGAGCCCAGCTGTCCGGCTGGCCTTCCGACGCTGCATACCGATTGTTGTGGTTGGTTGATTGGCGTGGCGGGTTGATCGGTTTTTTTGTTGCAAGGATGGCGACCATGGAGGTGAGGAGTTCTTTCTTCTGGTTTTGTTATCTGCATGTTCGGTCCTGCTTTGTTGGACGTGGTGGGCAGCGCGTGGCTGCAGTCGGGTTTGTTTGCACTTTCTGTGCGGCAAAGAAGGACGGAGGGGAGTCATGATGGTGTAATGTGACGGGTTGCACACTGTTGCCATCATTGAACCAGTAAGTATACCGCACCCTCCTCTCATCGTCCATCCAGTTCACCCTTCTAACAAAACCAGTCATGCGTACCCTCTTCTCCGACAAGATCCATGCGCCCTGCTCGCCGGCTGCAGAGTTGCGCCCTGATCCCTTTGAATTGCCTTTTCAGAGCTCGTTGCATTCCAGTCGCAGCGCCTCCGTCGTGAACAATTGGTTGACGCAGCAGTTTCAGAACGAGTTGCCTTCGACGAACGAGACGAGCTACACTCATGGCGCACCGAATCCCCTGCCGCCGATGCGGCGGAAGGCGAATCCGAGGTTTGTGTTTATGGGGATGAGGAGGTATGAGGCTTTTTGTCACCCTTCAATTCCCTCCTGACTGACCGACTTTCTCTCGAAGATGCGGCAAGTCGTCCGTGCAAAAGGTTGTCGTGCAGAAGTTACCTCCCGCCGACTCTTTGTATCTCGAGCCGACGTATAAGGTCGAGCATGCTACTATGCAGTGAGCCCTCCCGCCTTCAACGGAGTCTCCGTTCGCACGACTAACGTCTAGCGGATCCTTCCTGCACTTTGAGAGCGCCGAAATCCCGACCCAACTACCGGTTCTCTCGCCCAGCTACGATCATGCGTCCATCTTCTCCAACATCGGCGCCGTCATCTGGATCATCGACAGTCAGGATGAGTACTTCAGCAGCATCAGCGAGCTCCTTCGAACCGCCGTCTTCCTTGCCAAGAACTATCCGAGCATCAATCTCGACGTCTTCATCCACAAGACCGACGGTCTGAGTGAAGAATACAAATACGACACCTTCCGCGAAGTGCGCCAGCGCGTCCAAGACGAACTCTCCGACGTCGGCTACGGCCACCGCAGCATCTCATACTACCAAACCAGCATCTTCGACCATTCCATCTTCGAAGCGATGAGCAAGGTCGTGCAGAAACTGCTCCCACAACTGCCATCCCTCGAGACCCTCCTCACCAAGCTATGCGCCACGTGTCGCATTCAGAAAGCCTACCTCTTCGACACCGTCAGCAAGATTTACATTGCGACGGATGCCAGTCCGACGCTGTTGAAGGATTACGAGGTCTGCTCCGACTACGTCGATGTCATTGTGGATATTAAGCAACTCTATGGATGGCAGGAGCAAGTTGGAGCGCCCTCTACTTCACCACCGCAGCAGCAGGAGCAGCAGGAGGAGGATGAGCAGCGGCAGAATTCGAGCGACGCGGGTCTGATAGGCGAGAGTATCGTCACGTACGACAAAACGGGAGACGGTTACATGTTTGCGAGAGAGGTGAATGAGTGAGTTTTGTGATTGCATGGTTTGAGTGCGAGGTGCATGGCTGACGACGAGTGACAGTTCGCTCTCCCTCATTTGCATTATGGGCAAGGGTAGCTCGGTGGAGAAGCGAGTGCTCATTGACTACAATGTCGATGTCTTTGTTGATGCTGTGGTGAAGATCTTTCAGGTTTGAAGGGTCGACCACGCTGGAGTGGGAAGAGTGAACACGTGACGATCGAGAAGATGAAGCGGAAAGAAGGACCACGATAATCACGTGGTATGAATGAGGTGAAGAGCAGGACGGCTGCCGCGGGATGTTGCTTTTGCATGACGACTGCGGCGATGCATGTCCCCCTGCATCGATCTCAGCATTGCCGCTGCGTAGCACGCCTGTTCTTACCAAGCAGAACGGTACGGCCGAAAGAACCCCACCGAGGCTGACTGGAGACATCAAGCTCGGCGGAGGACCGAGTCTTGCCTCGCGTCCAACGTCCATATCTTTTCATCGGCGCCGGACGGATGCACGGAGACAACGGAAGGATGCACGGGATGTTGAAGAATCGTGTCCGTTGTCAGCCCGTCTTGTTAGGATCAGGCTATGAGGCTGCCGGCGACGGAACTTACCAGACAAACGCGGTACGACTTTGACCATGACTCCCCGCCGGCGGCGTGTATCACGACTAGTGCACAAGCACGGAATTCAAACTCCGCCAAGACAGCCTAGTGAGGATTTGTGATCGCATGGGGCAAAGATCGCATCACTGAGCGGGAGCTAGCAGAACGACGCAGGTGGCTTGATGAGCCCTTGGACTGTCATCGCGCGGCTGCGATGCAGCGAGCTCATTCCAGATAGGGTTCTTGCAGTGATCGCTTTGGAACTTCAGCAACGCCCCACGACACGAGAAGGGTTGCTGGACTGCCATGCCCGGGCAGAAAACGCACAGGGTTACGTCGAATGGGTGTGTGGCTGCATCGGACGAGCCATGCCCTGGGCAAAGGGGCGTTTGGCTGCTTCCGCGGACGCCCTTTGCAGCGAGCTGAAGGAAGGGAAAAAGCCACCAGCTGCAGGGAATGACACCGGTGGCTTGGAGGCTTGGGATGGCACGACGAAGCTTCAGCTCGCGCGCGCCCTCGAGCGCGCATGCAAACGCCCGCCGCCTCTTGGCAGTACCACATGCAGACTCTCTTGCATGCCCGTCCGCCGCGCCGTCGCCGCCGGCGGAACCCCGCCGTCCCCTTTGATACTCGACGAGACGCTGCTGAGAGTGGTGAGTGGCCCAAGCTTTCGCCCACGCTCGCCTTAATTCTCCGGAAATACTGCGGGACTCATGCTTATTCGGAAGCTTATTCCAAATGCAGGGTCTTGGCATGCGTCCTCACCTTCTCTCGCCCTTCACGCCTCCATCTTCGAGCGATCAATGGGCGGGTAGTGTTCCGACGATTCAGCGATACACCGTTCCAGACACGACATGCTTGCATCTTGGGATACACAACATGCTGCCGCTTCCGACGAATGCCCTCTCGAAGCAGATCCGTTTAGGCTGAACGGCTCCTGCATCTCACCTGAAGGTTATCGCATGAGCATGCACGCGTAGCGCCACGATCGTCATCCCAAGATCACGGATCGCGCGGGGCGGCCCGAAGATTTCCCTGACGATCGACGGCTCGACGAACGTCCGTCGTCTTTGCTGCAGCTGAGGATATGTCACCAGCTAGCTGCTGGAATGGTTGGGGGCGCGGATGACCGCCGCCTGTGACGGGGGTCTCGGGTGGTTCTCTCGCCTCACATCACCCTCCAGCGCTTCCGGCCCCTGTCAATCCCCCACCGCACGAGGTGCCGATATCCGCCTGCCGTCCAATTGCTCACGGCTGCACCGTCCACCCCATGGTGTAACGTCCGCTTCAGGCTCCACAAGTCTATTCTGGAGAACCCCTCCGGACATGGCGTTGCATATGCCCTTTCAGGGTCAATATGCTGCCGATCAATGGCGTTATCCTTCGTTCTCATGCCGCACAACCGCGTCGCCGCGGGGGCCTGTAGGATACACCTTCCGACCCTGCCTTTTTACTGGCGACGGCACAGACGGGTGAGGTCTGTTCTGGCCGATCATCACCGAACACCGTTAGTTGCCCCCCCTGGTCTTCTCCATGCTTCGTATTCCCAAGCACGTTGAGATCATCGCTCTGCGAGTGAGATGGATGATGATCCCTCGTGGCGTCTTGCCCCACCAGAACAACCACCGCCTGCGCCTTTGATATGACGCTACGTTGCATGCTTTTCGGGAGAGGAGAGCAGTGGCCATGACGTCGTCACAGTCGGAGGCACGGCTTCAGCGGCTTCGAAGATATCAACAACTGGCACCGACGACATATAAGAACCCCCTCTTCCTCCCTCCCATCAGTCTTGTTCATCCATCGTCCAACCCAAAGATCCAGCAGCACAATCTCCAAGCCAGTGAAGCTTCTTGAGCACCTCATCAGGTCCTTCAATACCGACTACCTACTTGTCCATCAATACCTCCACCCCTTACCCAACACCCCAACACTACCTCTCACGCTCGACATGCGTTTCACTACTTCGATCGCCGCTGCCATCTTGGCCTTTGCCGCCACTGGCGTGCTTGCTGCTCCCCTTCCCCAGCTCGCGGGCTTCGGTTCCGGCTCCGACTCCATCTTCACCGACACCGACAATGGTGTGGGCTATGGCGTTGAGAATGCCGAAGACAACCTTGCCGGCACCATCGCCGGTGCCAAGGGCGGCAGCAGCACCCCTGCCCAACCAGGACCCACCCGCCGCCAGCTTGCGGGAGTTGGCTCAGGCTCCGATTCCATCTTCACCGATACCGACAACGGTGTTGGCTACGGCGTCGAGAATGCCGAAGACAACCTCGCTGGCAACCTCAAGGGTGAAAGCCCCTCCACCTCTCCTTCGCAGAGCGGCAGCGGCTCCAGCAGCAGCGGCCCGCCTCCCCCGCCTCCCCCACCCCCCAGCAAGCGCCGCCGACAGTTGAACAAGGTGGCCGCCGGCGAGCAGACCCTCGCCAACGCCGCTGGCGTCGGATCCTCAACCGAGGGCCTTACCAACGAGGAGAACACCCTCGACGGCGACGGCACCAACGGCGCGGCTGAGGTTGGCGCCGCCATCGGCAGCACCGAGGCCAGCACGCTTGAGAACGCGGGCAACCAGGTTCCCAAGAAGTTCCGCCGGCAATTGAACAAGGTCGCCGCTGGCGAGCAGACTCTTGCGAATGCTGCTGGCGTTGGCTCTGAGACTGAGTCGACAACCAACGAGGAGAACACCCTCGACGGCGATGGCACCAATGACGCCGCCAACGCTGGCGCTGAGATTGGCAGCACCGAGGAGACTACTCTTGAGGAGGCTGGCAACTTGACTCCATGAAAAACGACGACAGTAATGGGAAGAGGATGAACTGATCTGGATCTTGTTGCTTGTACTTGTATTGAGCCGGTCCTAGAAGGGGGGCGTTTCTCAGCTGAATTTGGAGTTTTTGCAGCTTGTTTTGTTTAGCGTCTGAGTTGGGAGGGCATTTTCATGGAATGAGCATTGTTATTGGAGGAAAAAGTGTTCCGAGCGGTGTGATCTTTAGCAAGCAGTCTGTCAAATCCACAGCATCTTGATTGCCAACACCATCAGCTTTTCCTCTTCTTCACCTTCCATCATACACAGCATCGCATGTGATGAAGTCGAGTCACGACGATCAAGTCGGGAAGATCCTCCGTCACCGAAGATACCCTGCACGCATGGATGATCATCCACGACACGTGAGGTTGCAAGACATCCATCGATCTGCGTGCGCATCTTTCCCTGTTCCTCTGGGAGTCAGGTGACCATCTCGGAAAGCGCAGCCTGATCAGCGGGAAAGTGTGGCGAAGGCCGGCCACGAATTCCTTGGCAGCCTTGGGGGCGTTGACTCATGCCCGCCCAGTTGACTCCAGACCCTCACGCCACACAGGTTTTCCGAGAACATGATTCACAATGTGTCGTGTGCGCGGCAACGGCGATGTCGGCGTTTGGGGACACATATGACTTGGTTGCCTGGGTGTATAACACGAACAAGTCATCTTTCTTCTTTTCTTCTTCATTCTTGCATCTTTCTTACATTCCGTCTTGCAATACCCATCTCTTATCTCCTTCATCATGGTTCCAAGTACTTCCAATATGGGCCAGCGAAGTAATCGCAAACGAACGCGCCATCGACCTCGTCGGCCGAGGATGTACGATACGGCTTCTTCACTTCCCCCTCCTCTTTCTTCGGCGCAACTCCCTCCGGCCTACGCCACATCTCAGCGCAGGAATGTTTGCTGCTGCTCGGCGTCGCCACTATCAAGAACGTCGAGCAGCGACGTGCCGCCATTCCCTCACCAAAGAACCGACATACCCACGCCAACGGCTTCGAACTCGACACAGAGCGAAAATGCAGCCACCAGAGACCTGCGGGTGTTTGGGGGCAGCGACGAGGATGAGTCAAGTTCGGCGGACGCCCTTCGGGGCTGCATGCTAGATGTTGTGCTGCATCTTTTCAACGGCGTGGATTACGATGATGAAACGTTTTGATTACATGTAGCGGGCGCATCTCATCTCATCAACATCATCGTTCAACCTCATGAGATTCTGGATATAGATAGACTGAACATCACATCTTATCAAACACCGCCGTCCCCGTAACCGTATCCTGCGGCCGTCCATGATATCGCGGCCTGTCAACCTCCTCGTCGTCCGAGCGGTCGAAGAGCGTGCTCTTCTCCGCCTCCGCGCCGTGCATCATGTCAAAACTCTCCGCACTCGATGACGGCGTCGGACTGCCTCCGTTTACTTGCGCTCCGCGCTCCGGAGCAGCGGCTGTAGCGAATGACAGCGCTTCCGACCTCGTGCTGTCCAACTCGCCTACCCAGAATTGCCCACCGTCCGCTGCCTTCGTGCGGGACACTTCGCGCTCCTCCAACGCGCCTTTGGCCGCCAGACTGACGCCGAGCGTGCGGCGGTGCCAGGCACCGAGGAACATTCCTTCGGGGTCCGCCTCGTTGCGCACCTTGGCCCACTTCTTCAGGTTGTCGCCGAGGATGTGCTGCATTTGCTCCGCGGTGGTGTAGCTGAAGTTCTTGGCGTAGTGCGGTTTGGCGCCCAGCTCGTGCATCAGCCACTCGAAGGCTTCGTAGTAGCGGTCTTTGCACGGCGGGTCTTGTAGATAGGCGCGGTAGAGGGTGGCGTTGAGATAGAGTGTCGGGCCGTCGGAGCAGGTGTTGTCGAGGAATGGGCGCGTGGTGCCTTTGGCTGTGCTGTCGGAGACTCGTACCTCGATGGGACAGTGAACGTACAAGCCCTTTGAACTGAAGGGAATTCCACCGCCTCCCGGTTCACCGTTGAGCCAGGCGGAAAGGCGAGTGATGGCCTCGGGGCCTTTGTGGAGTGGGAGAGCCCATTCGTTGACAAATTGCGAGTATAGACAGTTCATGAGCAAGGCATCGGAAAGGTCTTGAACGGCGGTGGCGGAAACGCCAGGGGAAAAGCCGTACTGCATGCCGAACACGAACCATTCCACGGTCGGCAGGATCCAGGGAATGTAATTGGAAAGCCAGAGTAGGTTGTGGTAGGTGTGGAAGCCGACAGAGCCGCCGTACCAGGTGGCGTCCGGCGCCCGCACCGGCTTCTCTGTCCTTTCCGCCGACCAAACGATGGCGCGCTTCATGTACGGCATCCACCAAACTCGAGTGAATTCCTTCAGCCATAGATTGGTGTTCCAGCGAGTCAGGACATCGTCCAGCGGCACCAATTTCTGCTCCCACTCGACTTTGTAGTTCTCCACCATCTGGAACTCCACCTCGGTAACGATTCCCAGCGCGCCAAGAGAGACCAGCGCCGCTTTGAAGAGGTCTTGATTCTGGTCATTCGAACACCGTACGGCATGGCCATTCGACAGCACAACGCGGAGAGAGAGCACCGATTCGGAGATGATGCCGTGCTTGAGCGAGCTTCCATGTGTTGCCGTCGCTATGGCGCCCGCGATGCTCTGCGCATCGATACTGCCGAGGTTGGGCATGGAGAGGCCATGCTGATGCGCAGTGTGATTCAAGTCATGCAGGCGCATACCCGCCTCGACCAAGAACGTCTTCTTCTGTCGATCCACGTGCAACAACTTGCCATAGTCGTCGAGATTGATCATCCACGAGGAAGTACATGTCAGGTCGTTCGGGGAATGCCCGCTGCCAACCACCACAATCCTCCTCCTGCAGCGTCGGGCAAGGTTGACGACCTTTTGAACCTCCTCGAGGCTTTGCGGGCGGATGTAGAGCTCCGGACGACTCTGGAAGGTCTTGGCCCATGTGTGGTGGATGTGGGAGGAGGAGGCACGGAAGGGGACATCAGGGTCGGTCCGTGCGATCTCGTGCTTGATCTTCTCCATCTTCCCGGCGAGGTATGAAGTGTCGCGGTCTAGAGCGAGGATATGGAGGCGTTGGGAGCGGAGGTGTTCCGGGCTATCGGCGCTTCATGCTCAGTACTGCGATGATCGCGACGCGTCCCCAACGGTGAGACAGTGGAGAAGGGGACTCGGTGCTGGCGAGGTGCAGGTGGAATGGAGTGAAGTACATGTAATGCTCGTCATCGCCCGCCATCCCCGCTTTTCTCTCCCCATCCGAGCGCCTTGGCACGTGTGTCACGGCACGTGATCTTGGTGCTTCGCACTTCTTACCAGTTTGGGCAACTTGCCAGTGCACCCCACTTGCACTGCCTGTCCGCAGCCCGCCGCATGTAGTCTCCGGTGCCAACGGGATGTCCATTCAAACTCCGTCCCCGGTCCCGAGTTGACGTATTGATAAGTTAGAGCCTTGTCCCATCATCGCTCGACTCGCCATCTCTCCCAACTGCTTTCAATCACTTTCACGCGAACCAACAACATGCCACCCCAATTCATCGCCGGCGATGTGCGCGGCAAGGACCCCACGCAGTTGAAAGACGTACTCGGATCCCTCGGGATCAAGCGACTTGACACCGCTGCCATCTACGATGGAGGCGAGTCTGAGAAGCGCATTGGTGCGGCCCATCTGCCGCAGCATTTTACGATTGACACCAAGATCATGGTGACCAACATGAATCCCAATGGCTCGCACACGCCAGAGCTTATTGAGAAAAGTCTGTCCAATAGTCTGAAAGTGATGGGGGTGGACAAGGTCAACGTTTATTACTGCCACACTCCCGATCTGCAGACCCCCGTTGTTGATCAGGCCAAGGCGCTCGACGAGCAGTACAGGAAGGGCCGCTTTACTCATGTACGTCGTGTCGTGTTGCGTGCTGATCCCGATGGTCGAAACTCATATCTTCCTAGCTCGGCTTCTGCAATTTCTCCCCCTCCATGATCCAGGAGTGGCTGGACGTCGCCGAGAAGCACGGCTATGTAAAGCCAACCGTGTATCAAGGGCAGTACAACCTGCTTTGCAGAGGGTATGAAACCACCAACATTCCCCTGCTGCGAAAGCACAACATGGTCATCAACGCCTTCTCCCCTCTCGCCGGCGGCTTCCTCTTGGGCCACCTGACGGAAGACGGGCTCCAAGCGGGCTCGAGGTTCAACGCAGGGGCATCGGGCGCGGGGGGCGCCTATCTCAACTTCTACGACCATCCAAGTATGCACGAGGCCATCAAACGTCTTCGAAGCATCAGCAAAAGCTCCGGCATAGGGTTGGATGAGTTGAGTCTGCGCTGGCTCGTCTACCACTCCGCACTCGGCGATCAGGATGGCGTGATTCTCGGAGGGAGTAAATTGCAGCACTTCGAGAACAACATGGCGCAAATCCGCAAAGGGCCGCTCGATGATGCAATCGTTCAACAGCTCGATGCGCTGTGGGATGTGTGCAAAGAAGATGGGGTGAAACTTGTTCAGCATGACGACTACCTCATGGGAAAGCCGAGACCGTGATTGCTTGACGCAAGGCGTGGATAGCAGCCACATGACAAATCTATTCTGTATTGGTTTAGCTCACAATCAGTACCACACTGCCCAATTGCCGCTTCAAGTCTTCCTTGTCGACGTCATGCGTGTCTTCCACCTCACCCCACTGCGCCGTTTGATGTAGCACCTCCAGACTCGCCGCCTCGGCCGCCGCCTCAATGCCAAATCGCTCCGCTGCCACGTCCGGAGCTTGCTGTGAAGTTCGAAGGTGTGCAAATTCGGTGCTCCACTCGACCAGCAAACGCGCGGCTACAAGGACCGATTTGGTAGCGAGCGTGCCTCTCTCCAACGCCGCCAGCTCATTCGCAGGCAACCGAGACATCCAACCCCGGATGACTTGTCGAGTTATTTCAGGTTGTGCGATGGGGACAATGCTATCCTCGCCCAAAATTGGCACTATCTCGAGGCCGGGAAAGATGTGTGCGGTGAGGAAAGCAATGATTGGCTCGGCGATGTCTTTTTGTCTTTCTCGGAGGGATTTCACGCCGGGGCGATCGGGAGAGTATCGATTTTGCGCGGGAGCCCAACAGAGGAGCGTGTCTGTGGCGAGGTATCGCATGAGGGTGTTGATGATATTTTCCCGGATCTTGTTACCCAGGCCTTCGTCTGCATCTGCTGTTTCCAGGTCGGTCGCGCGACTGGTCAGACTGGTGAGGGGGACGTAGTGTTGTTTGAGCGCTTGCTGGGCGTTGACGAGCTGGTCCCATTCTAACGCTATCGCACTCGCGAGAGCTCTTTTACTCGGGGGAAGTGTGATGACCTGACGTTTCGAGTTCCGCACTGGCCGAGTGTCGAGATGAATCTGCAGACCTTCAGTCGTCTCTTTCACCGATACATTCTTCCAAAAGCGCTTCTGCAGGACGGATGTCGGCTTGGCGGGGTTGGCTTTTGCTTCTTGCGATTGTCGCAGGGCTTCGACGTGTTGTCTCTTCCGCGCAACGCGGTCTGCGGCGTATGTGACGGCTGCTTGAGGAGCATCGGGTGGCGGCCCGGGGACGGTAGGATGGGGAACTGGAGTCGCTTGTGTGGCCGAGGTGGTGTGGAGGAGGCAACGGGAGTTGAGGCGCAGGGTTCGGCGCACGCTCAATGAAGAGGTTGCCGTGACCACTCGGTTGTAGGGGATGGCCATGGTCGAGGGATGATGTGCGCGATGGAGATAGAAGGTGAAGAAGTCGCAAGTCGAGATGGATTTCCCAATGAGGAAGTTGAGCAACGTCGCGGAAAGGTGTGGGACGGGTTGGAACATTGGCTGACGTCCTCAAGCACGACATCGCTTCGAATGAGCTCGGCCTTGGGAGCTGGTTTCATTGCGAAAGCTCTCTCAAGCTGATTGATTAAGGACCATCACCCCCCTTACGGTCGTCGTTGTTGGAGTCATGCGAAACGTAGCAGTAGACAGCGCAGGCGGATCCGCCAGCAAGAAAGGCCACAAGAATGTGTTACTGATCGTGGCCGACGACCTTGGACTCTACCTTGGCTGCTATGGAACGCCGAAGATCCAAACTCACGCCATAGATACGCTGGCCGACGAAGGAACCCGCTTTACTAATGCATTCGCTAGCACGGCGTCCTGTAGCGGTAGTCGATCAACCATCTACACAGGTCTCCACACGCACCAGAACGGACAGTACGGTCTGGAAGGAGGCCGCAACCATTTCCATACCTACGAATGGGTCGAAACGGCGCCGCTACTCTTCAACACGCTCGGGTATCAAACGGGCATCATTGGGAAAGTCCACGTGGGAATCCCCAGCACCTACTCGTGGGAAGTGCGAGAGGAGAGCGACAGTCGGGACACCAGATGGGTCTCGCAACGAGCCGCGGCCTTCTTCGACAAGGCTCTGGAAACTGATCGACCATTCCATTTGACTATTGGCTGGCGGGATCCGCATCGGGACAACACCAGAGAGGACTTTGGCAATCAACGGCAGGAAGTGATTGATGCCGGCCTTCAGGGCCCCGGCTACAGCACCAAGGACGTGGAGATCAAGGAGTACATGACGGACTTGCCAGAGGTGCGCACGGAACTCGTGAATTACTACAACTCCATCACCCGCATGGACTGGGGAACTGGTTGGATTCTGGAAGCCCTCCAAAAACGAGGGCTGGACAAGAGCACGCTGGTCGTGTTCGTCAGCGACAATGGCGCGCCCTTCATCAACTCCAAAACGACAATGTACGAGTCCGGCATCCGTCTCCCCCTGATCATCCGGCAGCCTGGGCAAAAAGCCGGCGTGGTGAATCCCAACATGGTCTCCTTCCTCGACATCCTTCCCACTTGCCTTGCCTGGGCCGGCCGCAAGGACGATCTCAAGACACCCATCTCCTACCGCTCCCCCAAACGCCTCGGCGACTCCATCCTCCCCATCCTTAACGCTTCCGAGATCTTGCCCGCGCACAAATGGAAGCAGCACGTCTTCGGCTCGCACACCTTCCATGAAGTCTCCAATTACTGGCCCACACGCTACCTGCGCACCCACCGCTACAAATACCACCGCAACATCGCGTACAAGCTCGATTTCCCCTTTGCTGGCGACCTTTACTACTCTCTCTCGTGGGAGGGTTATCGCAACCAAGACGGGCCGGTGAAGATTGGCAAGCGTCCGCTGCAAGACTACATCTTCCGCACGCCTGAATCGCTGTACGATCTGGAGAAGGATCCAGAGGAAGTGCACAATCTGGCTTACGAGGACGAGTACCAAGACTTGGTCAAAGAGTTTAGAGGCAAGATGGAGGCGTGGCAATATGAGACGCGGGATTCGTGGCTGTATCGCGATGGGATTGCCGTGGTGACGCTGGAGCATTTCATGGAGTTGGGCTTGGAGGTGCCGGACCGGTGGGAGTTTGATCCGAAGAACCCAGGCAGTAAGCATGTGCCTATCTGGCATCCGCCGAAGAGCAAATAGGAGCTGTGTTCGGAAGCCGTGAAGAGAAGGAGTCGGAACTGGCGGCGAAATTTTCGTTAGGTTGAAAAGTCATTGTTGATATACCACGAGATGATGTACATCAACGACTCTCGTGTCCACGTAGCACGGTGCATTGGAATTTGCCTCGCTGGCTTGTGACGTGGGAGGATAATCTCAAGCGCGTATGGATCGCTAGTTCTGATAGGCCGTGCAGACCGCTTCTTGATGGTGCGAGTGGACATCTTATAGATGGAGCAAATTTCATTGCTTTGTCCAGTCGAGTAATCCCCATGTCACGGGTGTGCTTCAAGTCCCTCTAGGCTTACTTGACATCGGCAACGGCGGGGCCGCCGAACCAGCACCACTTCCGTCTGTGAGACCCGCCTTCTTCGGCGGTGGGGGAGGTGGTGGTTTCTTATGTGCTGCGATGGCCGCTGCGGCGTTCAAAGCGGAGGTTGCATGCGATGCTGAAAGAGAGGGGGTGCCGGATGTTGGGGACGCGGTATTGTTGGAGCCGGTGTTTAGCCTCGCGAACCTTTGTCCTAGCTCGGAAGCTGAGGCAGCAGAGATGCCACCGGGCGCAGCGGGTGACGAGGATGCTGCGTTGTTTGCGCCGGTGTTTCGGGAGAATCTTTGTTGCAGCTCGGAGAGTTGGCCGGCGTGACCCAGTGCTGTGCTGGCTGGCGATTGGGAAGCCTCGCCGCCGCTGTTCTTGCCGATGCCGAATCCAGAGACGGACACGCCTGCTTGACCCAAGCGGTTCACAGCGCCTTGGTTGAGAACTGGGGCGTGTTGTTGTACTGCTGTGGCCGCAGCTTCGTGGTATGAAGGTGGAGGAGGCGGAGTGTGCTCATCAGGGTATTCGTTCATCCTCGGGGGTAACATGGGCGAAGGAGCAGCAGGACGTTGCTGTTGCGGGCGACTGGGTAAAGCAGGCGATGAGTTTCGGGGTGGAGGAGCAGGGACCTCTGCAGGTGTTCTTCTGGTAGGTGGTGCGGGCAAGTGGTCTGTTCTCAGGCCTGTGTTGTCCGTCCGGTATGGAAGTGGTGGCGCTTGTGGCTCTTCCTCCTCTTCTTCCTCTACTCGTTTTCTCGGCGGGGGTACGGGGGCGCCCAACCCACCTGCGCGAGGCTGCGGGCGGGAGGGTGAGGACGGAGCGACGGAGGAGGACGACGAAGCAGAGGTGCCAGCGGCGTCGCCACGCTTCGGCGGCGGACCAAAGCTTTCAGGATCTTTCAGCGCGTTGAGCGGAACACTGGTGTGGTTGCGCGCGGTTTCGAGGTGTTTCTTGTCAGCCGTCTTGCCTGTGGCCATGCCCTTCAAGTCCGATTTCCATGTGTCGCGGTGAATGCCTGCATCGCCGCCCGGATGCCATCCTCCTTTTGCCACGCCCTTGAGTCTGTCCATGGGTCTGATCGCGAGGTGGTGTGGCTATGGGTATCTCAGATCAAGAAATCGTGCCTGTGTGATGTTAAAGGGTAGAAGAATGAGCAGAAGAAGAAGCGCTGACGTTCCGCCGTGCCCCGCGTCCCACCATTTTCTTGCCCCACCAGGCGATTCGCGTTCCTTCCGAATGCGGTAACTTTTTGCAGAACACCAAGCTCTGTCTTTCTCTTTTGTCCCTTCGACATGTCGCTCTATCATGAGGCGGCAGAGGTGTTCGCAGTCGCGAGCAAAGACGGTGGTTCGATCAAATCCATCGTTTTCTCCAAGAAGAAGTGGAAGAGCGACGGGCGCACCCTTTTTGCCCTGACCACGGAGACGGCGAAATGGAGTGATGTGCTGTCGAAGGTCATTGAAAATAGCGGAGTGTTGAAGGTGGAGAAGCAGGTATTTCCTCCATTCCAGAGCGATGAGATTGTATTCACGACTGACGTCTTGTAGCTTTCGCCTCAGCTCGCCTTACTTCTCGTTCACGATCTTTTGCTCGCCCCCAGAGGTCTGGCACTCACTCCCAAGCACGGTCTTGCTGCATCCATCACCAAGCACAAGGCTCGCCTTTCGGCAGAACTGACCAAAGAGAGGTTACGGCGAGGCTTTGCTAGCATAGATGCCTTACGATCTCATGTCAATGGTTCTGCGGGCGACGTCCGGTCTGGACTATATCGTCACCCAAGATGGATCCGAATAAACACTCTCCGAACGTCTCTGGCAGCTCAACTGGAAACGACTTTTGCCTCGTTCAAGCCAACATCCGCAATGACCGACATTATGACCTGCTCCCCTGCGGACAAGCTCGTCCATACCGACCAGCACGTTCCCAACCTTCTAGCCGTGCCACCGGGGGTTGATATTACAAGTCATCAAGCGTACAAAGATGGCAAATTGATCATTCAAGATAAAGCGTCGTGCTTTCCCGCCTATCTCTTGGACCCCTCCAGCACCGTAGGAGACATCATCGACGCTTGCGCCGCGCCGGGCAACAAAACGACACATCTCGCCGCCTTGACTTCGTCTGGTGCCGATCAGCAAACGAGTCCATCCCGCAAGCGCAAAATCTTTGCTTGCGAGCGGGATGCCGAGCGTTCAAAGACTTTGTCAAAGATGGTTCGCTTGGCCGGTGCAGACAGCGTCGTCCAGGTCAGGACCAGACAGGACTTTTTGAAAGTGAGCCCCCAAGCTGCGGAGTTTGCCAATGTCACCGCAATTCTACTAGACCCTAGCTGTTCAGGCAGCGGCATCGTTGGTAGAGATGAGGCGGTGCTAAATCTCCACCTCCCGGCTGTTGACACCGAGAATGGCACGAAAACAACTCACCGGAAGAGGAAGCATGAAATGGCAGAGGCAGAGACGAAACAGCTCGCCACTGATGATACCTCAGAGAACGTCCCCCTCGAAGGTGAGGCGGCGGGGACCAAGCTGCAAGACCGCCTGGCTGCACTGTCATCGTTTCAGCTTCGTCTATTGGAGCATGCCATGACCTTCCATGCTGTTGCCCGCATTGCCTATTCGACGTGCTCGCTTCATGACGAAGAAAATGAGCAGGTCGTGGCCAAAGCGTTGCTCTCGGACGTGGCAGTTGAGCGTGGATGGAAGATCTTAAGGCGGGAGCAGCAAGTGGACGGCATGCAGGCATGGTCGAAACGCGGTCGAGTGGAAGCTGTTGCGGCAGTGATGAACGCCGACACTACAGAAGAGATTGATGCTGATGTCGTCGCAGAAGCGTGCATTAGGTGTGAGAAAGGTGGAGAGGACGGGACAATGGGCTTCTTCGTTGCGGGATTTATGCGGGATGTTGAGGCAAGGAATGGCGGCGTTCAGCCCTCGAAGAAAGGAGCTGCTGTATCAGCTACACTACACAATGGGACGGATTTGCAAAATGGAGATGAGGAAGAATGGGAGGGGTTCAGTGACCAAGAGTGAGCTGGTCGTCGTTTTTCAACGGTCTCTTCGACACCGATCGAAGCAGAGGCACCCAACAAAACAGGATTCGACAGTCTCAATTTCCACGATCCTGACGCTCCCTCCCCGAACGCTCCGATGCCAGGTTCTCAGCACTAACAGGCTCTCGGTCCTCCGCGCCCAACTTCTCACCCCGCCCACGCTCGCGCTCGTCAACGTCATCCTTGTACTGAGGATCGCGCTCATCGTTCGTCTCGAAGTTCTGCGTCGACTCCCCAACCCCCTGCACACTCTTGCCTGGGTTATTTCTGCCCTTCTCGCCGTCGTGGCGGATCTCTGTGCTTGACTGCCCTGAGCCAGGGTGGCCGAGGCCGGTGTGAACATCTCCCGATGTGCTGCCGAGGATGGTGTCTTCGGCCGCGGCGTTGGTGGCTTGCGGTGGGGCTTCGTCGGTGGGGTTGGGTTGGAAGGTTCTGCTGGTTGGTGCGGTGCCGGCGGGCAGGGTTTCGGCTTGGAACTCGGGGGCGGCGTCATTACCGACCAATTTGCCTGGTTGTTTCTGTGCATCGTCCTTGTCAGCGGGGATGTCATGTGTGAGAGATGGTTGTGGGTGGCGTACGCCTGAGGACATCATGGGCTCGGAGGGGGCAATGCGAGAGCTGAACTCGCCGCTTGAGCCATCACCGGCCTGGTTGGCGATTGAGTCTGCGTTCGTTGACATGATGACGATGATGGTGGTGGAAGTTGTGGTGGATTGGCTTGTACGAGTGTGGTGGATGAACAGTGTAGCGTGTAATCGAACGAACGAGAAGAGACAACCAGGACTTATACCCCGTCGTCAATGCGTCGCGTGTCCAGATGGGGTGATGTGTCCCTGCAGCTCTTCCTGCTCGCATCATGTCACTATGTCGTCAATGATTGTTTGCCCGCGCCAGGGCCCAAGCTCGGCTCGGCTTGTTCAGCCTTGTCATGTGATGGCGGGGATCTCTTGCTCTGAGACGACGAATTCAATCGCGATACATATTCAGACCAACTCACCAGTGCTATGGATCGTGATAACGTCAGTTGGATAGGTGTAAGCACCCCTCGTGTACTTGCGGTGTCGATGAGTCGTATTCGCCGCATCGTGCCTTCTCCCACGGACATCAACCCTAACCCTAGCCTCGATTAGGAAACTATAGATTTTTGACGATCTTCTTTTCCGCGGCGTGACTCTCACTCCCCTTCTCCGCCTACACTCATTCATGCTCGGGATCGAGTCCGCCGTTGCACTGCGGACGCCTCGCTGTTTTGCACGGGTGAGATTCTCGTCGCAACATCTGCGCCACTTTCACAGCAGCACCATCCCCAACATGGCTCGAGACACCCGGCTCCATGGCCGAGCCTTCTACGAATCCCTCGGCTCGCCCAAATACATCGTCGCGCCCATGGTCGATCAATCGGAGTTCGCTTGGCGCCTGCTCACCCGCTCCTTCCTCCCAGCCGACCTACGAACGTCCATCCTCGCCTACTCGCCCATGCTGCATGCGAAGCTCTTTGCCGAAGGCCCCAAGTATCGCGCTTCTCACTTCGAGCCCTTGAAGCCTCCCTTCTCCCTCGCGCAACCTGGTGACGTTCAGCAACAGAAGACTTCCAGCGCGGAGGATGCGTACCTTGACGGCAACCCGCAAAACGACCGGCCGCTGTTTGTGCAGTTTTGTGCCAACGATGCTGAGCATTTCCTCGAAGCCGCCAAGATTGTTCAGCCATACTGCGATGCGGTTGATCTGAACCTGGGCTGTCCACAAGGGATTGCGAGGAGGGGAAATTACGGATCATTCTTGCAGGAAGATTGGGATACCATACATCGGCTCATCAGCACGCTACACGAGAAGCTGGACGTCCCAGTCACGGCGAAGATGAGAGTTCTTGAGACGAAGGAGAAGACGTTGGAGTATGCAAAGATGATATTGAATGCCGGAGCGAGTATCATCACCGTCCATGGACGTCAGCGGGATCAAAAAGGGCACAAGACTGGCTTGGCTGATTGGAGCGTGTTGAGATATCTACGGGAGCAGTTGCCGCCAGATACCGTCATCTTTGCCAATGGAAACATCTTGCAGCACGAAGACATTCAGCAATGTCTGGACGAGACAAAGGCCGATGGGGTGATGAGTGCAGAGGGCAATCTTTACGATCCGTCCATCTTCGCGACAGGCCCGCCAGTAGGTGAGGAAGGAAGAGAATATTGGCGAGGTCGAGACGGCAAGGGCGGTTACCGAGTGGATGCAGTCCTCCGGCGGTATCTCGACATCATTCATACACATGTCATGAGACAAGAGCCTCCCAAGCGAGAACCTCTTTTCATCCCCTCGGACGCATCACAGGCATCGAGGAAGCAAGACTCGAATGGCCACTTGAGTGACGACGGCCAGCCACCAGCGAAGAAGCAAAAGATAGATCAGCCCAAGGAGAAGACAGAAGAGGGCAAGCCCAAAAACGGGAAGCATGAGAAAGTGACCAACGCCAACCTGGTAGCGATGCAAGCGCACTGCTTCCACATCTTACGACCCCTCGTCTCCAAACACCACAATGTCCGAGACGCCTTGGCCAGATCGAGAGCAGGCGACATCGCTGCTTACGAAAACGTGCTCACTCTCACGGAGAAGGCGGTGAAGGAAGGCCTTCTAGCTTACGAAAGCGACCCCGCGCAGTTCGAATTCGATGATACCCCGCCGTCTGCTGAGCAGCTTGCAGCCTCAGAGAGCAGTGACGCTGCTGTGAGGAGATGCAAGCGCCCGTACTGGGTGTGTCAGCCTTACGTTCGACCTCTTCCCAAAGAGGCGCTGGAGAAGGGGAGTCTGCAGCTCAGTAAGAAGGAGTTGGCCAAGATGGCAAAGGCGGAGGAGGAGGCTAAGAAGGCGGGTGTTGAGCCTAATGGAAAGGTCGAGAAGGTTGCCAATGGGTCACATGATCAGGCTGAGGAGGTGCCAAAGGCAGGCCTCGTTTGTGGCTGATCAAAACTTGACAGATTCGATACGAGTTCACTCAAGCTTTGTGAATGAAAGTTCACTTCACATTCAAATCTCCAAGCTCACCTGACACTTCCAAGTCATCAAACCGTGTAACACAAGCGCACTTCAGCGAGTTCCGTTTGCACCGAGAGTTCACGGCAAGGTTTCACGACGCTCGCCTCGCATATTACCTGGCTACAAGCAAGTTGCCATTTTCCATCTACTCTCTTGCTCTTACAACCTCGTTGTACACACACACCAGCATGGTGCGCTCGCAATCTCTGATTTCTGCTGGTGATGGCGCTGCGGACAGCAAACCCATCAACAACGACGCCACCAACACAAAGACTACCGGAGCCAACATGAACCACAGCAAGGCCATCGCCACAAAGATCACCCAGACTGCCATGAACGACAGTACGGCCACCAACAGCGAAGCTCCAACAATCAAGAGCGCAGACACCACCTCCAACATCACATCCACCCACGTCAATGCTATTGAGAGCACGATGAGCGAAAGCAAGAATCCTGGCAACGAGGGTCCCGACGGCAAACACGACAACAGCATGGCCGTGGATTCAACAGACATAGCCATTGCCCCTCTTGAGCGCATCCAACGCGCGCTTGGCCTCAAACACCTCTCAAACCCGGAAGACGGAGTTGCCTGTGAGGTCGAGTCACCATTTGATCACCGCCGGGTGAGCCGCTTTCTCTTCGAGCGCAATGTCATCTTCGTTGCCATACATCTGCAATTGCGGAAGAATGACACCGGCGGCTTGACGAAAATAAGCCTCGGGGTTGCGCGCCTTGATACGGAGGACCTGGATCGAATGTCACCCGGGCGCTGTGGTGAGAATTTCGAGGAGGAGATTACTATCGACTCTTTCGTGGAGGAGCCCTTGTTCGATCGCCAGGTGGTAAGCGACTATCAGATAGGCAAAATGAGAAGGAGCATCGCGAATTCTTTCGAAAACACTGGCCCAAGTCACTGCGGAAAGGCTATCGCTATGGTGAAAGCGAAACGAGAGATCGTCTTGGTGACGGATGGCACAGCAGAGCTCGACCACGACCTTTCACTACTAGGCTTCAACCCGAGGCATCAGTAAGTTTTGCAAAGGAGAAGCAGATGACATCCAAATATCTTTGCTAACAATGGACAGTGTGGGCGTCATCGACATTGTTGACCTACGGACGCTGTTGGAAGCGGTCAAAGCCTGGCATGCAGACCACCATGGTGGCTATTCTGACTTTGATGTCCACGAAGGCGGTCAAATCCGCATCCCGACAAAAGTGAAGCGTGTGACGGCTGCTCTGGAATGCAGAACTGCAGTATGGAAGACATTGTTCGCCATGATCAACCTCGCTATCACAGACATCCAGACGTGTGACGCGTGGGAAACCCGCCGCGATGGAAACGGCGGGCCTTTCCCTGGACCATTCCGAAAGACGGAGACGGAGTCAGAAAAGCTTGCCTCTGAGCTCGAGCGTATCCTGGGATTAGCGCTCCCGGACCCTGGTCAGGACATCCGCCAATGTGTCCAAGCTCTGTTGGAGGATAGGATCATCACGCGTGTCGGTACGGCCGTGAGGACGGAGCACCGTCACCACCAGGAAGAATGCGAAATACCTGCCACAGCTGAGACTACAAAGCCTAGCCGGGCTGCTGCAAGTCCAACTAGAGCCAATGTAACAGAGGTGGGACAAGAGCAGCACACCACCCCCAAGGTGCCCGATCTGACATCCGTGCAGCCCATCCACACTGCTGAGAGTGGAGACGTGACCACTGTTACTCAGATCGAGCAGAAGCCGCAAAGCAACTTGGACGTGGCCAAAGATACCACCCGCCGCGACAAACCGACAAACGAACACAGCGCAGCAGTTGAGGCTAGTGTTCCGGCATCAAAAGGTTTTGAAGAGAAGAGCAAGCAATCAAGTGTCGAACCAGTCCGCAATACCTCTCCTCCCACCAAGACCGCCCCTTGCATAGTCAACGGGCCAAGGACGCCACAGCCATCCCACATTGGATCAGCACTGTTCACCTATCATCGCCATGAAGAGGACTTCTGTGAGCAGGTGAAAGAGGCTGTCAGGTCATTCTCACCCGACATCGATGAGTACTACATTACCGAGAGGTACGAATGTCAGACCGGAGAGGTGAAGGTGAGGGACAAGATCTGGCCTCCAGAGAATTACATCAAGCTGGCCCGCAGACTGGTCGAGCACCCTTCGAGCATCTCTCTCGGCATGGTCGCAGAGTTGCTACGGGATACGGTACAGCGTGAGATGGTCGATGGGTGGTTCACCTCGCTGCCTCTGAATGATCCACAGAGGGACGAGGACCAGATCGCGAAACATCAGAGGTTCAGGGTGATCTTGCGCAAGACCTACGAACTTCTCTGTGGCCCGTTATCGCGACGTGTTCCAGATCTTGCGCAGCGCATGGAAAAAGTTACTACCGAAGCGAAAGTACGAAGGGGTTAGAAAGCTTGCCCGCAGTGGTGAGCTCTGGAGAGGGTAGGATGAGGATTATACGCGTAGGCTCAGCTCCACTCAGGCGATACTGGAGGTTGTATGCTTCATTTCGAACTGTTCTGCTGCGCTACGCAATCGGAAAAAGGGAGAGGCAAAGACAGTCGTCGATTTGTAGTACGCATTAGGCAGTGAACGTACGAGCAACATTGAAACATCATTTCTTCACGCCGTATCTTGTGCCAAGGAGTGAGGTAGGTGAAACCCACGCCGCCCAGCAACCTCTCACCCCACATCTGAACCTCACCTCCCTTCTGAAAGCAACATCAACATATTCGTACATAGCAAGCCCAACCCAAGTTCTCTGAAAGCCGACACTTCAGGTCATCACCAACATGGCCTTTGCAAAAGCCCGAGAAGAGATCTTCGCAGCTCACAACGAGGATCCCAACAAAATCACCATCAACGGCAAAGAGGTGCCTTACGAAACGCATTACGCGGAGAAGATGGAAGCCTTCCTCAGCAAACGTGATGCCAACGGCTCAGACGTCCTTAGACTGGCAGTTGCCGCGCAGCATTTCCGGCGCTGGGAGATTCCACGCTCGTCGTATCCCATGACCAAGGTCGGCTATCATGCCTGGCGCACCGCGCAGAAGAAGCGGCACGCGGAGCTTCTCGGCCAGATTCTAGAGAAGTACTACCCCGAAGAAGACGTGAAGCGCTGCATGGCTCTCGTGCAGAAAGAAGGGCTCAAGCAGGGCGAGGAGGAAGTCCAGGTGCTCGAAGACGTGGCATGTCTCGTCTTTCTAGACGATCAATTCGACGAATTCAAGGAGAAGCACGATGCCGACAAGATTGTGAATATCCTCCGCAAGACGTGGGGCAAGATGTCTCCCAAAGGACACGAAATGGCACTGCAGATTCCCATGACGGATGAATGCAAAGACCTTGTGCAGAAGGCGCTCAATGGCTGATTCTCTTTACGCCTCTTTACAATCTGACACGAGATGAAGAAGATCCATCTACAACTTGGCGCTCAGCACGCTCCCACCATCCAACACAATATGTCCGCCATTGACATGGCCGGACGCCCGCGAGCAAAGATACACCACCGTCCCAGCGATATCCTCCGGCAAGCCCAGACGCTTATTCGGGTTGGCCTCCGCCAGCTTCTTCACTCCACCGCTGAGCTCCATCAACCCACTGGCCATCTTGGTGGGGAAGAAGCCGGGTGCAATGCTGTTGACGAGGATGTGCTGCGGGCCGAGTTCGAGCGCGAGGTTGCGGGCGAGGTGCAGCACCGCTGCTTTGGAGGCGGAGTAGCCAAAGGTGGCGTTCTTGCCGATGGTGCCCACGCCGATGCCTGCGATGCTGCCCGTCACGACGACACGGGAGGGGTCCTCGAGTTTGGCCTTCTTGCGGAGGAGAGGGGCGAATCTGTCAATTGTCAGCACAAAGCAATCTCCGACCCTTACAAGGCGCAGTCCTTCCATACTTTTGTATACAAATAAACACACTCTTGACATTCAAGTCCATCACCTTGGCAAATGCCTCCTCCGGGTGCTCGTCAAAGGGCGCGCCCCACGTCGCTCCCGCATTGGCAAGCAGGATGTCGACATGATCCGTGTGCTTCTCCACCTCTTTCACCAATCGCTCAATCTCGCTGGTCTTGGAGAGGTCGGCGGGGACGGAGATGGCCTTGCCCGAGCAGCCGAGCTTGTTCAGCGCGGCGATGGCTTCCTCGCATGCTTTAGCCTTGCGCGAGGTGATGAAGACTTTGGAGCAGCCGGATTGGAGGAGACTAGGAGGGTTGTGAGTAAGGTACTCAGCTGTTTGGTGCATGGCGTGGCATTACCCCGATGCTGCGTTTAATCCCAACCCGCGCGATCCGCCGGTCACGACGGCGACTTTGCCTTGCAGCGAGAAGAGGCCTTTGAAGTCGTTGAGCGATACGTCTGCTTCGGCCGACATGTTGTATAGTTCTGACGAGTTGAAGATGCACAAGGAAAGAGGTTGAAGTATGTTGGAAGCAGAATGGGAGGTTGCTATCGCATTGACGAGCGTTCCGCCCGATGATGTACTTGCAGCTGTCAGCCGAGGCTCATCATCGCGGGCGAAGCTTACTCAGCCTGACCGCCTCAGCTCCTTCCGTACAAGGCAATTCCTCTTCATCGACTTCGCCCTGCGATGCAGACTCACCGCAGTCCAAGCAAGTTGTCGTTCTATAATCTATGCATATATAGTAATGATCGCTCACGGCAGCAATCTCCATTTCCACCTTGCAGCTAACCGCTCAGCTTGCTGAGCACAAAACCAACTCTACCACCCTTTTCGCGAAGCACGCTGCGAAGAACAGCGTCCTCAATGACTCCCTCCAGCGCATCGCCATCATCCATTTCGTCCTCAGCAGCGCGTTCGGGGACGAGTGAAGTGTCAAAGTGCGCATACTGCATCAGACTCAGCATCTTCGCCCTTGCCACCATTGGATCTTTGGCTTCACTTTCAGCTTGCGAGCTATACTCCTTTCCGCTCATCCACGAACGTCTGCTGGATGACGAAGGTTGGGCATCGTCCTCGAGGTGAACAATTTCCACCCCGTTCTCATCTCGGTCAATGTCGTCTCCGCCGCTACTCAAGGCTGCAAGATCGTTGCGCGGTGAAATCACATCTTCTTCCGGCTCAACCATTGGCATTCCTCGCCCGCCACACGTACATCCCAACAGAATATGCGTTTGACACCCCTCGCCGTCGTCCAGACGGAAGAGGTCACGCAGCTCTTCCCGCGTAAACCCACTGACGCCATTCTTGCCGTCGACAATGCTGTCCGCCAATCCAGTCTTGCTCACTTGGCGTTGGAAGATCTTCTCATCTAATGCTCCCTTCGTGAGCAAGCGGTAGATGTAGCACGCTCGCTTTTGGCCTTCTCGATGCACGCGCGCCATGGCTTGTAGGTCCGTCGCTGGATTCCAGTCTCCGTCGAAGAGGATGAGTCGAGATGCGCCGTGGAGATTCAGCCCGAGCCCTCCTGCTTTGGCAGACAGGAGAAAGACGAAGCAGTCGCGCTGGGAGGAGCGATTGAATCGGTCCACCAGGTCCTGTCGCTGGTTTGCTGGTGTCGATCCGTCCAAGCGCAGGAATTTGTACGACAGAGACGTCAGAAGATTGCTGAGGATGTCGAGCGTAGAGGTATAGTTGCTGATCAGGACCACCTTCTCATCAGTCGTATTACGCATCTGATGGAGCAGCGAGTCAAGCACTTGCAGCTTTCCACTGGCGCCAGACGATTTCAACGATGCCTGTGGGATGCACTCCATGAGCTCGGCTTTCATCGCACCTCCATCTTTGGAGTTCTTGAGGAGCAAGTTCGGGCTGTTGCAGACCTTCTTCAGGATGTTGATGAGTTCGAGGGTCAAAGAAGAGGATCCCAAAGCGGCGCTGTAGACGGGTGATTGTAGGATGGCGCGGTATACCGCACGTTGCGCTCCCGTTGGTTTGCAGAAGAGGACATACTCTGTCTTGGGCGGCAAGTACTTTGAGAGGATGTCGGACGTTCTCCGGAGAATGAACTTGCCAGTGAGAGTGGCCAGCTCTTCTGCACGGGCCTCGCCTTTCTCCTTGTCGTCGGGAGATGCTCCAGGCTGCTGACTCCTGACGATTGGGTTCTCGAAATCACGCTTGAATGCAGAGTACTTTTTGAGCAAGCCTGGATTGACAAAGTCGACCATTGTGTGGAACTCGCCGAGATCGTTCTGAAGCGGCGTACCGCTGAGGATGATGCGCCGTTCGGTGTTTAGCGATTTGATGGCAAGGGCGGATTTGTTCTGTGCAGTCTTCAACCGATGGCCTTCGTCCGCGATGACAATGTCGATTCCCGAGCCGGAAGCTTGCTGCAGCTCCTCTTGGACCATGCGCACTTTCTCATACCCGATGATCATGACGGAGTAGCTTCTGCCTTTGGTGAAGTCCGTGAGCTTGGTCTTTTTGTCTTTGAGAACCATCACGCCGATCCGCTCGGTCCCGAGCCATCTGCGGAACTCTTTGCGCCAATTGTTAATCAGCGTTACGGGACAGACGATGAGCGCTTTCTTGATGACCGGCGGTTCTTCGTGGATCGGGTTCTGCTTCATCAACGTCCACAGGAGAGCGATGGTCTGCAGAGTCTTGCCAAGGCCCATCTCATCGGCCAGAATCGCACCTTCGCCGTCGTAGTCCTTTATCCCCATTACACATTCGTACAGGAAGGAGACACCGACCCGCTGGTGTTCACGCAGCTTGTCAGACAGTAGAGGGTCTACTACGACATCCACAATCTGCTTGCCTTTTGGTGCATGGCGTGGTCGTTTCATCACCAGCGCATTTGGGCGATTCGGATCGTGGCGGGGAGTGGGTAGCTTACCATCTCTCGGAGGCACAACCTGAGCCATACCATGCATCAATGGAGCTTTGAAGGCTGCGTTGGTGGGGTTGCGCGACGGCAACGCTGGAATGGAGCGATGCCTTTCGACAGCAGGGTGAGGCATTGTCGCAGATGAAGACAACCTTGGATCCGATTTACTCGCTTTGAGGTTTGATTGCGGCTGCTGTGCTTTCTTTGATGGTCGAGTGGCGAGGAATTCGTCCTTGGAGAGCACAGATTCAATCTCGATTTCCTTGCCGCTGATGGAGAGCTCCGAACCGATGTCGAGCGGCCGCTTGCAGACGGTCCTGCCGATGTCTTTTCCGGATACATCTTGCAGAGTGGCGGATCCATTGGAGACGGCGAGTACACCATCGCCATCCCAGGTCTTGTTCTTTTTGGTGGTGATCTTTCGCCTGGCATATTGTGAGTATGTCAAAGCGTAGCGAAGGGATGCAAGCTTACCAAAGAACGGTGTAGTACTTCGTATGTTCCGTGTGAGCGGGCGAAGGCGTTGGATGCGAACCATTTGGATTCTGGACAATTTCCAATGGCTTTCTGACGGGAGCTTGGAATAACTTGGGCGGATGCGGAGTCTTCAGGGCATTCGCTGCGGCCTTCACGCTGGCGATATGCTCTTCGGGGGTTTCATCGCTGATTCGCCGCTTCTTTGCCGGTGGCTCGAGAATTGGCTCTCGCTGCCCAGATGACACGTCTGGCCGTCTCACAAACGTGAGTGGCTTGAACGGTTTCATTGTCGAAGCGGCATTGTCATGGAGGTGAAATGGACAAGATGGGCAGTGGAGAGAAGATGGAAGGCGAACGCGTCTCGCCGCGTCGAAGTCTGACTAAGCGAGCACGAACATGTCCCACTTTCACGTGACTGGCAGGATCTTGAGTGTTTTCCACCGGCGAGATAGGTTACTAGAGTATGTGTATTATGTGTCGTCTACAGGATCACTAAGCCCAAGCTCCTCTTGCGAAACAGTTTGTGTCCCTCTTGCTGGCGGCTGTTGTTGGAAACAAGCACCGTCTCGCTAGTTGACTAACAATTGGTTGGAGGACAGTCAGCCTTGTGTGCATGGCTTAATCCCGGGCCCTGTATTCAGCCGCAGCTGAATATGGCCGTTACCTGTACGTCAGCTCATTCCCCCTACGCAGTTTTCTTCTGTCAAGCAAGCCGCTTGTACTCGTAATTGCGATTCTAGCTTTCTCGCACCCGTCTAGCAGCTATGACGACTAAGCCTTCTGATGCGCCATGGGCAGACGAGCCTTACAAGCTGCTGGCCACTCCATCGCAGGCCAACCACGTTTGTCCTACCAACGAGAAGAGACTTTTGCCACGGCAGCTACTGACAATGTCAGGACGAGCATGCCTACTTATACACCGCATCTGAGATGACGCACGCGCACAATGCGGTCATCCGCGGATTGAATGCTATCGTGCAACAAGCACCGCATGTTCCCGATGCTACGGACAAAGCCTACAACGAGCGTGATGTCAAGGATCTTCTGTTCTATGTCAAATCATGGACAAAGATGGTGAACCATCATCACTGGGTCGAGGAGTCCTTCATCTTTCCCGAGATTGAGAAAATCCCCGGTTGTTCTGGCATGACGAAAGATCCTCGCCATCAACACGATCTTTTCCACCCCGGAATGGACCGTTTGCTAGCCTATGCCGAGAGCACAAAGCCAGCCGAGTACCGTTGGAACGGCGACGATGGAATGAAGGAGATCATCGATTCTTTCGCTCAATACCTCACAGATCATCTACACGCCGAGATTGATGTATTCCTCGGCATGAAGGACGTTGACAGTGCTAGCCTACGTCGTGCTTGGGACCACGGAGAGGTTGTCGCAAAGCAGACCGGGAACATTGGCATGCTGGTAGGTCAAGCTCTGTTCGATGCAATCAGTGTGTGTTTGCATGGGAATGCTAACTGTCAGCCTAGTACGACGTATTTCCGGCCGTGCTGGGAGCGATTGACAAGACCTACGAAGGCGGCCACCCATTCCCGCCGCTTCCATGGGTACTTCCATATCTCATCAAGTACTGGTTCGCGGCGGGTAATGGCGCCTGGCGTTTCAATCCATGTGACTTTTGGGGGCGTCCGCGGCCATTGCACTTCGCTCTTCAGCCGCGGCTTTGATGAGTGAGTTGGTCCTGAAGGTGATGGAGTAGGACAGAGGCTGATCACGTTCCAGCGCCGCAGATTGTCGCCGATGGTACTTGCAGCGTCACGCCCTCTACAGTGCCACAGTCGCAGTACGTAGATGGCAAGGGATGGGTGCTTCGAATCGGAAGTACTCTGTTTTCTAGTAGCGAGCTTAGGCATTAGAGCTTGCATAAGTCAGGCATAAACCTGTAATTACACGTTGATGGGTTCAGCCCCGCCATCCCACTTATGCGGAAGATGACTTCATCCCACTTCCAACACACCAGACATCCACACCCCACTCTACCCAGTCCACCCGCGTCTTCTCCCTTGCCGTACACTTGCGCCAGACGCAACTCCAATATCATGGCTTCCTCAATCCCCATTCCCGATGAACGTGTCAACTTCGTTCCCATCCAGGCCGGCGAGACGTTCAAACTCGGGCCCATGACCTGCCGAATCTTGGAAGACGGGTCCAGAACTGGTAGGTGACCTTCCACAACCGATCACCCATGAACAACAAATTGACAGAGCCTTGCACTAGACCACCGCCTGGGAGTCGCAGAGCTCATCATGCCCCCTCGCACCCCCGGCCCACCGCCGCACTGGCACGAAATGCACGACGAGACCTTTTACATCACGCAAGGGCTCGTGCGCTTCCACGTCCCGGATCCCAGTCGCCCAGGACACGACAAGGAGGTCATTGATGCGCGCCCGGGCGACTACATGGTCGTTCCCATCCGTGCGCCGCACACGTTCAGCAACCCGTCCGACGAGGAGGCGAGGATCTTCTTCACGAGCACGCCTTCCTTTTACATCAACTACTTCAAGTTGTTGTCGCAGTTGAGCAGGCCCGATGAGCCTTTGCCGGCCGAGGTGACGATGCAGGCCATGTCGATGTATGCCACGATACAGGTTGACAAGGTGCCGAGGCGGAATGCATGAGTGACGATGAGAAGTGATGCAATTGCTTGATCTCATCTATGATAGCGAATGATCAGAACGCCAGCCAATGCTTTATCATTATTCGTTATAACGTCATCAGCACCCCTACAACTCCTTCTTCCAAAAATGCTCGGGAGCATGGCTCGTCTCGTAGTCCACGTGGACATAACACCTCTCTACATCCGGCAGGGACTCCAGCTTGATCTGCAGCTCCTCCGCCACATCGTGCGTTTCCTTCAGCGTCATGTTCTGATCCATCACTACATCCACCTCCACAATCAACCTCGGGCCCGAATGCCATGCGCGCACCGTATCCAAAGACTTAATCTGGGGCGAGTGCGTCATGGAGATGTAGGTGACATGCTGGAGGAAGCTGGTGTCGGCGGACACTCCGATGAGCAGCTGGAATTCGGAATAGGCGGTGCTGAGCCAGAGGCAGGCGATGAGAGTGGAAAGGATGATGGCGCCCATCGGATCAATCCACCAAAGCAGCTTGCTACCCAATACACTCGTCAACAATCCGGTACCGTTAATGAACAGATCGTTGCGGTGGTCTTCCCAGAGAATGCGGATCTGGCTGTACTTGTTCCTCAATGCCCAACAGTAGAGGAACAGACAGAGTTTGGTGGCGAAGGCGACGCCGACGGCAATGACGGAGGGGAGGTGGAAGCTGCCCGTCTTCACTCCGCCGTTCCCTTCGGCAATCTTCACGATGGATTGGACAATGATGATCGCGGAGACCGTTGTCATGAGGAAGCAAAAGGTGATGTTTCCCGAGGTCTCGATGCGTGCTTTGCCCGAGGGGAAGCGCCGAGGGTCGACACGACGGATAGCTCGATTGCACAAGATGAGGGTCAGGTTGCTGCGATGCATTAGTTGGGATTGAAACTCTGGGATGAAATTATGGGTACGCACCTCATCGGATCGAAGATGGCGTCGGCCATTGTGGTGAAGAGCGACAGAGAGTCGGCACTGGTGGCGCCGTACACCTGCAGAATGGCGAGGCAGACATTGGCCACGAAGCTTCCCTGAACGGCGATTTTGAACTGCAGAGCATCTGCCCCCTGTTCCTCCTTGGCCAAACGAACGTGCTCGTTGACCGGCCTCAATAACTTCTCAATCCGTTCGTTCTGCGATTCATAAAAGCCCTTGATGCGGTGTGCTTGAAATTGGTCCTTGGGCTGCCGCAGAGGCCCGCACCCGGCGCGCTTGCGAGATGTGTTGGCGCGGATGGTATCAATCTCCTCCACCGTCTTCAAGCCGCCCCGAAGGCCGTAGGGGTCCTGGGCATCGATATAATCGGGAAGCGGGTGCCCCTCGACATCTTCTCGTTCCGAGTCGGAGCTGTTGCGGTGATACACCGGCCGACTGAAGGCCTCGGAGTGTTTGTTCTTGGACTTTTCGTAAGCGGAGCTTTGCGCAGGGCGGGTGGTGGGCAGGTGGTCGCTGCTCCGCTCCGGGGTGCGCTCGGGATGGGTATGGAAGGGGGAGGGACGGAGGGAGATGGCGCGGTGGACGTCGGGGTCGGAGTTGGCCATGGCGGCCGATGAAAGGATGACGATGAGGAAGGATGTCGTCTAACGCCTCTCATCAAACAGATGAAGTTGCTGGTGTGAAGCCTTGCGAAGCTGTCCTCAACGTTGTGTCATCTCGCGGACCCCGCCAAGGCTATTGCGCCTTCGCCTCCGCCACTGCCCAGACGGAGAAGCGGCAAGGCACTGTCCCCGCTCCATCACCGCCGCGCACATCAATATGGACGGATGGATGGCCCTGGAGATGTTCTGGACAGAATCACACAATATGGATGTGTCAGGAGAAGGAAACAAAGGAGGTACGGCAAGGCGACAAGGCCATACAATGATGGGTGAGTTCGTATGTTTCCACCAATCAGCGATGCGCACGTCAGCCAGCCAGCCCGATTTCTGCCGCATATCGCATGCAGGAGAAGGACATTGGGGTATAGACGGTGGGAGTTGGACGAAAGGCCAAATGTGTGTTCATCCACCCAATGTGGACCTGTGCGTAGCATCAAAACTACCCTGTATTTACTCCTACAGTCGCGTAATAAGGTAGGCAGGGAACGTTTTGCCCATCCCGTGTCCGGTGTATCTGACCCCATCCCACAACGCCGACGCAATACTTTTGCAAAAAAGCACATCAGAAACGCACATCAAACAACGGCCCATTCCACCACCTCCAACGCCAGTAGAACCAAGGTAAGCGTGCTCGGGAAGATGGCCACCACATAACTCGCCACCAGCAAGTTGCTCATCGCCCCCATAAACACCCCGTTGATCTGACAGATCTGCGCCAGCTGCAATGCACTCGGGGCGCCGGTGAGGAGGAAGCAAACGATGATGAAGATTGGGTCGTCGAGGATGCTCACCGGCACGTACTTGGCCATGAGAGCGAGAATGGGCGCCATGACGATGGTGGGGACAATCATGCGGGAGATGAGGGAGGCGAATAGCAACTTGCGCTCCTCCCGTTTCTCCGCTGGCGTCTCCGCCACTTGGTCACGGGGAAGGGTGGATCGAGCGAGGTTGGCACCCAGCACCACTAGGATGAGCGGGACGGCGACCCCTCCACTCTGGGCAATGGCTCGGGTGACGGAGTTGTTGATGAGCGTGCCCTTAGTGAAGAAGAGGCTTTGTAGTTTGGGAATGGATGCGACGACCAGTGCTGCCAACATGGCCCAGAGTGGTGGGTTCATTTGTCGCCACACTCCAGCCCAGAAGCGCCCGTTGTAGTGCTGCAAGAAGGACAGCACTTTCTGCATCGGTGCCGGCAGGCGACGGAAGATGTTGCTGAAGAACGTGGAGATGGTGGAGATCACGCTGTAGTAAGCGTGCTGCACTTTGTCTCGAACGGTGGCAAACGGTGCGGTCCATCCTCGGGGGGCGCCACCGGAGCGATTGGAGGGGGTTTGAGAGAAGTTGGGGAATGTGGTAATGTGATTCATTGATCGCGCCCGCGGCTCCAGACGGCTGGTATGGGGCGAGGAGCGCGATGAGCGAGGGGAGATGTTTTCGATGTATCGCGTGTCGACCGGGGAGCTGGGGACGAGGACATCGTCCGCTTCCTCGGCGGTGGAAGATGTGGCAATGCTGATGGGTGTTGCGGAGCGCTCTGATTCTATCGCCGAGTCGGTAGGCTTCCCGTTTGTCTTCTTCTGCGCGTCGCCGGGCTTGATGACGGCGTCAGCGTCGTCGCGGTACCTGCCTTCCTCGGTGACGCGGTCGGCAATGGGCATGTCGTCTCTCTCATCGTCTTCGTAGGCATCGGCTGGCTTCAGCAGAACGCTGTAGCCCCAGGTCCATCTCAGCAATTGCCCGAGCTGCTGGAAGATCAAGAGGTAGAGGATGCCTCTCGCCGCCACCTCGTTGTCATTATCCCCCGGAATCTTGTCCCAATGCAAGCCAGCGATGGTGTTTGCCAAGCTGATGACGAGAGAGATGGGCAGGGAGTTGGAGTTGCCGAAGACGCCCATGGCAATGATAAAGTTCTTCTGTCTTCGCTTGTGCTTTTTGCCAAAGCCGAAGAGGTGGGACATGGCTTGCGCGCTCAGCCAGCTGACAATGGTCTGGGCGATGAAGATGACGGGAATCACGGCAAGATCGGCCAGCTTGTCGGCATTGAGCTGCGCGGCGAGCTTGGTGAAGATCAGGCAGGGGGTGAAGACCATGACGTTGAGCTCGGCGACGAACTTTTGGCTGTTGGCATCAAACATGCCCGTCCATGCCACGAGGAAGCCGGGAAGGGCGACGAAGACGACTTCCAGCACGGCTTCACTCACCAGGCCGGCCAGGTTGAAGAAATCGGGGTGGTTGTTGTGGTCTTGGGGGCCGGCGAAGGCGCGGCGGTGGAGGAGGGCATAGGTGGGATCTTCCACCACCGCACCCTGGCGGAGGCGGAAGGAGGTCGGGGCGGTGAAGAGCGGCATGGCGCCGGTGGAGGAGTGCGAGAGGGTGATCAATGGGGGTGTAGATGGTGTGGAGGACGGGAGGAGTGGTTGTCGGAGAGTCGGGGTTGGCGTTATCGCGCAACTGCTGGCCACGTCATACCAAGCCCGGATGGGCAAGTGTCGCAGGGCGGAGGGCGGAGGGCGGAGCGAGATGGGCGGGAGAAAGAGGGCAGGGTGATGATGCCCTTGCCCAGGCCACCAAGACGATGGAGGGAGGGGGAAGAGTAGGTAGGCGGAGTGATTGGCGGCAAATCAAGGACAAAAGCGGGAACACGAAAGGAATTGATGAGATAAGGCAAGGCCGGGGTGGAGGTGAAGAGTGGTTGGTTGAAGCGCCACGTGCATGGATTGGCTGGGCGGCTGGCGGCCTCGACCGCTTCAGGCAGAAGGCATAATCCATGTGTGGCTTGACGGCTGACTGATGATTGATGGCTGCTGCACGCCGGTGGCGGTGCGGCAGACGGAGTCGCGGAATCGCGCTTTCCCCCCGACGGCGGCGGCGGGGAGCGGCACGGCATGTCTGTGCCTGCCTGTTCCTCCACGACGTCTGCTTCCTCCACCTCCACCTCCACCTCCATCTCCTGCACATCCCCTCCGAGTGCACGCCGTGGATTGCGTCGTCCCGTCCCCACGTGTGCAACCTCCCGACCCACCTTCGGAATCGCATGCTTGCATACTTGCCCGTCGGATCGCGCATCTCCGAGCTTGCAATCTCATGCCTCCCACCGCGCCTCTCACGCCTCCCTCCGTCTCATCCCGGTAATCTTCATTGATCTTTGCCACCTCCGCTGCTCTTCCCACATCTCCACCTCCCCATCGACCACATCTCGAGCACAACCACACGCGGTGTCCACCCCCCGGCCAGCAGCATGTCTGCCCCCAGAGACGAGCTGGAGTCGCTCTCTCTCGACTCCCCACCCACCTCCCCCGACTCCGAAACCGCCTCGCCTTTGCTCGAGAGCCCTCCCATCCCCCCTGCGCCCGCCGCCGCAACACAGCGAAATGCGAACCCTGCCATCGCCCCCACCGTTTCCAACATGACTCCATCCTCGACCCCACTTGGCACACTCAATGCCGCCCGCGGCCGCCCGCCTCCACCGCCCATGGCGTCCAGAGGCAGCACGGCCCAGATGAACCCCGAGATCATGGCACGAGTCAAGGCTTTGACCAGCTCAAGACAAGGGCAGCCCGCGCAGCCGGGCGGGAGTAGAATCGCACAATCACCGGGGCCGCAAGTAGGCGGAGCGGGCAACGCTGGCTTTCCTGCAGGCTTCAGAATGCCCGCTCAACTATCAAGACCAAACTCTGCCTCTCCAGTCCTGGGTGCAGGCGCTCATCAGCCTCCGCCTGCTCGTGGCCCATCACTGGCGGAAAAACGAGGCATGAAATTGCCCGGCGGTCTGCCAGGCACTCCTCAAGCCACCCCTTCTCCTCCGCCCGCTGCTGCAGGCGGGAGACGACGACCACCCAACATGACCCTTTCTGACATGGGAGCGGGACAAGCGAACGGTGCGCAGGCGTCGCAATCGCAGCCGCAGCCACAAAAAGAGCAGAGTCAGATGGACAAATATGCCGAATACATTGACACCAAAACTGGCGCTCTCAAATTCAAGGGCAAGGCGGTTGTGCATGGCACGGGAATTGACTTCTCCTCCGGACGCAGCTTCAGCATTAGCCTTGATGAGGTGGACACGCTCGACGAGCTGGGCAAGGGAAACTATGGCACGGTCTACAAGGTACGACATGCTCGGCCGAAGTTTCGGCGGACTGGACAAGGGCCTTCGAGGAGCAAAGCGCGCGGACCGCAGCAGACTTCTGATGCAGACTTATCTCTCTCTCCTCCCGCGAACAATGTCGACAATACGCGAGATGGCACTACCGGCATCGTCATGGCCATGAAGGAAATCCGGCTGGAGTTGGAAGATTCCAAATTCGCCAGCATCATCATGGAACTCGACATTCTCCATCGCTGTCTCTCCCCCAACATTGTCGATTTTTACGGCGCCTTTTTCCAAGAAGGTGCCGTGTATATTTGCATGGAGTTCATGGACGGTGGTAGCATCGATCGCATCTACGGCGATGGCATTCCCGAGGGCGTGCTCCGAAAGATCACCTTGAGCACCACGCTGGGCCTGAAGAATCTCAAGGAGGAGCACAACATCATCCATCGTGATGTCAAGCCCACCAACATTCTCGTCAACACCAAAGGTCAAATCAAGATCTGCGACTTTGGCGTGAGTGGTAACCTGGTGGCGAGTATCGCGAAGACCAACATTGGCTGTCAGTCCTACATGGCGCCTGAGCGCATCTCAAGCGGCGGCATGGCGCAAGCCGGAGCCGCGGGCGGCACATACAGCGTGCAGAGCGATATCTGGAGTCTGGGATTGACAATCATCGAGTGTGCCATGGGTCGATACCCTTACCCGCCGGAGACTTATGACAACATCTTCAGCCAGCTGAGTGTAAGTACATGATTATCCAGTGCTTCTACCGCCCGACGTACTGACCCATCTGTAGGCCATTGTCGACGGCGAACCCCCCGATCTTCCCGCCGACAAATTCAGCCTGACAGCGCGCGACTTTGTTGCCGGCTGTCTCAACAAAATCCCCAAGATGCGCCCCACGTATCCCATGCTCTTGCAACACGCCTGGCTGGCACCCATTGCCAAACCGCAGACCATTATGGAAGAGGACGAGGAGGCTGCCGAGGCCGCGGCGGAGAACAACGCTGAGATTCCTGTCCCCAATCTTGGCGAGCAGGACGGCTTCATGGACCGAGAGGTGGGCGAATGGGTGATTGAGGCGTTGGATCGCAGGAAGAGGGGTGTGATGGGCAAGGCGGCGAAGCCTGCACTGCATGCTGCGCCCTTGGATGCGGTGGGGAGTCCGAAGGTGGAGAAGCCGAACCAAGGAGCAGTGGCTGTGGACGCATAAGGGTGCCCGCCGGCCACCCTCTAACTAGTAGAGAGTCACCTCTTGCAACTCCCGTCAGCATGCTGGCGCACTGAGCATCGGGAGATTGTCTGTGTATGAGTACGATGGCTCTATTCTCCTGAACAGGATGCCCGTCTGGGTACATCTCTACGCCTCGAGAGTTAGATCAACGCCGACGCGATAGCTTTCCACGATACATTCAGGCTAGCAAAGGCAGCCAAAAGCTGCGATACCAATATACATCGAGTCGTGGCTGTAATCATGCTGCACAAAGAGTCGCTGTTCTTACAAAACATTCCTCGCTTCCGAGTCAGATCCGCGACATCACTGATGAAGGTCTACCACCTTCTTGCGATCCAAACGTCGGTTCACAGCCCCGAGCACGACCTTCAAGATTCCATCGCCTGTGAGGGTCGTGCCTTCCTCGCCCGTAAAGGGCACGGTGTCCACAATATCTCGCAAGTCGTCGTTCCCTGAAATCTCGGCCAACTCATCGTCAAGGGCAGCAAGGTGCTTTCGCGCTTGTTCGTCCCGCCCAACCTGGAAGAATTGCACTCCGATTTGCCAGGCAGGCGCGTCGAGTTTGTCGAGCTTCTTCGCTGCCCAGATCAGCGGACTCTCGACGTCGTCCGAAGGCTCACCATCGGTGATGCAGATGATGTTGATGGGCTTTGTACCCGCTTTGTTGGCCGTGTATTGGCGAATGTAAGGCTTGATGATGGAGTCCAGTCTCTGTCCAGTGGGGGTGCCGCCTCCTGGTCGAACGGAGTTGAAGATTTGCTCCACACGCGCTACGTCCTTTACGCCATGGTGGAGGGCGGAGTCGGCGCGATTGAGGAAGTAGAGATCGATGCCGTCTTGGTCGTGCCCAGTACAGATGGGCGTGATGGCCTTGAGGGCCTCGGCCGTTTCTCGCCAGCGACTGCCAGCCATGGACCCGGAGTCGTCGATGAGGAAGATGGTGTCAAAGGTATGGAGGAAGGAATATGGGTCATCGGCGGTGTCTTGCGTTGTTGCAGTAGTGCTGCTGCTCGTGGCTGTATTGCTGGCTGCTGCATTGGGAGCAGGTGTGTAGGGCGGTGGCGCCTCGCTGGCGACTTTGGACTGATTCATGGCGCTGGGTGGTCGTCGAGTTGAAGGAGCCGGGGCTCCATACGAATAATCGATGGTTGAATTGGCGCTCGTGGGACTCGGCGCATCTTTGTGCCTCCGCGAAAGGGAATGCCGGAGGGATTGGAAAGTGTTGACCATGGTGTTGTTGCTGTCGTCGCGCAGGGAAGAGTTGTGCCGCAGGATAGGGTCGCGGCGTGTGGGAGTGTGGGATGTAAGTAAGGAAGGCATGACGGGGAAGGTGGGTCGAGCCAAGTGATCCAAGAGCCGCAGGAAGGCTGAATCGAGGTCGAAGTCTTGGATCACGTAGTGGCGGAGGAGCGTTCGGGATCATCTCTTTGTTTCCTCCTTCCGCCTGAGGCTGTCAAAAATCCTGCCACGGCGCACTCGCTCAACATCTGCCTGGGATCTTACCGTGCCATCTCACGTTCGTGACTGTCCTTCACACTCGCCACGTTACTACAGGTGGTACTTGATGAAGTTTGTTCGAACCTCAGGCAGCCAGGCGCAGCAAAGCCCCACTTCGCCCGGCCAGCCAAGGCTGCACCGCCCCAGGCGCAGCCTTGCCACCTGCCACTACCACACCCCGACTTCATGATCCCCCGCCCACATTCAACACCATCTCACGCTCATGACTCGATTGCACGTTTCCCATGGGGAAAGCTTAAATGCACTGCCCTCGTGTCACCGTCTCCGGGACCGTATCCGGGAGAAATGTCTCATGACCGTGTTTGCATCATTGAGATCGAGGTAGACTCCGCGAGACGCTTAAGCATCGATCTTGGATTGACAAGGTGCAAACGGAATACGATTCCAACACGAACCTCGTACTGGATCCTCATGAGTAGTGCGACGGGATACAACATCACTTGGTGCTCAGCTTTCCATCTCGCTCGCGAGCCGCCTGGATCTCCTCTGCATTCATTTGTCTCAGCGTACCCGTGACAGCGACTCCACCGGTCAAGACTGCACCAGCAATCTCCTTTGCGAACCCGAGCTTGGAGACTTCGTGCTTCCAGTAGGAGATGTCTACGACAAGCGTTAGATGGATGTTCATACGTTCAACAAGAAAAGACGTCCATACACTTCGGCTGAATCTCAATCAGCTTCATACGCGGATCATCGGGGCCGCCGTCGTGCGTGCCATCTCCGAGATCACCAAACCATGCGGAGATGTATTTGTTGTAAATCTCCTTGATCCGGGGATCGGTGTTGCTGCTTGTAACCGCTTCTCCCGTCACACTGATCCAATCTTGATTCGACGAGTCCTGGAAGTAGAGATTGGCAATCTTGTTCTTCTCAATGTCGTCGAACTTTTTCGAATTCGCATTCGCGAGGAGGAGGAAGTCGGGGCCGGAGCGGTTGACGGCCATGGATCTCCCGACAGGCTACGCGGAGTGGTCAGACAATGCAGACATCAGGCTGCATGGTTTGTGCAACTCACGCCAGTCCCCTCTCTCAGCGTGCCTAGCATCGCAATCTTCAATTTATCTGCGATGGCGTAGAAGTCCTCAAACTTCGGTCCTGCCAACGTCTCATTGTCGAATTGCTTCGCAACGGTGGGGTCCTGACCCTTGTCGACCTCGCTTTGTTTGAGTTGCTCAGGCATTGCGGGGGAAGCTGTGTGGGTGAATGTTCGGAAGGAGGTCGTTGTTCGGGGGAAGATGACACTGGAGATGGGGTTAGAGGAGCAACAACGTGGTGTGATGAGCGATGATCGGAACATGAGCAGTGTTGTGGTGGATGTGGAATATGTTATGAATGGAATGGGTATTGGAACAGAATGCCTGCATCAAGCTTGCAGCGTCATAAGGTTCTGCACCTTACGGAGACGCGCATCATCAACGCGGAATGCATGACGGCTCGATTGCAGGAAATAAGCTGGCGAGCTACATGGATCAGTAGAGTAACATCGATGGTGGCATGCGTGTCGCTGCTTGCGAAGGATCGTCCCATCTGTTTTTGGCATGCATAGGAACACGCCCACTCTCGGCATGAGGACGCGCCGGACATCCGAGAGCTCGCCACAGCTGCATTTTACGAGGCGTCTAATCGCCGTCTAAGCAAGCATGCCCTCCAGGCTCTCCCCGCTAATCTCTTCAATCTGCCGGATCCAGGCCAATGCCTCGCGTTCGACACGCTCATCGTCATCCTCCTGCAACTCCGAAATCACTGGCAGCATCTCAGGGAGCATTGCCAGCCAGTCAAAGGTAATCTCTGCCGTGATACCCCGCTGGCATTGAATGGCTGACAGGCGAACGTTGGCTCGTTCGTGTCGAAGAAGCGAGAGGAGCTTGCCGCTGATGAACTTCAGGCGGTCTTGCGAAGCCGCAGCTGCCTTTGCGAGGTCCGCAATCGCCACGTTCACCTGTGCCTTGTCGCCCTGGCCTCTCTCAAGCAAGTTGACGAGTGGTTCCGCAATGGGGTCGAAATGCGCGGAAGCGGTCCAGAACTCATCTTCGTCATTGCGGAAGCTGCTGCGGAGTGTCTCCAGGATGGTAAGCGTCAGTCCCTCGTCTGTTGTTGATCGGCCGAGGAGATCGTGGGCACTTTCGAGCAGATAGCCGGTGTACATGGTGACGAGAGAGCCAAGCCTGTTGAACAGGATCAGGGCAAAGCTGTAGAGGGTGGTCAATCGTTGCGTCTGAACAGCAACGTTGGCATGTCCAGAAGTGGCCCACTCCGTAAGCTGAATAAAGAACGGCCGGAAGGTGGCATCGTTCATCTTGAGAGTCACGTTCAGGGCGGCATTGTTCAATGCGTCGGTGTCCGAGGGGCGGATAGCGTTGGCAGCGAGATCCAACCCGCGCAACAGCACCCGGAAGACTATCGATGCGTTCTTTGTAATGCTGGCCTTTGTGCTATTCTGCACCGACTGGTCCAGCACTCGAGTCAGCCTGCCGACAATACTTGCAGCGTTGCCGGAAGTGCTTGCACCGGGCGGTAGACCTTCTTCATTCCACAACCGCTCAATTGAGGCAAAGAGCTCCGGCACGGGCGTTTTCTTCGCAGCCAAGGATAGGAAGTCATTGATAGCGTCGTCTGCGTCCATTCGTGATGCAACCTGGAAGGCCCGATCGAGCTCCTTTGACGAAGACGTCAAGATCCACGGGATGTGATCGAGCAAAGAACTCAACAGCCGGAAGGCGGCGCTGTCAACTTCCGACGGGGTGCCATGTTCCGCGTTCCGAACAAGGAGATCCAGCGTCGCCGTCAGAATGCGTGGAAGAACCGACAGCGCTTCGTCAACGTTGCTGAGCGCTCCCGCCATACTCGCCAGACACAACAAACTCAACGCCTTCAACTTTTCGTCATCATCACCCAATGCAGCGTCGCCGACAATGGTCTCTGCGGCATCTCTGACCATTCTGAGGTCGGTCTTGCCGAACTTCTCACAAATCACATCCATACAGGCAATCGCCGCCGCTCTCACCGCGACATTGCGATCTTTGCGAATGAAAGCGGCACAACCGGGAAGAAGATCCATAAAAATCTGACTCTCGTGGCTTCCCTGCTTCGAGTCCAGCACACGGCTCTCCAAGCAGAGGAAGACCTTCTCCCGAGAGACATCGGATCCCGTCTGCATGACTTCGGCGCTAGATGCGATAAAATCGGCATTGGGAAGCAGGCGTAGCACTGCGGAAACGACTTGCTCGCCTTGGTCGGTAAATGTGTCGACTTGTTGCGAAATGTCGATTGCAAGCTCAAGCAGTGAGACGTAGTGGGAGCGAATCTGCTGCGCTTCTTCCTGAGTAGCCTTGGACAGAGATGTCGCTACGGTGTTCTGCACTGGCCCCCTTCGGAGCAAAGACGCCAGGGCACTCAGCAAACTCTCGACGACAGTAGCCTTTTCGTTGGCATCCTTTTCGGACATGCTCAGGAGGATGTCGCATGTCCTTGCTGCGGTGCGCTTCTTGGGTTCCGGTGCTTTAGTCGAATCGGACAACAGATTGAGCCACTGGCGCGCGGCTGTCATGATCTCGATGCCCTGATATTGGCAGATCAAGTCCTCGATGAAGGAGTAGACGAAAGGCTCGCCCTGTTCGTACCGCTCCACAAGCATTGCAGACACCGCGCCGAGGCAATCTAGTGGTTCGACAGCGTTGACCACCGTGGCGAAGAGATCAAGCCTACGATGCCGAGGAACATGCTCCCAAGCTGCGACAAAGGAGAGGAGCATCTCCGACACACCAGAAAGGATATTTTTGCCCTTCTCCTTGAGCGAAGTGGCGAGAGCCGGGACGATTTTGGCAATCGTCTGCTCGATGACATGAGCAGAGTAGGAATCGCTTTTCTGCAAGATTGTGGTCGACATGAATGTGAAGAGTGGCATGACGGAATGCAAGACGCTCTCCGGAGCCCAACCCGCGAGAGCACTGATAAGGAGGAGGGCTGTGTTGTGGACTTGTGTTGACGAGGACGACCGGAGACATTCAATGATCAGATCGGTCCGAATGTAGCTCGCATCGAGAGAAGTGTTTGCCTTGCTCCAATCATCCTGGTGTGAGACGATGGCGAGAAGAGCGTCGAGGATCATTGCGTGCAGGTACACCAGCTCAGACGATGACGCGAGTTTGAGACCGCGCAGCTCGGAAAGGAGGTAAAATAGCGGTTGCAAAAGCTCTGGTGCTTGGGGCTTGGACTCCTCCAGTAGCTCAAGAATTAACGTAATCTTGCGGATGGTGTTTTGCACCCATTCGGGATCAATCGATCGAGCTTGCACTGATTCGGAAGTCCTTCGCTGTCGTTTGGCTGCCGGAGGATGAGCTTGAACGTCGCTAATGTTTGGAAGTTCTTGAAGAATCCCTTCGAAAACCGTGGATGGGATTTCAAGTGCATGCAACGTTTGTAATGCCATGTCGCTGACATTCGCGCTGCTCGGAGCTTCGCCCAAAGCAAGAGTCACCAGCCAGTCTACCACTTCCCTTTGTTTCTCTGCTGACTTGACGGTGGCCCATGCGCGTTGTTGCTGTGTGAATGCGGCTTCGGCAATTCCTCGTCTCTGAGATTGCATGCAGAGGTCTCGTACCACCTTCATATCTTGTCCGGAGCAATGCCAAAGATTCTCCAGCAGAGCAGCATCCAACTCCCAAAGTCGCACTCCATCTCGCTCGCACGCACCCGAAAGGTCTGCTTCCGACTGAGAGAGCCAGTCTTTGAGGAATGGAACGAGATGGTGGAGTCGGGCCGAAGCCGCGTCTTTGTCGACCTTGGCGAGAATGCGCAGCAGACAGAGTTTCGTATGCAGTGATGCAGTCCTCGCAGCGTGATAGGCAAGAAATTCACAAATTACTGGCCGTTGGGCCTTGCTCAAGCCCTTCACCTTGTGGCCGTTGAAGAGTTTGGCAGTGAAGGTGATTAAGTACGTTTCATCCAGCATACAATCTTCAACTGCTTGCCCGATGCTTTGGAGCAGTGAATTGCAATTGGCATTGGACAGCCTCACGTGGTCGTCGGTTCGTTTCGCATCGTATAATTGCCCGGCCGGAGTGGACTCATCATTCCCCTGCACGAGCTTTGATTCCCGAGTCAATGACTCAAAGAGCATGGCTGCAGCTAGACGGACCCGTTTACTAGGATCGCAAAACGCTGCTATGAGGTAGGGGAAGAAATCTCTGAGGTCTAGCCCAGGGACGGAAATATCTGAAGTGTGGGCAGAGTTGTCCTTGATACGGCCATCGATTTGGGACTTGATTATTTGCAGCGCTCGGACTCTGGCCTTTGGATTGACGCTTGACGATTGTGTCGTCCACAGGCGTGCCAAAAAGCTGAACAAAGTTGGCGTCGTAGTCGATCCTGGGTGACGGAGCTGGCTTCGGTCCAAGAACTGCTCTGTTGCACTCTGTGAGGGCATGCTGGCTTCAAAAGCGCGGCTGTACAGTTGGAACAGGCTCGCTGGAGCTCCATTCCATTTCAGGAAGGAAAAGTGACTGGATGGAAGCGGTGGTAGCTCGTCGACAATCTTGCTCAAGTCCACCGTGTGCGAGGCCTGCTCTTCGATTTCCATTCTTTCGTCCAGCTCAACGCTTTCCGTTTGTGTTGTGGGGCCAGTAGGGCTTGCTTCCAGGAGGTCGACCAAACCAGCTCCCTGCAGTTCGGTTCCTTGATTCCGCGCGGCTTCAATGATCAATCGCCGACTATCATCAGCCTCGCCGAGTCTTCGAAGAATATCGACCAGCAAGTTGGACGTAGACTGGTCTTTGCAATCTTGAACTGCACCGAAGATTGCCTCCAGAACTCGAAGTGTCTGCTCACTCGACAGAAAGCGTTCGTCCAGGGTCCGCAGTACAACTTCCAGATGTGCAGGCTCTTCAATCTTGGAAGCAGATCGAAGTATACCCACCGATATCCCAGCAGCCAACTTGTCCACTCTTTGAGAGCTGGCTAGCTGTAAGAGATGGGGAAATGCAGCGGCGTGCAAGATGGAGCGCGTGATGGATTTGGGTAGCTGCGCATCCTCTTTCTCCTCCGCCAAAGTCGCCAAGCAGGACAAGCCCTCGAGAGTCGTTCGCGTGGTCCAAGAGCGAGCAACAGCCTGCATCAGCGCATCGATGGTGACATCCGAGAGGGAGGCCTTGCTGGCCAGAACGGTAATGATCATGCAGGCGGCCACGAATATTTCGTCCATGTCCGGCTTTTTGCTAATCTGCAGCGCATCTTGTATGACTGACAGAACTTTCAGCAGAATCTGCTCTTCTCGCTGGGCGCGGAGGTCTTGTCTGCCTGTCCGTGACGCATCGAGCATTGCATTGATGCTTTGCGCCACAAGGCTGGCCCAGTAGGCGAGGAGAGAGCTTGAAGCATGCCCGGCTCTTGCCAGACGAAGAACGTATGCGTTGAAAGCAACGAAGAAAGCGGAATTTGAGGTTGCAGCAGCGAGGACGGCATGTCTCGGTGGGCAGGCGAGGGAAGACAGGTATGGATGCAACCATTTCAAGCTGTCTGGAAGTGTGCGGTCGGTTGGCAGAATTGCAAGCAGGGCCGGCAGGAGGTGTTGATCGGCATGGTAGGGTAGGAAGGTCAAGACCAAGGCCTCGGTGTTGTGCTCGTGTACTCTCCATCTGCGCACCAGCCATTCCAACGTCTTTTGGGCCGGGGCAAGTAGCAGACGGGCTTGCAACAGCCCTAAGCATTGCTCCAGAACCCTATTCAGCTCTTCATTTTCGTGTTGGGTGAGCTCGCCGCGATCCACGCCCTTGCTGCCATCGCTAAAGAGGTTGTTGCGGAAGGTGGAAAAACGGAGATCGAGCTGGCACAGTTCTTCGAAGCCCTCGGTGCAGAGGAGGAAGATGTCGTCAAAGGATTGTCGCGCAGCATCGGCGGGTTCGAAGAGGAGGGATTTGGCGTGTTGCGCCTTCTGGGCTTTGAGATCGAGTTGATGTGTAGATTTTGCAGCAATTTGCGCGAGTTGCTGCTGCAAGACCGTCGTCATGGCTGTGAGGAGCTTAGACGAGGGAGTGGATGGAGGGGGTTGTGCGCGCAGCTCGCCGCATGTCAAAGCGGCATGTTTGGTTTGGAGGAGATGGATTTTTTGGAAATTTGCGATGCAGTCGAAGTCGCCGCAGGGATATTCCTTATCGATAAGCTTCACGAGTCATGCAGACGGACGTCAGTGGAGGGAGTGCAGCTTCACACTTCCTTCACTCACTTGTATCCATCACAGAAGACTGGAAAGATGTCTCATCGCACGCATTCCACAATACCATGCGCGCGTAGAGTACGAACGCAGAATGCCTGCTTCCGACAACCCCGCGGTGCCCAAGTTTGGCAGCTTCAAAGGCAGGGAACGAAAGCGAGTGAGAGATGAGTCGGGCGATACCGACAAACACTCGCGACCTCGGCCATCACACAAGGACCAAGATACAGCGAGGGTTCGACACACACGCACAGACAAGCATGGTGGCAAGTCTGCCGAAGTAGGCTCGCGAAAGCCATCCCGAAGTCAATCTCCGGGACGGCCTACCGACTCTGCGCTCTTCGTGGTGGATGTTCGAGGCGATTCCAAGATCATCCAATTTGGGGGACTGCATCGCTACGACATCCCATCATATCACCGTGTCGGAGCCGGTTCCGTCATTGGAGCGTCACCGAGCGTGAAAATCGATCGAGATGGTCTCACTGAAAAGGATGTTGCGTTCCGTCGGACCAATGCACACCACCGAACAAACCTGACGACACTTGAGAGGAGGGATGAATCACACCGTCCTGGCTTTGAAGATGCGCGTTCAGCCTCAGCATCCTACGTCGGTGATGGGGAGTCGCAACAAGACTATCTCAGCTTCAGACGGAGGCGGAGCTCCAGCGCGCGGCCCGAGGGGCAAGGTATTTGGGCTCTGATTGAAGAGCCAACACTATTGGAGGAGGGTGATTCTTCTCATTGAGCTCCGGTCGTTCAACCTGGAACGAACAGATGTGTTGCATATCGTCCGCTGCTTGTACTCGCTCGTCGAGACTAATCCTGCCGAGGCGAAAATGCGTCCAAGGGGGTTCATTGTTGTTTCAATCTATATCTCGCAAGTCACACTTCTCATCGATACGCCGGTGCATGTAGAGTAGATCGCTTCATCTCGCTGCATCTCGTCTTGCTCGTTTCGACCGGCAATGGCTTACCTAAGCCCAATCATCTCAACTTGAACCTTGCGCGGCTCCGAGGAACAACTTGAACTTTGGAAGGCCTCAAGTTTCACGCGGACCAGGGCCGGCCAATGGCCTCCAGCGAGCACCCGTCGGTCGCTGCCGTCTTCGAGGTCGTCTTTGACAAACGGGTTGGGTGAGTGCACCTGGCCAATCGACCTGATCGCCGCTAACACCGCCCAAGCCACACGGTCTCGTGGAAGCGCAACCTGCCCGATGTCTCCCTCGATGGAGTGGAGTACAAGTGCTTGCCGTCGGGCTTGCATGGAGTCCGCGAAGATCTCGTGTACTTTGTGCATGGAGCGTACGCTGGAGTAAGCGCGTTTGTGCTGGGTGATGCGGACGAACAACAGAGGAACGCCAACTTTGTCGCTGTGGGTGCTTTGGTGCCGTTGAGCTTTGGGAGGTTGGGCAAGAGCTGGATACATGCAGCAGCCCTGAGGGAGCTGGCACGGGAACGTGTCAGAGATGCACAGAGGTCGCAAGGACTAGAGCAGTTTTGGAAGGAGAACAAGGGAGAGAATTCCGGCGATGGCACTCCGGTCTCCCCTTCAGCGGTGCGAAGAGCATCACTTCCTGTCACCGCCATCGACGCAAATCGGAAGAGAAAGCGAGCGACGTCGGATGCTAGTGGCAATATGTTCCCTGCCATGCAAGCTTTCCCCCCCGACCATCCTGCGGTTTCGATGTTCGCCCTCCTCGACATGTTTGGCCCCCTCATCTTTCCCCTGCATCGCGCCACCCTCCTTCGAAAGCGAATCTTACTCTTGACCACACCTCCGGTGCAAGAGAGTTGCAACTTTGTCTACCTCCTCTCCATCCTTTCCAGCATCCCTCGTTTCCTTGCAGACAGTCTTCCACCAGAAAGCGAGTTGGCCCTACGGATACAGACTCTCTTCAGCGTCGGAGTCCACGACATTCCTTTTCTGGGAGATGAAAAGAGGAGGGAGCGATGGCTCGCGTGTACGACGGACGATATACTTGAGGAGAAGAGGGACTTGTATGATGTCTTTGTCAGATTGCCATCGCATACCGGCCCAAGCTATGAATGGCCTCGGATACGGACTGCCGACGGTAAAGATATCAGAGCAACCCAGCGGGACTTGCGAAGGTATCGACTGCTCCGCGCTGAGCTGGATCGCACTGTCCCTGCCTACCAGGATGATCCCGAGGAAGCCAGCAGCGACAGCGGTGGAGCATCGAGTCCACTCATGCGTGCATCTACGAATGCTCTCGTTGAAGAAGCTAAGCATACTCGGCCAGGTGACAGCACCATATGTGAGCCGGTCTCATGGACTGCCATGGCCTACAATGGGTTCATGTGGTGGGCATCGGCGGGGGAAATGGAGGCTTGGGAGAACGAGGAAGCACGGGCGGATCGGCAACTGCTGGAAGAACTTCCCGAGATGGAGGATTTGGCACAACACATGGCTACCAGCTCGTCGGGTGATGTGCAGGGGGGAGAGCCGCAGGTTCGGCTGAAGATGGTGGCAGCAACGGTCTTGACGGCGTACTTCCACCACATGACCGCGGACATTTTGCAGCCGTTGATAGATGCGGTGGAGGAGGCGGATGATGCGACGGAAGAAGGGGTGGCAGATGCCGCGATTCACATCTCGAACGAGGATATGCGTGCGATGGGGTTGGACTCGTGGAGTGCTGCAGACCGGGAGTTCGTGGCGGAAGCATTGCGGCTGTATTTTGCCCGGGAATCAAAGATTGAGGAGGGCGGGCTGAACATTTGCGGTGTCAGAGTGTGCTAGATCTGAGAGTTGTCCACGACGGGATGATCTGGTTGAAGGGTGCTGAAATTCAATTGAGGCTGCGGGGAGTAAGCGTGCATCTTTCGTGTTGCGGGGTAGCGCGTGAAATTTGTGGAGCGCGCTCTCGCGCTTGGTGACAGCCATCCATCACCAAATGTTCTGTCCTAGCGAGAACTGGACGAACGATGCCTCCAAAGAAAGAGGTCAAAGAGGCTGTGGTTTATCCGGCATCGAAGAGAAAAGCCCCACCCTTCAAACCTCAGCGACCCTCGAAGATCCCTCGAAACCCCTCGACGGACGCGGAAAAGCAACAGGCACGAAGCAAGCCAACAGCACCCAGACGGAAGAAGAAAGTGGTGCCTCAAGTGGACGAAGAAGAGAGCAGCGATGGCGGGGAAGTGCACAAAGCCAAGGCCGTTGATCTCAAAAGCGACAGCGACTCGGACGAGGAGCTCGATGAGAACCCTCTCGCACCCCAACGCCGACCTACCAAGCCACAGGCACAGATGACGTCCAAACGGAAAGACTCCTCCCGCGAATCGCCCGTATCTATTCCACACGATCTATCGACGTCGACGATTCCCGACGCACCGCCTGCGCTCAGCCAATCGGACGACATCATCGCTATCCCCCAACCCCTCCTCGTCCGACTCTTACACGAGCGCTTCACCGACAAGAAGACCAAGATCGACAAGCACGCTGTGCAAGTCCTGCAGAAATACCTCGAGGTCTTCGTGCGGGAAGCGATTGCTAGAGCGCAGCTACAGAAGAAGGAGGATGCCGAGAAGGTGGATGCAAGGGGCGAGGTGGATGTGAATTGGCTGGAGCTGGAAGACCTTGACAAGGTTGCTGCTGGCATGTTGCTGGATTTCTAGACCATGCAGTGGCTCGGTGGTGGCCTGCGAATACAGAGGCTACGCTCTATGAGACATTGATGATATGCCATGAAATCGGAGAAACAATGCTGTTGCGCGCTCGTCGTTCATTGAGTCCTCGTCTGATGATCGCCTTTCGCACTCTCCCCGCCCGGCCATGGCTTTCTATTCATCTCGTGTACCCAGCTTGTAACAGCTTCTGCTTCGCCAACCACATCGTAGATCATCACTGCGGTCACCGGGCGGAAAGCGTATTGTGCTTGGAAGGGTTCATTCCATTCATACTATAATGCCATCTATATCGTAAGACGGTTGCGGACACTCCTTGCAAACGTGATATGGAGCTCAGGCCTCAATTTCCCGCAGTGGACCTGTAGTAGTGGTGACTCCCCCCTTCTTCTCATCAACGACAACTCCACTCGACTCCACGCCTTCAGAGCTGGAGCTGTCGGAGATGGAGGCCATGTGCTTGGTCTTTGGCTTCCTCAGCGGCCAGTGACCATGCTTCTCGAAGTAGCGCATACTCCAAAAGGCAATCATGACGCCAATCCAGTACACGTTGTACGATATCACCGACCCGTACGTCGCCGAATTCTCCCAGCCGAAGATGGAGTTGAGAATACCCCAGATGCCTCCGCCGTTGACCTCGGCGTTGCAGCAATTGACATGCCATACGCTCTGTTTGATGTTGTATGACCCTGGCCCAGATCCCAAAGCAGCGGCGTCACTGCCGGTAACCTTGTTCCAGGCATGAATCTCGAACGCCCATACGGCTTTGGAGAAGAGGCCTGTAGTGGTCAGTATTGGAGTGATGACCCTTGGCGGCGTGGATGACATACCGGCTGCGACGAGGTACAGGAAGCATGTTGAGATAATCAAAAAGATCTGCAGCTTGCTTGATGTGCCGCCGCTAGGAGTGCGTCAGCATGGACGTAGTACCGAGTGTGGTATGAAGAGACTCACCGGTAGATCAAGTAGCCAACGGCACAGCCCGCACCAAGTCCGCACACCACGGCGAGGGGGAACGAGGAAGCTGGTAGCGACAAGCCAACACCTCCGATGAACACAACAGCTTCCAGGCCTTCTCGAAGGACGGTGATGAAGGGAAGCAAGAACATGGCGTATTTCTCACACCACAATTTGAAGCGACTGCCGGCGGAAGCTTTTTGCTTCACCTTCTGCTTCTCCAACGCTTTGGCAAGCTTCACCCTCCATTTGTCTTGGAGCTTTGAGACGCGCAGGAGAGCCGCACCCACGACCGAGATGATGACGGTGGCGATAAGACTGAACGTGCCCTCCCAGATGTCCTCGGTAATGGAGAAGGTGTCCTTGTGGAGGGTGTAGAAGCCACCGATCATGCCGCCCCCAATGGCGAGGCAGAGGATGAGGCCGCAGCCGATGCCAGCCCATACTTGTTTGCGAAGTTTGCGATACGTTTCACGGTCTTTCTCGGCGCCAATGGAGTTTTTCAGCAAGGCGAAGAGAATCGACACGATGATCACGCATTCGAGGCATTCTCGAAAGCAGATGAAGAAGACTGTTGCAGGTGTTAGCAGTTGACGGGGGGGTCAGAGGGTGGTCTTCACTGACTTGGGACGGCGAACACGTTCTGTGTCATTGTGAGAACTCGTGATTCACCCTGGAGAAGACGTGTCGGGGTCGATGTGGTCGAGCGAGTGAAGCAGATGGAGGATGTGAAGATCAGATAAAAAGATCTTATCTGATGGGATCTCCCGAGGAGATTGGCCTGCCGGGGGAAGGAGATTCGCACGGCAAGTACCACGGCCGATGACGGACTGGAGGAAAGTGGAGATGAGATGCGGGTGAATTCGCTAGTACGGCCCACTCGCACCTCTTCGGGCGGGGGCCAAGGTCAACTGACTTTGCTGTCCGGCGGGAAAAAGGAAGCCACGTCTCTTGATGACAAGCCGAGGGGCGGTGTGGATAGGCAGCTGGTGTAGGAGACGCTACGTACACTCTAAGATCTCTCGGGCCAGCACGCCATCTCGCGATTCCATCAAATGCCGTGCTTCGCTTGGGCACAGATTCGAGCGGGGATGAGGGGACGTTGCCAATGCGTCAAAGCTTTATCAGATCCGCTCTTGCCAGAACTCTAAAAAACTTCGAGGGACCGCATTTGGCCAATCAACACGGAGTATTCCGCTGCGGCATTTTGATCAGATATGATCTGATTGATAACAATATCAAACTGATTACCCTCACGCGGGCGTCTACACTTGCGGCGAAGGTGCTCTGAGCGTTTGCAACACGCAGTATTCAAGCCATATACTCCGTACGGGGGGACAATCTTCTCCCACGCGAGCACTTTCCCTTGGCACCGCCGGATGACAGGATCCCGAGTGAGCTCCATCAAGCGCTGAAGGAGACATCTCTCAGACCACTTCGCCCGCCGGCTCCCCTCAACTACATCATCTCATCGCACCATTGCCAACCCCATTCCGGCCACCTCCGTGTTTTCGGTCAAGCTTCCTTGATCGGGAGGTGATCACACCTTGGCTTCAACCTTTTCTGGCCTGGTCCCTGCTTGTTACCGAGCTTGTCGGCATCTTCGCCTCTTGCAACGTGGAGCTTATCAGATTCTTCTCTGATCTCCGATATTCGGCGACCTGCTCCTCACCCTCATCCCCCTCGGCCAGTTCCCCCTTCGCAAGATCTTATCAGATCTTATCAATCTCGCGACGTCTGCACCGCTTCGTCTACCGCGCTCTCATCAGGCCTTCTTCGTCACAACGGCTCCATTATAGCCATGGCCATTTCACTGTCCAACTTCCTCTACGACTTACTCCTGCTGCTGCTCCCCTTCGGACTCATAGCGGGGAGCAATGCGCAAAGCCAGACATACACTTACGATTGGAACGTGAGCTGGGTGAACCGAAACCCGGATGCTCTGGCTGAACGCCCGGTGATTGCCCTCAATGGAGAGTGGCCGTGGCCTCTGCTCAACATCACCAAAGGAAGCCGTGTTGTCGTGAACTTGCACAATCAGGTATGTGAAGGCGATGCTGCTTGCAGGGGCGTGCTCTGATGTCAGTCGCAGCTCGGCAATCAAAGCACCAGCATTCACTTTCACGGGCTGTTCCAGAATGGCACAAATGATATGGATGGCCCAGTTGGCGTGGTGCAATGCGATGTTCCGCCAGGTCGTTCAATGACGTACAACTTTACGGTCAGTTTGTTCCATACGCGTGTCAACGCACCAACTCACACCCTCTAGATTGACCAACCTGGCACGTTCTGGTACCACTCCCACTCCAAAGGGCAATACCCAGACGGTGCTCGAGGCCAGTTCATCGTCCACGATCCGGACAGCCCGTATCTTGGGCAATACGCCGAAGAGGTGGCCTTTACGTTGACGGACTGGTACCACGATGAAGTGCAGACCTTGTTGCCTCAATTCGTCAGCTACAAGAATCCCACCGGTGCCGAGCCGATTCCCAACTCGGCGCTCATGAACGACACGCAAAACATCACCGTGTCCGTCCAACCGGGCAGGACATATTTCTTCCGCGTTTCAAGCGTCGCCGCGTTCGTTGGGCAATACTTTTGGATTGAAGAACATGAGATGACCATCATCCAAATCGATGGGGTGTGGACGAAGCCGGCCAAGGCGAATATGATATACCTGGCATCGGCTCAGCGTTGTGGCTTTTTGGTCACGATGAAGGATGATACATCTCGCAACTACGCCTTTGTGGGCAGTATGGACGAGGTAGGTGTTGTTCTTCCGTCGTGTTGCTCCCAGATGCTAATGATTGCAGACGTATCTTGACAAAATTCCTCCAGCGCTCAACCCGAATGTGACGGGTTGGTTGGTGTACAATGATTCCGCTCCCAAACTTCCCGCAACCAACCTTACCGCCTGGGATGTCTTTGACGACATGACGCTGGTGCCGTACAACGACCAGCCTCTTCTGGAGAATGTCGGCACGGTTGTCACCCTCGACCTTCAGATGGAGACGCTGGGTAACGGGGCCAATTAGTATGTGAACCCTCCCACACATGCCACAACTTCCACTGACTCTTGCAGTGCCTTTTTCAACAACGTCTCATACGTCACCCCCGTGGTGCCAACGTTGTACACCGTCCTCAGTAGTGGCGCCGCAGCCACCAGCCAGGAGATCTACGGAGCATACACCAACACTTTTGTCTTCAACAAGGGCGATGTGGTGGAGATTGTGCTGAACAGCGCAGATTCGGGGAAGCACCCCTTCCACTTGCATGGGCACGAATTCCAGGCAGTTCATCGTTCCCCGCCGCACGAGGGCAAATTTGATGCGAACCAGACGCACAACTTTCCAGTAAGCCCGATGCGTCGGGATGTGCTGATGACCCAGCCCGATGGGAATTTTGTCATTCGATGGGTGGCCGATAATCCTGGTGAGTGGCGCTCTTGGGGTACATGAGAATGGATGCGCTGACACAAGAACAGGTGTGTGGTTCTTCCATTGCCACATTGACTGGCATCTGGTCACCGGACTGGCGGCGGTGATGATTGAAGCGCCACTGGACCTTCAGCGAAACCTGAAGGTGCCGCAACAACACTACGACAATTGCAAGGCATTGGGCGTGCCTTTTGAGGGCAACGCCGCCGGCAACACGGTCGACCTTTACGACTTGACCGGGCAGAACAAAGACGTGCCCCGCCTGCCCAGTGGGTTCACAGCCAAGGGATATGTGGCGATTGTGTTTAGCGGCCTTTGTGCCGTGCTCGGAATGGCGGTCATTTCCTGGTGAGTGAAGATGATGGATCTGATGACGGAAGTGAAGTTGGCTAATCAATTGATAGGTATGGAGCGGCGCCACTGAGTTCGGCAGAGCTTGCATCGGCTAGGAGTTTCATCGCTGAAGCGGAAGGGCAGAGCAATTGAGGAATTGTGTCGGGAGAAGATTCGGGCCCGTATTTGCAGGCAGCGTTGCACGAGAGTTTGATAGTAGGCAGTATCACGCAATCTGTCATACCGAGAGGGGGGGTGTACCGCATTTCTTCGAGTCTTCGGATGGGTCAAGGTGGTGATGAGCGGCGGGACATGTTCTAGGGTTCTTATCTAGCGCAACCTTAACCACAGCATTGGAGCGGCTACTGCGGAGCCCCTTCCCGGCACATCCAATGAACTGCAGGCGCGGTGGAATTCCGTGAACAACCACTTCCCTTTGCAGAGCTCCTTCCGTTTGGCAATTGACGATCATGTGACGCAAGTAGGCCGGTGAATGGAAGGAATCCCTCATCGGGACGGTGTGTGATTAACCACTTCCTCGATTATTGGCAGCAAAACGGACCCCACGGTTACTGCCGGAAGCGGGCGCTTCCACGGCACGCGGCGCCGGCGCCCTCCTTTTAGCGGCCGAAGCATCTGCAGGTGAAGCTGTGCAATTCAACCCACCCGCGAAAGCTTGAGGCAAAGATTCTCGACAAGCTGTGCGTGTGCCGCACTCGTGCAGACACCACGCCCAATCTAATCGCGAGCAGGAGCACAGTTGCCTCCACACTGCCCCCGCAGACGGGAGTGCAAGCCAAGTCCAACCGTGGTTGTGTGCAAACTGGGGTGAACACTGGCGAGCGCTGGACGGCATTTATTAATTGCGCTCCAACAACCTCGCCTGCCCACCCTGACTTCACCCCCTCTCTCTTCCCTCGATTGGCGTGGATCAATGTGTCGCTCGCCGTGAAGACGTGCCCCCGCGACGCGCACCCTCGGAGCCGCTTCTTCGACATGCCTGCCCATCACACCCTCATCGAGACGTATGGCCAGCGGTCAGAACGGCCAGGCCTCACGCCATTGGCCACCTACCTGCTGCAATTGATGCACTTCAAGAGGACCAACCTCTGTCTCTCCGCCGACGTTTCCACGACTGCGGAGCTCCTGCAACTCGCCGAAGAGGTCGGCGATCAAATATGCATCCTCAAAACCCACGCAGACATCATCAAGGACTTTACAGATCGCACAGCTTCTCGTCTGGCCGAAATCGCACGGCGGAGGCAATTTGTCATCTTTGAGGACCGCAAATTGGGAGACATTGGGAGTATGTTGCGACTCTGTGTGAGGATTTTGGAACAGACTGTTGACGCGCGACTGCAGATACCGTTCAACAGCAGTATATTGGCGGAACTCTATCCATCGTGCGCTGGGCTCATATCGTCAATGCACACCTCTTCCCCGGACCCAGCATTATCGATGCTCTGGCAGAGGGTGCAAAAAAGGCCATTGCTGCCTACAATACTTCTGTGCAGACCAACATCTCCGCTTCGCCCGCACTATCACTGGATGGAGCTGCGGACGACCGATCGGTCAGCAGCCGAGGGTTTGATTCGGAGGAGCACGAAGCCGCGTCCGAGGATGAAGAGAGCTCAGGTATTGAGGAGGAGACCGAGGAGGAGCGACTGGGGCGGAAGAACTCCGTGGTCTCGGTCAGCACCACCATCAGTACCAAGACAGAAGCCATAAGTCCGCAGCCCAGTTTCCGGCCATCCCTCTCCCGCGGTGCATCGGGAGACAGCGACGTCGAGGAGGAAGAAGTCGATCTGGAGGAGCTAGGTCCGCCGCCATTCTACCGATCGCTATTGCTTCTCGCCCAAATGTCCTCCAAGGACAACTTCTTCACCCCTCAATACACCGCCGCTTGTGTGAAGCACGCGCGCGCAAATCGAGATTTCGTCATTGGCTTCATTGCGCAGGAGTCGTTGAATGTGGAAAGGGAAGACAACTTCATCACCATGACGCCGGGCGTGCAGCTGGCGGCAGGCAGTGACGCCATGGGACAGCAGTATAATACGCCGCACAAGGTGATTGGCGAGGCCGGTTCGGATGTGATTATCGTCGGTCGGGGTATTCTGAGTGCCATTGACAAGCGGCGAGCGGCGCATGAGTATCGCAAGCAGGGCTGGGCGGCGTACGAGGCGCGAATCAAGGCGGGACGGAAGCGGTCGAGATAGGCGGTCGATACCCACAAAAGCAGGGCGGCGATAGACGTAGACTCCTAACGCCACGCTCAAAAAGAAGCCCATTGATTATTCACTCCTCCATGTCCTCATCATCCGGCGTTCTGTCAAGCGCATTTGCCACCGCTTCGATGCCTTCCACCTCGTCGCGCCCAATCCTTCTTCCAACTGCCGCGCCGGCCGTTGTGGAGTCCTGAACATCGACCCCTCTTCTTTGCAGCGCTCGTCCCGACTGCGTCTCCACGTATTGCATGCGCTTCAGGCTTGTGCTGTCTTCGGTTGATTGGCGAGCGTTGGGAAGGGTATGGAGAGAGGCTTTGATGCTGTCAATCATGTCTCGAAGGGCGGGAAGTTGTTTGACAGCGTATTGCACATTCTGACTGAACGACTGCGGCTGCGCATTCTTTGAAGATGGCTGCAAGGAGGCCAAAAAGGCGAATGGTGATGCTGGGTTTTTGCCGCCGAGGGTCCTGTGTAGTTTCGACAACACTGCTTGATTTCTTGCCTCTTCCGCCTTGAGCATGTTGTTGAGTTTGATCGTCTCGTATAGTTTCCTTCTCTCCAATTGCACTTGCTCTGGGGTTGGTGCGACTTGGGAAGGTGAGATGTCGAGGTTCTTGTAGTGTTCCAATCGCACCCATTCCGCCAGCTGCTCTTCCTCGTGACCGACGCTCAGAATGTTCCGCAATGTGTAGATCTCAAACTTGTCAAAGTCCTTGTCGATTGTCGCATTGAGTAGAGTTTCCAACTGTACAATTCCATTCTCAATCTCCGTCTGTTTCGCTTCCTGCACGGCTTCGGGGGAGAGGGCGGAGTTGAGGTCGCGTCGGAAACCGAGCACTTCGGGATCGGTGTTGCTCAGGCCTGTTTCGACGGCATTAACGGCTTGAAAGGCGACCTCGTTGACGGTGTTGATGATTTCGTCTAGCAATGTCTGCTCGCGGATGGTTAGTGCTGGGAGGTGGAGACGCGCCGGAAGGGCCGACTTGCCAATGGTGTGTAGCGGAAGTGTTCAGTAAGGAGCGCCGTCGCCATCTGATTCGAAACCGCCATGGTTCCATGCGAGATTGAGGTGGAGGGTTGATTGAGAGTCGTCGGCGCACGACGCACTGGGGAGATGTAAACAATGCCAAGACGTCATGACTAAGCGAGCGTCTCCAATCCAGTCTCCAACTCTGACCATCACTTCTATACATCCACGCATTGCCGCCTATCGTCGACATCATGTTCTGGCCTTATCCGTGAGTCGAGAGGCTGCGGCTTGGGTTACGACTTCACCATGGCAGAAGATGGGCCCCGGACGGAGGAAATCTTGCCCATCGCCGCGCAAGGTGATCTTCTCCTCCGAGTCGAGTATGGCACCGCCGACTCGCCGGCTATCTATTCGTTCCGGGTCGATTCGTCTGTACTGAAGAGCCATTCCAAGTACTTTGATCGCCTGCTCCAGAACGATCGATTCAGCGAGGGTACTGCTATTCGCGTGCAGCATGACCGGCTAGTGGAGCAATATGGTCAGCTCACAGCCGCCCCGTCTTCCGAGCTGCCCGCCATTACAATTGTAGACGTCGGGCGGATCTCTGCCGTGCGGGCTATCGATGCGCTCGTGTCCGACTTTCTTTCAATACTCCACGGCGACGAAATTCAGGCCTCTCCGCCTGTTCCCAATCTCGCCAACCTGGCGATCGTTGCCGACAGATTCGATGCTTTGGACGTCGTCAAGAGCTACGTGAAGAGGAAGAAGATACTGAGGGCGCTGGATGGGAAGACAACGGCAAAGGTTGATGCGGGGCTGAGTGAAGAGAAGGTCCGACAGCGCTTGCTGGTTGCCATATACTTTGACTACCCGCCCTGGTTGGAGAAATACAGTGCCCGACTGATCATCAAGGGCTGGGTGGGGAACGAGATGGACACATCCAGTCCTTTGTGGTGGGACCTGCCTTCACGGGTCGAAGAGGAGCTCATGGTCCGGCGTGACGCCGTCCTCAACACCATACAATCTGTTCAAGCACATTTCTTGACGTTGTATACGTCCCGCCAGCAGCGCTGTCGACTCGGCTACGAGAATTCGGTACAGTGCGACTCCTTCCAGTTGGGCGAGATGATTCGCTTCTTTACGCGCATTGGTACTCTTGATCTTCAAGGGACGCTTCTACCGACGAACGATCCGGCGGTGCCCTACACCGGAGACATCAACACCCTGCTAGAGAGCATGCGACAGATTCCGGAGTATCAAATTGATCGCTTCCATACGCACTGCGGGATTCGGACAGGCTTGCTACCCATCCTCAGCGTGCTCGAAGCATATCTCCAACGGATCGGAATTTGTGCCGAGTGCTGGCAGGAGGGCCGGAGAGAGTACTCGTGGTTGGAGCAGAAGCCAGCGTTTATTTGGAAAAGGCAGGATTTACAGTCCAAGTTTCAAGGGCATGGCAATCGCCATTCTGCCGTTCGGGAGCTGTTCACCGCGGCGGAGAGGCACTGGACTTGAATGATGAGAATCACGCTCTGTTCCTGCCACTCTATCGTTTAATGTTTATGGATAGGTCCCTGTTGTACAGCCATAATACATCCCAAACGACTCATGCCACCGAGAATCCGATCACTTTGCAATTTCGACGCCGCCCACGGCTCCGATCACCCTGGGGAGAATGTCAGTAATTGTGATGAGATTCGGGGGGGAGGGAGGAGGGGGTACCTCTTGATGTCGCCGTAGATGGCGAATTGACCAGCGGTGAGAGTACCGACCTGTGGACACATATGTTAGCCGTATGCCAGATGAGAACGCATTCAATGTCCCTTACCATGACCAGACGCGCTCCCAATCCACCAAAGCTTCCCTTCAATCCAAGCTCTTTGGCAATCTTGATCAATCTGCTGGTGGTGCCTTCACCCGGAAGACCCTTGGTCTTGTTGATCTTGGAGAGCATGGTGTCGGCAGGCTGAGAGACAATGGCGGCGGCGAAACCAGCAATCAAACCCGAGCCAAGATTGACCGCGGTGTTCATGCCGTTGGAGGCGGTGGCCTTGTCAACGTAGTTTTGGTAGATGGATTCGGCGACCTTTTCGTAGACGACGAACTTGGCCATGGTGTAGGGGACCCTGGTGCGTGTCAGTGGATGTTTGTGGTGAGGAAGAGTGATGGAGCGTACTGCTTGAACAGAATGGGACCGAAACCGGAGTAGAATGCACCGAAACCCTCAGTCTTTGCGATTTTGGTGAATCCACCGATGAGGCCGTTTGCAAAGGTTGGTTCGGAGACGAGACGGATACGGGTGGCTTCGAGAGGGCACAGGGCAATGTCGGCGAAGAACTCGGCGCCTGGAATGGTCAGCCTGGGGGAGGTAGTGTATTGTCTGCTCTTGACGTACAAGCAGAGCTTGCCAAGTACACGGCTGTGCGGTTGTTCTTTGCGTTCTCGTAGCCAAACAGAGAGATGGACTGCTGCTTGAAGAACTCGTATCCACCAAACTTGAAGGCGCCCTGGAGGAAGTAACCGGCGAAGGTGGGACCGGCACCGGTGAGGAGGGCACCAGCACCTTCGCTGGCAATGACCTGGCGGAAGCCACCGATCATGCCGCGGTTGTATGTCGCAGGGTCGAGCTGGATGCGGGTTTTGACGCTGTAGGGGGATGTCAATTAGCCAATGGCTGTCGAGTGAGGGAGTGAAGGACATACACATCGACGGGCGTAAGGCAGCCATGGGTGACGGAGCAGCAGACGGCGCCCGCAAACGCGAATCGGGAGTAGAGGTCAACGCCGGACAGCTTCTTGGGTGCAACAGCAGCGTCCACCTGCTGCTTTGCGTCTTTGAGTGCTGCACTCATCTTGGCGGTGGGTGAAAGAGATGGGAGTGGGTAATTGGCAGGTGATGATGGGGACCGAGTCCGTAGAATGTCGTGAGTGGAAGTGAGAGGTTGGGTGTTGTAGCGGAGGAAGTAGGAAACAATTTCCCAGAATAAAGTTTGTCGCAATGCCAGGCACGGAAGCCGCAGCCAATCAGCGCCCCTCGTGGCCGCGGAGGTTCAGCGGCGCGGCAGAGATGAAGGCCATGTATTGCATGAGCATGAATGGCACTGTGAGTGCATATCTGATTTGAATGATTCGACGAACACAACGTTCCTTCAACGTCTGGCTGATGCCTCCGTCATCCATGTCCCCGAGCAGGTCCGTACCTGGTAGTCTCTCATCTCCATCAATGTCAGCAAAATGGGATTCGGCCTGGAATTCGCCTGTCCCCTCCACGCGTACGACCTTTGCCAGTGGCCTGCATGTCTCTCACCGCTGAATCTCGACGAAGTTCCTCCGGTCCTCTGACTACATGCTCAAGTCGCACCGCCAGCCAGCATGAATGGACTGCGTTCACGGAACCATTTGCCTCGCCAGACGAAGAGAACTGGAGCAAGACTCAGCAACAGAGCAATCATCCCCAGTAGAGTACCCGCCCAGTACGGGTGTAGATCCGTGTACAAGCGCTCCGTAGAGAGTGGCAGAAATCCGGCCACAATACTCTCACCGGCGGCAACAGCACTGATTGCACTACCGACATACGAGGATGCCGAGTATAAATCTGTAATGTACTCTGTCCCGGTGAACACCACCACCTGGATGCCGAATCCTACCAGCCCGAGGCCGATTGTTGGCGCCACCCACGATATCGAGGCCCTTGCCGCCCAGGCGTAGATGAACATGCCGCCGACAATGCCGATGACCGACGCAGGAATAGCAATGTACAGCCGTGCTTCCGGGACAGGGCCCGATTCACGTTTCTCATTGCGTCGGAACAGACGACCGCCGTACAACGTTGCCAGCCAGCCAACGATTTCCCCAATGGACACGGCGATGAGGGTGTAGTTGGTACTGCCTTCCGACCAGCCGTAGACGTTGTGATAGACCTGAGCCACGGATTGAGTCAAGAAGAAGACGGTTCCAAAGCTGAAAGCGCTCCACAACGTGATTGCGAAAAGGACGGGCTCGGTGCAGACGAGGAATAGCGGACGGGTGGCCGATCTCCAGACCCGTTGTAGAATAGATGAGGCGCGCTTCCCAAGGGTTCTGGGGTTTCCTGGGCCTGCGCTGGCCTGGTGCCGATTGCGATGGCGAATGAGGACTTTGATTCGTGTCTCTTCCAGCAGAAAGTAGAGCAGCGGCAGAAGGCTGCCGTATATCACGAGTTGGATGTAGAAGATCCATCGCCAGCTGTCCAAATATTCGAGTGCTCCGGCGAATATCGGAGGTCCAATGGTGCTTCCGAGCAAATACATCAAGATGTAGAGTGAAATGGGCAGGTTTCGCTCCTCATCCGTCGCCCACATATCCGGGATCATGCTGCTGATCGTATTGGCCAGCAACGCTGCACAGCCGCCAGAGAAGAATCTCGTCACAACCAGAGTGGCAAAGTTTTGGGCCACAGCTTGAGGCACGATTGTGAGCAGGAAAATTGCGTAGAAAACCAGGAACCCAGTACGCACGCCCAGGTCTTCCATCAATGGCAGAAGCACGATAATTCCCAACGCACCGCCGGCGGACCAGGACGTCACAAGCCAGTAGGAGTTGGGGAATGGCGCATCACTGATTCGAAACGCCGCATCGATTTGCGAGCTCGCTGCCGTGATAGAAGTCCCATTGAGCGTGACGAGAAAGGTTGCCGCCAGAGCTGTGCAAGCCGTCGTCCATTTACGCCGGGGTGTCCATTTGGTGGGCGAAAGAGCGGAATCGCCTTCATCGTCCCGACCACTTGGGCGAGCATTTCTACTCCGGGCCATGCTTGATGAAGTCCATGCTATCTGGTACCTCTTTGCGACGGTCGTGAACCATGTCTAACAGCCCTTGAAACTCTTGAGGTCTGGCTTAAAGTTCGCATCATCGGAAAACGCCGAGACCGAAACCGCATCCTTCAAAACCTACTCAAGCATAAAAGACTCAGCCGCACGTTGCTTACCTTTTCTGATGGCGAAAACCATACACGATAAAGCTTCCTTTCCTGTTGATTCCCACAACACCGAAGCCAGATCGCGGAATGGAGAGTGACCGTCCTATTGCCATCATCGGCGGCGGCCTCGCTGGTCTTGCCCTTGCGCGAGGCTTCGAGCGTGTGGGCGTGCCTTACAGGATATTCGAAGCCACGGAGAGATTCTCGGAAATCGGAGCAGGCATCAGCTTTCTACCAAACGCAATACACGCGATTAACCTGATCGATCCCAATCTGTTCAAGTCTTTCGAAAGCCACATCACGTACGACGAGGATCCGGAGGTCAGCCAGCTGCGCATCCGGTGCGGAGAGAAGCAGCTGGGGGACTATCAATTCGGCGATTCGATTATCAACCTAGGCAAGTTTGGGAAAGATGATAAGGGAAGGTGCGGCGCACATCGCGCACGAGTCCTGGACGAGCTGGTCCACCACATACCTCCTGGAGTGGCGCGATTCAAGAAGCAGATGGTCGATATTGTTGAGCTAGATGGAAAGGTCGAGGTCCATTTCGAGGACGGCACTCATGAAGATTTCAAGGCTGCCATATGCTGCGACGGTATCAAGAGTCGAGCGCGAGGTATTGTCTTGGGAGAAGACGACCCTGCCGCGAGTCCCGTTTACGCAAAGGCGTATGCGTATCGCGCGCTGGTGTCGCGAGCGGATGCCGAACGAATCATCGGCCCCAAGCTCGCTCAAAACGGAACCTTCTATGTTGGTAACCGCCGCTTCCTCTTCCACTTCCCGGTCGAGCACGGCAAGCTGGTCAACGTGATTGGAGTCTGCGTGGCACCAGACTCGACGTGGATGGCGCGGTCGTTGCAGGAGCCTTGCAGCAAGGCGGATATGCTTCGAGATTTTGCCGACTTTGGAGAGCCTTTGAGTGTTCTGCTGGCCACCAACGAGAATCCGATGCGCTGGGCGCTGTTCGAGCTCCCACATGTCCGGACGTATTGCAAGGGCAGGATCTGTGTAATGGGCGACGCGGCGCATGGAATGACCTCTCATCAAGGAGCGGGAGGATCTGCCGCGTTCGAGGATGCGTATGTCATGGCCGAGTTGCTGGGTGACGAGGCTTTGAGAGCGGATCTCCCACGAGCATTCCGCGCGTTTGACAGAGTCCGTTGTGAGCGCGGCAATCGCATCGTCAGCACCAGCTACGAAGCCGGGTTGATATTCACGCTACAGCAGGAGGGGATAATGGATGACATGGACAAGTTCAAACGAATCATGGCAGTCAGATTCGACTGGCTTTGGGGGGTCGATCTGGTGGAACAAGTGAAGCAGGCGAAGGAGTGGGCTTCCGAGGTTCAGGAATAGCAACTTGTATGCATTGTTCAGATACTCGTTGAGGAATCAAACATACCTAAGTAAGCTAGTGCGCGGCTGAGCCGAGATAATTGAGCTCGGTACTTCGAGACGCGATAGAGGGAGGTGTTACCGCAAACATGGGACCCCCGCCTTCCTGCCTTCAAACCGAGTCGAGCCTGGGATAATGGACTGGCACGACATTCACCGCGCATTTCACATCTCGTCGTCTTCCACCGCCCGAAATGCGCGCTCACAATTGCGATCGATGCTACCGGCGTAAAACCAAATGCGATCGCCAACAGCCATGCAGCTCTTGTGCGCAGGCAAGAGTGGAATGTGCTTACACCGACCCGACTGCGAGGCCCCAGCGCTTCCGGCGCATCAATCACGTTGCGGCCTCAACTCCTGCACCAACGACCAGAAGGCCGTCTAGTCAGGCGACGCCAAGCTTGCCGCGCGCCGATGTGGCGAGGGAGATCTCGTATCTGTCCCTCAAGGCTGCGGGCGAGCAGCAGCCGTACATTGGCTCCTCCAGCGGTGTACTGTTTGCAGACCTCGTTCAATCTCGACTGGATGCCGTTGATCCTCGCCCGCCCTCACCACAGAGCACCGCGGGGAGCAGCGAAGTCGTCAATCCTCCCTTGGCCAAACGGGACGAAGATCTGCCTCCCGAGGCAGTCGCCAACGAGCTCATCCAAGACTATCTCGACCACGATGCCATCATATACCCTTTCATGCTACCGTCGCATCTTGTGGAGATTGTCCACCGCTTTTACCAGGTCCCTGGCTATTATGTGTCTAATGCGACGGCGTTCGAAGCCTTTTCCTTCTACATGTTGCTGGCAATCACAGCTTCTCGGGCCCAAAAGTCACAGTGGCAGGTTGAGCAGTCCCCGACTTGGTTCCATTCACGGGCCATGCGTGATGCGAGCTCGGTTCTCGCGACTGGTACAACTGAACGTCTGCAAGCGATCCTGCTCTTGTGCCAATATCGATTGTGCAGCCCCATTCGAGACAACTCGGCGAGCGTCTGGCATTTGGTCGGGATCGCCGCCCGCCTTTGTGTCGAGCTCGGCCTGCATCGCCAGTCGAGTTACCCCATCCTTGCAGTTCATGGCGACTCCGCGCCACAAACAATCGTGAATTATCAGGATCAAGAGACACGCCGAAGATGCTTTTGGACCTTGCTGTGCATGGACCGCATTGTGAGCATCGTCCTCGGACGGCCATTTGCACTTCACGACGACGACATTGACACCGCCTTGCCAAGAGAAGACAGCGATGAAATAATGGCCTGTGCCCACAAACCGCTCGGAGTGGTACGCATAGCAGTGTCCAACAAAATTTTCAAGTATCGTTTGCTCTGCGGGCGATTCTCATTACGTGTTCATGGGAAGAGATCAGAGACGGCATCACGAGAGGATTTTGCGTCCGCCACACAGGCCCTTGCTGAACAATTGCAGAACTGGTATGAGAGCCAACCACGCCTCGAGGGGCTGCAAATTCACGAGGACAGCCGGCAACAGCAGTCCTGCTATCTATCTCCCGAATGGTACGATCTTCTCGCGGCAAACGCTTCATTGATGCTGTGGCGCCCACACCTCCTCCCCGAATCTGGGCACAATCGTCAAGCTCTTGATTGTATCTTTGCCTCAGCAACCACGGCGATCAACATCTATGCCGACCTCCTGCGGTCGCGAAAGATCAATTACAACTGGGTCACGCTGCAGGCGATATTTCTGGCCGGACTGTCATACGTCTCGACAGTCAATCAACATTTCCGACACAAACATGCATCCGTGGCTTCCACTGCTCCACTTCTTACACAAGAGCCGGTCCTCGGAGACATTGTTCGTACCACAAGAGCCTGCTCCAAGGTACTGGTTGCCGTTGGCGAGCGTTGGGATCTTCCACCACATTCTCATGAAGTCTTTGACCGACTGAGCGACGCCGTCATTGCCGATGCGATGCAGTGCAATGCTAGCCAGAGGCCGGTAGCATCGCTGGAGCCTGCTGCCCTGCGAACCCATGAATCAACTTCGGACTCGTGTAATCCACCGTCGCCGTCCCGTCACACCCTGAGCTGGGGCGACGCGGAAGTTCACAATAATGATACCTCCTGGATGACGACGGACAACGAATTCATGAGCTGTTTCGACGACTTGCAGCGCCTGTATGACGACCAGTACCTCAACAACACGGCTATGGATCTATCACAGGACTGGCTTGGCTCGCTAGGTGTCTTTCCGTCGTGAGTGTCGAGGTGCACCTCGCGCTACTCAAGCGACACATGATGCGTTATCATATACGCCTTCGATCCAAGAACTGAAGCGGGACATCTACATGCTTGGATCTCAAATATTCACCCACTCCCTTTCCTAGGCCATCAATTCTTGCGGAACTGGCAATCCCACCGTCGAGAAAATCAAGGATGCGACTGTCCATGGCTTGTCAGTCGATCGGATGTTCAATTTGGCCACAAGTACTTACAAATGGACGGCCAAGAGAAGAGGAAACTCTACTCTCTCCACTTTCTGGCCAGCATAATCATCACCCAGCAGCTGTTTGAATTTGCTCGTTGTCATGAGGCTCTGTAGCCACGGAAATTCGTCTTCGTTGCGGACAAAGAAGCCGACGCTGGAGTTGTTCGCCTTGTCGCCACTTCGCGCATGCACGATGCTCCCCAAGGGCGCTTCGATCGATGCTCCAAAACTTTGCAGGTCGACTGGGCTGGCTGTTTCGTAGGACCCTCTCCCGATTGGATACTCGCAAGTCTCTGAAGGCGGCGGAATATCCAGTATCTTCTTCATCTTGGGAATCAGCACTTGGTGCCGTAGCGAAGCCTGAGACACCACGCTTGGAAAGATCTCGATGAAAGGCTTGGGATCCATCAGTCGAAAATCGAGGTTCATGTGATAACCGGGATAACTCTGCATGCGCAAGGCATAGATTGGCTGCTTGAACGCATCTGCCTCAAGGTGCCTTTTGGCTCTCGCCTGCACGAAAATGCGCAGCATCGCGGTTCCCTCTTGCTGCGAACGAGGATTCTCCACCTGTTTGCCGTACAGTTCGACTGACAATTTGGAGAATTTATTGTCTCGGAAAGCGTGTTCCAACTGTGCTCGCATCATCTGGACCTTTGCGCCGACATCAAGTCCATTGATGTAGTAGAGCGCCTCGGCCTGGAATCCACCTGGCGCGGCGATCATGACTTTTGTGGATGATGGAGGGCGACGACCAGTCATGCCAGAGACGTACACGCGATTTGCGGACGATGTTTTCGTGACCTTGATGCTGGACAGGTTTGCGACAACATCTGGGTTGAGGTAGTCCTCGCCTTGCAGTTCGTAGAGAATCTGAGCGGTGATGTTGAATCTGTCAATGACCCCGTTCATGGATTCGGGTTTGGTTACGTGGAATGTTCCATCAGGCTCGATCTCGGCGATTGGAAAGCCAATGTCGACCAGCTCTGGGAGGTACTCTTTGAAACCGGAAAAGTTGCCTCCAACCGCATATGGACCACACTCGATGACGTGTCCTGCCAGCAATGCGCCAGCAAGCTCATCGTAGGCAGTCCTCGACCACTTGTACCACCACGCTGCGGCTCCAATGACCGGTGAAGCATCTGTCACTCTACCGCATATGACAATGTCCGCACCTTCCGACAGAGCTTCCACGATGCCCCAGGCGCCCATGTAGGCGACCGCGCACGACGGCCGGAGGTCTGCTGACCAATCTTCGATGAACATGTCCTCGTGGTCGAGATGCCGGAATCGTAAAGCTGGCTCGCCTTTTGCTGGTCGTTCGAGCAGATGCGTCACGTCGTCTCCGATCACAGTGGCAATCACCAGGTCATGCAGCTTTCGCGCATGGCAAAGCTCGGCGATGCGGTCGCTGAGTGCAACCGGATTCAATGCTCCAGCGTTGGTAATCACCTTGATATGCTTGGCAGCAACATCGTCAATGCATTCGGTCAGCTGTTCGAGGAAGCCGACCTCGTAACCTAGGCACGGATCTTGTGCCTTGGTGATTGCGTTCCACGCTATGTTCATCTCGCTGAGCCAGTCGCCCGTGATGACATCAACATCTCCCTCGCGCACCATACGCGCAAAGGCGTGCGGTGCATCGCCTATGTTCATCAGCCTCTCCATCGACGACTGGGGAGGATGTGGGACCGACCTGTTGCTCCGCTGACATTTCCGACTCGAAGATGACGCTTGGATACCATTTCTTTTCGTGAATCGCGAGGTCTGTGAAAGAAGGTGTACAATTTTCGGCAGCCTTGTCTTTTGGAGGCCCCAGCGGCAACGGGGATTATTAGATATTCCGACCGAGGCCGACGACCGCCAGAGCACCTGGATCATTTGTTGCACAAGATCGCACATGGATCGTGCTCTTTGCCGGGCTGAGACTTGGGCGGCGCCGAAGTTCTAGCCCCAGCCTTCGGCGCCGAAGCTTCGGGCCCGACAGCCTTGATGTGTCGGGCGAGGACAACATGAGGAGATATGACCCTTGGATGCACCCCACATTCTTCTGGCGATCTTGCAATCACTCCGCATCTTCTCCACGTTTTTCTTGGTCTGCGGTCTCAACCAACATCCTCCATATCATCTTAGCCACTCGCGCAAGATGGCAAAACAATACTTCTTTGGCCTCACTGGCCACAAGTTGAGGACTGCGCAGCTTTGGGCTGTCATCATGCCTGCCTTTATACTGTTCGGATACAACCAAGCCGTCGCTGGAGGTCTCCTTGGCCTTCCGACGTGGATTGCAACGTTTCCACGAATCGATACTTCTACTGGCAACGCCGCACTGAACACCCACAACTCCCGCATCCAGGGCGCTGTCGTGGCATTATACACCCTGGGGGCAATGTTCGGCGCGCTCTCTTGCATCCCTCTTGGTGACCGACTAGGCCGCCTCCGGATGATGCAGCTCGGATCTGCTGTACACATTGTCGGCTCCATCCTTCAAGCCTCGTCGTTTTCCCTGGGCCAGCTGATCGTCGGCCGCTTGGTAGGCTGGTCCCCAAGTACATCCTGAGTAAACCTGACACTTGCACAGATTGCCGGTCTTGGATTCGGCGCCCTCTCCGCCACTGCTCCCAATTGGCAGAGTGAATGCTCACTTGCACAACATCGTGGCGCCACCGTCATCATGGAAAGCGTCTTCATCAGCTTGGGACTCGCCATCGCCGCATGGGTGACGTTGGGTACCAGTTTCATCGCCTCTTCCGCAAGCTGGAGGTTCCCTCTGGCTTTGAGCTCTCTCTGGGCCATCATTACGATCATCACCTCCGCCATGATGCCCGAGAGCCCGCGTTGGCTCCTGAAAAGAGGTCGGGTGGAGGATGCCCGCCAAGTCATGGCAGCTTTGAACGGCATTCAGCCAGAGGACCCCCAAATTCAAGCCGACATTGATGAGATTAATCAGTCCCTCAGGGTTGCAGGGAATGCCCGCTTTGTCGATATCTTCAAGATGGGAGAGCTCAGGTTGTTCAACCGCGCTGCGTTGGCCTGTGCTGGTCAAATGTTTCAGCAGCTCACCGGTATGGAATTGGAGGATGCCTTGTGAATGGCAAATCGCTAATGGAAACAGGCATCAATGCCCTCGCCTTCTACCTCGCCACCATATTTCACACCTATCTCGGTCTTACGGGCTTCCAAGCTGGAATTGTTGCGGCGTCAACTTTCACATTCCAAATGGTGTGCTCGCCAATTGGAGTACTCACTGTCGACCGTTTCGGAAGGAGAAAGCTGATGATGGTATCCGCGTTTGGCATGGGAGCTTGCATGGCTATTGTCGCCGGTACTACAAGCCAGACAAACAACAAAGCGGCCTCTGGAGTGGCAGGAGCCATGATCTTCCTCTTTTCGCTCTTCTTCCCCGTTGGCTTCCTCGGCATGACGTTCTTGTACGCCAGCGAGATTGCTCCCAACACGGTTCGGGTGCAGATTACCAGCTTGAGCACGGCGACGGCCTGGGTCTTTAACTTTATGGTTGCTCTCGTGACTCCGGTCGGATTTGCCACCATTGGCTGGAGGTACTTCATCGTCTGGGCTTGCATGAATTGGTTCTTGCTTCTACCATGTAAGTCTACGCTTGGAGTACATACAGTGCGCTTGGCTGACGTTGACAGGCGTGTACTTCTTCTTCCCTGAGACTGCCGGGAGACATCTCGAAGAAGTCGACGAGATCTTCCGCAACAGCAAGAACATCTTCGACCCAGTCAAGCAAGCTCGCTACTTCGTTCCCCACCGCCCTTTCGAAAGTGAGGAAGCAGGCAGCGACAATGTCGTCAGGGAGAAAGTGGCAATGAAATACGATGAGCAGTGATATGTGGAAGATGACGAAGCTGAAGACCAGATCGGGGGTTGATATGACTGAGAGGCGGTATGGCTCTTGGAAACTGGAATGGACATTTGGATAGCTATCAAATCGCTGCAAGAATGTTTCCCTCTTGACTCCAACGTCGATGGCCATCATTACGTGGAGAGCCTTGTGCAATCGTCGCGGCCCTGTGGAGTTGTTTTGTCGTTTTTGGCTCGCCGCAGCAAGTACTGCTCCTTTCCAACTTCCACGCAGGATGCATGTACGGGGCCCCGGCATTTGACCCCGCATTGTCCACGTGGCCGAACCACTAATTATTGGTAGTAGAACGTGCACGCCACCGTGGTGGGAGACGCTGTCGGATGGAAGGCTCCGCGGCCCCTTTGGCTTCGGCTCCGATACTTTCGGCGCCGCCTCATCAACGAGACGAATTAATCAGCTGCTCTTCATTCACTCGTCGATCGGCATCTCCGCATGACATGATAAAGCATCGGCGCACTCACATTGCCGGACGAGTAAGTTTCTTTGCTCGTGATCATGCTTCGCTCGTTCTTGGGGGCTGCTGCCCTCGCAGTAACTGCCCACGCAGCGACAATCCAATCCACCCCCGCCCAGCAATGCCAGAGTTTTGCCAACGGCCTCGATCTCTCGGAATACAACACGACCATTATCAACTCGACGTATTTTGCGACTGACGAGTACTTGTTCGTGGTAGGTACGACCAACAACGCCCCGTTCTGCCAGATCTTCGCACAGACGGTCTATGGATCCCCCGGAACCACGGTGTGGGCAATCTGGCTCCCGGAAACCTCGGATTACCAGGGCCGGTTTCTCGCGGTAGGTGATGGTGGATTTGCTGGCGTGATTGAGTACGACAGCATGCTCGCCGATTTCAATCTCGGCCTGGGCTTCGCCGTCGCTGGCGGAGACGGTGGGCACTCTGCATTGACGAACGATGCTGGAGAGGGCGCGCCAGGCGTCTACCTTCCATTCCTCCATCATCAGGAGGAGGTGCTTGGGTGGATTCACAACGGCATCTCCATCTTCACTCCACCGGCCAAGGCAATCACAGAGGCTCGTTACAATTCCATCAAGCATGCCTACTACGACGGCTGCTCGACGGGCGGAGCTCAAGGCTTTGCTTTGGCCCAGTTCCATCCAACACTGTTCCAAGGCATTGTCGCGTCCAGTCCGGGGAATTATTACAGCCATCTCGCGCTCAGCTTTCTCTGGAACGACCTGGCTACCGACGTAAGCCCTGAAGCTCAGTGCCTTACAACATTTCCATGACTGACTTGTGCACACGCAGACCGTCGGAACGTACATACCTCAGACTCAGCTCACCGCCATGACGGCTGCCGTTGTCGCCAAGTGCGGAGGGCCGGACGGTGTAATCAACAACCCTCCAGCGTGCCAGTTTGACGTCGATTCCTTCGCCTGCAACGCTACCAATCTCAGTCTCAACAACACGGCGTGCCTCACCGATGCGCAACTGGCCGCAGCTAAGAAGATCTACGCCGGCCCCACAAACTCAAACACCGGAGCCCAGCTGTATCCCGGATTTGCGTTCGGCAGTGAAAGCTCGTGGCTCTTGCAGGAAGGCCTGCTCGCCGATTCGTTCAGCATACCCATTCTGCAAAACCTGGTGTACGACGACCTGGGCTATGATGCCAGTACATTCAACTTCTCGAGCGCTGACGTTGCCGCGGTGAATGAGAAAGCCGGTACCCTCATTGACGAAATCGACCCGGATATCCAACAGTTCCACGCCGGGGGTGGGAAGTTGCTTAGCGTTCAAGGATGGGCGGATCCGTTGAACTCTCCTTTTTGGCCGATTGAGCATCTCCAGCAAGTACAGGCAGCTTTTGGCGGGAATGTGAGCTCGTGGTTTGAGTTGTTCATGTCCCCCGGAACCGGCCACTGTGGGAGCAACGACCTTTACCCCGACGCTCCGGGAACCTACGCAACCACTGCAGCGCTGGTGGCATGGGTGGAGCAAGGGTCTACGCCCGCACAGATTGAAGCCTCGATGCCGCCGAGCGGAGCAAACATCACGCGGAAGCTTTGTCCTTATCCTCAGATTGCCGAGTACACCGGTACTGACCCAGATGATTGGACTTCGTACACCTGCACATGATCAAGAAACGCTCCGAGGCGGTTGCGGTGATCACTCGGTCAAGGGAGGGCGAATGATTTGCCTTGTTTCGATGCGCAGCATAGATGTCCTGAGATCACGTTTCGCGGAGTAGAATACGCTGGACTACCACCATCTCACTCCCCGCCAGGCTATCCTGGCCATCTCATCCATCACCAAGATGTAGATGAGGTGGAGAAACTTCAAGAAGCACTGTAATAATTCATGCTCGATTCGTACTGGCGATTTGTCGTGTTCCTCATTTGGCATTCGCCGCGGAAGTTGCGAATCAAACTCTACTTGCATAACCCCAACTCTTTTGCTGCCTCCCACAAACAACTTTCATCATCACACCGCCACTTCGCCTCTTCACGCGGCCCTCCGCATCGCCCGCCACATCGACCGCCCACCGCATATCTCACTTGAACGGTGGTGCCACAGCCGCGTCCTCTCTCTGCGAAATGTCCCGCCGTGATTCCGCCGACCCCGACCTTACCCCGCGCGGTGGTGGAGATTATGGATGGGCTGGAGAATGATGCAAGAGGAGGCAGAAGAGATGGAGACGAGAAAGAGACGGCGTTGATACCGAGAACACACATCGTCCTCCCGAGGTACCCAACCGAACAATCTCTGGAACGACATGCACGATTATGACGAGCACCCGGTCCATCTCCTCCATCTCCTGTCGCCCGCCTGACCTCGAGCACTTCTCGCCATTCGCACGTCCTCAATGCCGGTGACGACACGCGCAGACGGCATTGACTACGCCGCACTGTCGTCTGCTTGCCGCTGTCGAATTGCCTCGCCTTCTCGGACGCCATCTTCTCGACCCTGCGCTTCGCATGAGTGAGTGTCCATGCCCCGAGCATTCCCGGCGGGGGATCAGCACTTCTCCATGGGGATCATCTCTTCACCCTGAGGTTTGCAAGACTCGGCAGTTCTCCGGCGACTCGTCATCCACTCTGGACAGAGCGTACAGCACTCTGCTCGCTACCGCTGCCCACCTTCTCACAGTCTGGCCGCCAGCCCCTCGAATGACGAGGATACTCAAATCCCGACAGCCATCTCCCGCTGCGTTTTCATGGCTTCTTCCACCACATCTACGGTCTTGCATCAGCAAAGCTCCATGGCCAGCGCTGGACTTTATACCCGGGCGCATGTCATTCATCACGATCAGTTCGATTATATGCATCAGCCTCGCCCCCTTCGTAATTTCGTCTGCTGTTGCGACTGCTGCTGCAGCGACGACAAACCTCTTCCACCCATCCCGACTCCGTCCGTATGACCATCCTTCCGCGGCCTAGCTGCTGCCAGCGCTCACGAGCACCGCTAACCCGATCCTGGGCTATCCTCCCCTAACTGTATCTACATTGGAGTTTTTAAAAAACTCCATAGAAAATCTACTAAAACCTCCAAGTTTTTTTAAAAAGTAAAATATAAATGGAGTTTTTAAAAATATTAGTTTATAAAGATAGGATTTATAAAGTAAAGAGATTAAAAGAATAGATTTTATAAAAACTCCTTTAGTATTATAAGAATTTAGATCTATTTATTTATTTTAGTTTAAAGAAATCTAATAGACTTAAAAAGTTAGAAGCTAGTTAAAGTACATTCGAAAACCCTTTTAGCTTAAACTTTAAATAAATTTAACTATAATAGTTTCTTTTAATATTATTTTAGTTTTATTTAATTAATAAAAGAAAACAGAAAGAAAAGAAGAATAAGTACTTATTTAAAAGATTAGGATAAGAAAAGTTAAAAAAAAACTTTAATAAAACTAAAATAGTTATTTTAAGTAATTAAAGTGTTTTAAGTTTATATTAGAGTTTAACTAAGAGAAAAAGAATATATAAGAAAGCTCTTTTTATTTTATCTTTGTCTTTTCTTTTATATCTACTTTAAACTACTTTAATTATAACTAACTATTTAAAAATGGATTTAATTACTTTAAATCAATTACTTATAAATAATAAAGATTATATTAAAGGAGATTCTTATAATAATTCTACTATTATAGAAAGTACTTATACTAATAATATAGAGAATACTATTCTAAATTATAATATAGAAATTAAAGTTTTATTTTGTACTATTTGTAAAACTAATCTAGATAGAAATAACTATTTAAAACATTTAAAAGATAAACATTTTACTATTTATAAAAGTTATAAAGAATCTTCTAAATTAGAAGTACTTAAAACTAATATAGAAGAACTAGAATTTAATGACTTAGCTAAATTAGAAGATATTTTAAAGCCTAATCTATTTTACTTTAAAGAGTTAGATTTAAATTTAAAAGGATATAAATGTATAGAATGTAATTATATTAATATTAATTATAAAGAAGTTAGAATTCACTTTAATACTAATCACTTTAATAGTAATAAAAGTAGTAAATCTAAAGTAAACTATATTATAAATCAGGTTCCTTTACAATATATTAAAGGTAATAATAAAAATACTAAACTATACTTTATACCTAAAATACCTAATATAAGTAAAAAGAATACTAGTACTAACTTATATATTAACTCTAATAGTTCTAATTCTAGTATAGAATCTATTACTTCTAAAAAGTCTAATAGTTCTAAAGAACTAGATTTAAAAGAAGATATTATAAAAGATTATCTTAAAGAGAATTTAGAAGAGAATAAACTAAATAATAATATAAATATTAATAATAATAGACTTTTAAACTCTTATATTAAGAAATCTAATATTTATATCTTTTTAAAAGATAAAGATAGAGAGTCTTTAGTAAATCTAGTATATAATATTAAAGAAGAAGATAAAGATCTAAGTGTTTTTAATAGAATAGACTATAATAAATTAGAAGATATTATTATAGATTGTTTACTTTATATACATTCTAAAATCACTAATATAAGCTTAGGATTAAGACAAAAGCTAAATCAAAATAATAGTAGTAATACTAGAGTATTTAAAGACTTTATACCTTTAGAGAATAAGTCTACTACTAAGACTTACTTTACTTATTATGCTAAACTACTTAGCTTTATTATTAAAGTACGTTATATTAAAGGGAAATATAAGAATACAATAGGTAAAGAAAGAACTTACTTTGATTTAGTAAAGAACTTTACTATTAACTTAGAAGCTAAAGAAGCTTTAAAGAATATTATTCCGTTTAACTTAGATTTAATAGATTTAGAAGATAAAGAACTAACTAAAGAGAAAGAAGAGTTTTATACTTATATTATAGAGTTTTACATTAGTTTACTTAAAGATAATACTACTTTAACTTTAGATAATAATACTAGTTTAAATAATATAGTTCTAAGCTACTTCTTTATAACTAATCTAGATATTAATACTAAAGAGATTAAAAATATAGATCTAATAGGAAAGCTTACTAGTTATATTCTTTATAATAGTAAACTACTTACTATAGAATATTTCTACTTTAAAGAGTTAAATAATATAAAGTATACTTATAATGATTTTAATGATTTTCTTTCTACTTATTTAACTAATAGTTCTAATAATTACTTTGAATTCATTAGTATTCTAAGGCCTTATCTCTTAGCTTTAAATAAAGAAAGAGAATCTACTAATTATATTATAAAAGAAACTAGTTTAAATATTATAGAATATAATACTATAGAGTATTCTATTACTAAGATTAAAGAGCTCTTTAAGAATGTTTATATTAATTTAGAAGATATTTTACTAAAGAAGCTTTTAAAGATAACTTCTATAGATTCTTTAGATATAGACTTTAATACTATAAATGATAATACCTTTATAAGTAATATAGATTATTATATAATAGATACTTTAGAATTAAAATATCTTAAAACTAATAGGCCTTACTTTTTAACTCAATTATTAACTAAAGGAACCTATTATAATAAAACACTATTAAAAGATATAAAGAAAGATACTAAGACTTTAAGATTTAAAGATACTAATATAGAAATATTTAATACTAATATTAATAGGTTTTTAGAATACTTAACTCTCGCTATTTATTTATATAGCGGAGGTCCTTTAAGAGGAACCGAATTAACTACTATACTTTATAAGAATATAGAAACTAAAACTAGAAGTCTAATATATAATAAAGAAGATAATACCTTTATAATTTCTACTAATTATAGTAAGACTAATAATATTACTAGGAAGAATAGAACAAATATACGCTATTTACCGCCTTATTTAAGTAAACTATTAATTATATACTTAGTATTAATAATACCTTTTAAAGATTACTTATATAAAAACTACTATAACTTTAAAGACTATTCTAGTCCTTATCTATTAACTAAAGATAATAAAGTAATAGAAAGTAATACTATTAGTAGGATCTTAAAGAGAGAATCTAGTTTATTATTTAAAGAAGGTTTAACTATTAAATCTTATAGAAAGATTATTAATTATATAATTAA